TGCGAACGGGGTGTCCTCCCAAAAGATTGTACCGGTACTTTCTAGGCACCTTTTATTGCCCTGCACTTGAATTCCAACTGAATTAGGGTGAGACCTGTCTGGCCTTTGGGCACCGAGAGTGCTTGACTGCTGGGAGTGGGAAGTATGTAGTGCCACAGATAAATTCGGGTGCTGCATGCGAACAAGGTGCCTCTTGTGTATCGGATACTAGGTTTATTGGTACGTAAGTCTATCTCATTCACTACACACTCTTTCTCATTACTAATTCATATATGATTCTGTATCTATTCCCGAGTTCAATCTATAGTGCATAGTGGGCATTCGCATAAACGAATCGTACCGGTACTTTCTAGGCACCTTTTATTGCCCTGCACTTGAATTCCAACTGAATTAGGGTGAGACCTGTCTGGCCTTTGAGCACCTAGTGTGTTTGACTGCTGGGAGTGGGAAGTATGTAGTGCCACAGATAAATTCGGGTGCTGCATGCGAACGGGGTGTCCTCCCAAAAGATTGTACCGGTACTTTCTAGGCACCTTTTATTGCCCTGCACTTGAATTCCAACTGAATTAGGGTGAGACCTGTCTGGCCTTTGGGCACCGAGAGTGCTTGACTGCTGGGAGTGGGAAGTATGTAGTGCCACAGATAAATTCGGGTGCTGCATGCGAGCAAGGTGCCTCTCGTGTATCGGATACTAGGTTTATTGGTACGTAAATCTATCTCATTCACTACACACTCTTTCTCATCACTAATTCATATATGATTCTGTATCTATTCCCGAGTTCAATCTATAGTGCATAGTGGGTATTCGCAAAAACGAATCGTACCGGTACTTTCTAGGCACCTTTTATTGCCCTGCACTTGAATTCCAACTGAATTAGGGTGAGACCTGTCTGGCCTTTGGGCACCTAGTGTGTTTGACTGCTGGGAGTGGGAAGTATGTAGTGCCACAGATAAATTCGGGTGCTGCATGCGAACGGGGTGTCCTCCCAAAAGATTGTACCGGTACTTTCTAGGCACCTTTTATTGCCCTGCACTTGAATTCCAACTGAATTAGGGTGAGACCTGTCTGGCCTTTGGGCACCGAGAGTGCTTGACTGCTGGGAGTGGGAAGTATGTAGTGCCACAGATAAATTCGGGTGCTGCATGCGAACAAGGTGCCTCTTGTGTATCGGATACTAGGTTTATTGGTACGTAAATCTATCTCATTCACTACACACTCTTTCTCATTACTAATTCATATATGATTCTGTATCTATTCCCGAGTTCAATCTATAGTGCATAGTGGGCATTCGCATAAACGAATCGTACCGGTACTTTCTAGGCACCTTTTATTGCCCTGCACTTGAATTCCAACTGAATTAGGGTGAGACCTGTCTGGCCTTTGGGCACCAAGAGTGCCTGACTGCTGGGAGTGGGAAGTATGTAGTGCCACAGATAAATTCGGGTGCTGCATGCGAACGGGGTGTCCTCCCAAAAGATTGTACCGGTACTTTCTAGGCACCTTTTATTGCCCTGCACTTGAATTCCAACTGAATTAGGGTGAGACCTGTCTGGCCTTTGGGCACCGAGAGTGCTTGACTGCTGGGAGTGGGAAGTATGTAGTGCCACAGATAAATTCGGGTGCTGCATGCGAACGGGGTGTCCTCCCAAAAGATTGTACCGGTACTTTCTAGGCACCTTTTATTGCCCTGCACTTGAATTCCAACTGAATTAGGGTGAGACCTGTCTGGCCTTTGGGCACCGAGAGTGCTTGACTGCTGGGAGTGGGAAGTATGTAGTGCCACAGATAAATTCGGGTGCTGCATGCGAGCAAGGTGCCTCTCGTGTATCGGATACTAGGTTTATTGGTACGTAAATCTATCTCATTCACTACACACTCTTTCTCATCACTAATTCATATATGATTCTGTATCTATTCCCGAGTTCAATCTATAGTGCATAGTGGGTATTCGCATAAACGAATCGTACCGGTACTTTCTAGGCACCTTTTATTGCCCTGCACTTGAATTCCAACTGAATTAGGGTGAGACCTGTCTGGCCTTTGAGCACCTAGTGTGTTTGACTGCTGGGAGTGGGAAGTATGTAGTGCCACAGATAAATTCGGGTGCTGCATGCGAACGGGGTGTCCTCCCAAAAGATTGTACCGGTACTTTCTAGGCACCTTTTATTGCCCTGCACTTGAATTCCAACTGAATTAGGGTGAGACCTGTCTGGCCTTTGGGCACCGAGAGTGCTTGACTGCTGGGAGTGGGAAGTATGTAGTGCCACAGATAAATTCGGGTGCTGCATGCGAGCAAGGTGCCTCTCGTGTATCGGATACTAGGTTTATTGGTACGTAAATCTATCTCATTCACTACACACTCTTTCTCATCACTAATTCATATATGATTCTGTATCTATTCCCGAGTTCAATCTATAGTGCATAGTGGGCATTCGCATAAACGAATCGTACCGGTACTTTCTAGGCACCTTTTATTGCCCTGCACTTGAATTCCAACTGAATTAGGGTGAGACCTGTCTGGCCTTTGAGCACCTAGTGTGTTTGACTGCTGGGAGTGGGAAGTATGTAGTGCCACAGATAAATTCGGGTGCTGCATGCGAACGGGGTGTCCTCCCAAAAGATTGTACCGGTACTTTCTAGGCACCTTTTATTGCCCTGCACTTGAATTCCAACTGAATTAGGGTGAGACCTGTCTGGCCTTTGGGCACCGAGAGTGCTTGACTGCTGGGAGTGGGAAGTATGTAGTGCCACAGATAAATTCGGGTGCTGCATGCGAGCAAGGTGCCTCTCGTGTATCGGATACTAGGTTTATTGGTACGTAAATCTATCTCATTCACTACACACTCTTTCTCATCACTAATTCATATATGATTCTGTATCTATTCCCGAGTTCAATCTATAGTGCATAGTGGGCATTCGCATAAACGAATCGTACCGGTACTTTCTAGGCACCTTTTATTGCCCTGCACTTGAATTCCAACTGAATTAGGGTGAGACCTGTCTGGCCTTTGGGCACCAAGAGTGCCTGACTGCTGGGAGTGGGAAGTATGTAGTGCCACAGATAAATTCGGGTGCTGCATGCGAACGGGGTGTCCTCCCAAAAGATTGTACCGGTACTTTCTAGGCACCTTTTATTGCCCTGCACTTGAATTCCAACTGAATTAGGGTGAGACCTGTCTGGCCTTTGGGCACCGAGAGTGCTTGATTGCTGGGAGTGGGAAGTATGTAGTGCCACAGATAAATTCGGGTGCTGCATGCGAGCAAGGTGCCTCTCGTGTATCGGATACTAGGTTTATTGGTACGTAAATCTATCTCATTCACTACACACTCTTTCTCATTACTAATTCATATATGATTCTGTATCTATTCCCGAGTTCAATCTATAGTGCATAGTGGGCATTCGCATAAACGAATCGTACCGGTACTTTCTAGGCACCTTTTATTGCCCTGCACTTGAATTCCAACTGAATTAGGGTGAGACCTGTCTGGCCTTTGAGCACCTAGTGTGTTTGACTGCTGGGAGTGGGAAGTATGTAGTGCCACAGATAAATTCGGGTGCTGCATGCGAACGGGGTGTCCTCCCAAAAGATTGTACCGGTACTTTCTAGGCACCTTTTATTGCCCTGCACTTGAATTCCAACTGAATTAGGGTGAGACCTGTCTGGCCTTTGGGCACCGAGAGTGCTTGATTGCTGGGAGTGGGAAGTATGTAGTGCCACAGATAAATTCGGGTGCTGCATGCGAGCAAGGTGCCTCTCGTGTATCGGATACTAGGTTTATTGGTACGTAAATCTATCTCATTCACTACACACTCTTTCTCATCACTAATTCATATATGATTCTGTATCTATTCCCGAGTTCAATCTATAGTGCATAGTGGGCATTCGCATAAACGAATCGTACCGGTACTTTCTAGGCACCTTTTATTGCCCTGCACTTGAATTCCAACTGAATTAGGGTGAGACCTGTCTGGCCTTTGAGCACCTAGTGTGTTTGACTGCTGGGAGTGGGAAGTATGTAGTGCCACAGATAAATTCGGGTGCTGCATGCGAACGGGGTGTCCTCCCAAAAGATTGTACCGGTACTTTCTAGGCACCTTTTATTGCCCTGCACTTGAATTCCAACTGAATTAGGGTGAGACCTGTCTGGCCTTTGGGCACCGAGAGTGCTTGACTGCTGGGAGTGGGAAGTATGTAGTGCCACAGATAAATTCGGGTGCTGCATGCGAACAAGGTGCCTCTTGTGTATCGGATACTAGGTTTATTGGTACGTAAGTCTATCTCATTCACTACACACTCTTTCTCATTACTAATTCATATATGATTCTGTATCTATTCCCGAGTTCAATCTATAGTGCATAGTGGGCATTCGCATAAACGAATCGTACCGGTACTTTCTAGGCACCTTTTATTGCCCTGCACTTGAATTCCAACTGAATTAGGGTGAGACCTGTCTGGCCTTTGAGCACCTAGTGTGTTTGACTGCTGGGAGTGGGAAGTATGTAGTGCCACAGATAAATTCGGGTGCTGCATGCGAACAAGGTGCCTCTTGTGTATCGGATACTAGTTTCATTGGCACGAAAACCTATTTCATTTTCTACACACTCTTTCTTTTTACCAATTCACATATGATGCTGTATCTTTTTCCGGATTAAATGTATAGTGCGTACGATAAATTCATTTAAGAAAAGCACACTGATACTTTCCATAGCCCTGTTCTCAGAGGTAATTTGCACGAGATCTGTCTTTGGGCGTCAAAATTATCCAACTACTGGGAATGGGAATCGTGTAGGTCAGAGAAATGAGGGTGCTGCATGCGGACACGGCACCTTAATGTGTATCAGGCACTAATGACAGTTGCTTCTGCTCTATTATTTAGAGCAACTGAAACTGATTTGTACGATCATGAATAGAACCTAAATTTTATAATACCTTATTCAAATTACATCGTTTTGAATATCAAGAAATATTTTAATTACATACAACAATTGACGGATGTCATGAACTGGACTTCTCTTATACTTGGCAAAGCCGCATACGTCCTCAAAGATTATATTACCGGCACTATGTGAGTGGCCCTTGCATTATTTAATATTTTCACAAGAGTACAGTATGCAGCGGAAAAAACGCCAGCTGCTTTAAAAAAAATCTATCATCATTGGAAGCTCTGGTGGTTCGCGATGGTCATGAGCATGTCTTGTTAACCCGAGACGTTGTACCTGGTGATTTGCTCATTATTAAAAGGAGGAGAATCTGTGGCAGCCGATGCACGCATAATTTATGTGACGAGTGGTTTAGAAAGAGTCGAAGCTTTGTTGACGGGGGAATCAATGCCTGTGCAAAAACGTGTTGCTGTTCTGGATGACCCAGGTATTTTGTCTTTAAGAGATTTCCAGCGTTTTGCTACGACTATAAGCTAACGTGTCTATACTTAGCTATGGCAATATATGGATCAACAGAGCTACCTAGTGGTGATCGAACGAATATGGTTTACAGTTCGACAATTGTACCCAAGGGTCGCGGACGTGCTATTGTCACAGCAATCATCATGGGAACCGATATCGGCAAGGTGGCTGCTCAACTAAATGAGAAAAGCAATCAAGGCCACCGCACAAAACTACTGAAAAGTCTCAACAGACTGTACTCTTCCTTCCTGGTCTTAGCTGCAGCCTTTGCCCTTATCATCCTCGCCACTGTGAAGTTTCAAAACATCGGCTACGGAATTGGCATGTATTCGCTGACGGCTGCACTTTATGTACTACCGGCAGGCCTAACGACAATAATCGCAGTAATGTTGGTGATGGGTGGCAAAGAAATGACGCAGCAAAAAGCCCTTGTTCGACGGCTCAAATGTCTCGAGACGCTTATCAGTGATCAACAATCTCCTCCGACAAAACGGGCACGCTGACGGTGGCCAAGATGGCGGCGGTGCGAATGTGGATACCGGGAGAAGGATCTTTCCACCTCGAATCCAATGAATAAAACCCCAAGGCGACTTGTTTCGGGTTGTAGAAAATAAGGAGCCGCTGATGGTATTCCAGATCATCTGACAGCTTCATCGTCAGGAGGCCCCGAGTGCTATGACAAAGTAGACAAGACAGCTGCTGTATCAGAGTGCATGCGTGATTTGATACGTTGTGCGGCCCTATGCAACGGCTCAAGTATCCGACAGAACACAGCCGTATCTCATAAGGAGGACCTGAGCAATATCTGTGAGCAAGACATACCTGAGGACGCAGTTAGATGTGTGGCAACAGGTGCGCCAACCGAAGTTGCATTACAGGTGCTAGCTCACAATTTTTGATATGGGGAAGCCGGATCTGCTGAAAACTGCTGGATGGATTCAGCTCGCTGGATACTAATTCAACCCAACCATCAAAAGAATGTCTGCGTTGTATTATAATCGACAAAGCAAAAAAGACAGTCTTATTTAGTAAAGGTGCTGCTGAGAGTATCCTACCTCTGTGCGACAATGTCCAGGATCCTGACAGCGTCATGGAAAGAGTGAACCAGCTAGCATCCCGCGGATTGCGTGTTATTATGCTAGCAAAACGCACCATTGACCATACTACAGTATTCGCAGCACCCGACGACGATATTGGTCACAGCGACTATATCGTGGAGAATGACGAAAAACGGCGCAAGCATTATAAACGAGAGGACGTCGAGTGTCACTGGGAGTATTTGGGTATCGTAGGAATTTACGATCCACCCCGAGCCGAATCACGCGATTCCGTAGCAGCCGTAGCAGCCGCTCATCGTGCTAGTACTGTAGTACACATGTTGACTGGCGATCATCATATTACAACAACAGCGATTGTCAAGGAGACCAATACATTAACTGATAAGTTGCTTAAAACGGAAAACATGGAACAACTCGTCAAGACGGGCCCTCAATTTGACGCGATGACAGAGGAGCAAGTCGATGCGCTTCCATCTCTGCCTCTTGTTGTGGCACGTTGCTCTCCCGAAACCAAGGTCAAGATGATCCAAGCTTCTCAGCGACGTCGACTGGTTTCCGCCATGACAGGCGATGGTGTCAACGACTCGCCATCACTCCGAATAGCTGACGTGGGTGTTGCCATGGGAAAAACGGTAGCGATGTAGCCAAGCAAGCATCCGACGTTGTCCTAACGGACGACAACTTTGCAACTATCATCAGAGCGATAGCGGAGGGTCGACGGATCTATCAAATCATACAGTTATTCCTAAAGTACTACTACATTGTGCTTTTCGGAATTGGGTTACTGCCATTAATATCGCTTGCCGTCCATGACCCATCCGGCCGAAGCGTAGCACCTTTTTCGACTCTCCAGATGGTATACTATTTCTTTGGTACGTTCTTCTAGCAGTTACTATTCAGGATGTACCGCGAAAAATATTCTGATAGCTGTGTTCAAACATATACGAAATAATCGCCCACCCGCTTCACCTACTACCAGCTGTCGCTCCACTAGCTTGCTAATTGTGTACCTTACCAGCCTCCCGAACTTTGATGCACAAACCTCCGTCCTCCTAATGATGGTAACTTGAACCGCGAGATCCTCTCAGACACATTTGTCTACTCTGCGGTTTTCGTCCTCTTTTTCATGGTAATATACATTCTGTTACTCGGTGGTTTTACGGTGGACCGTGCCGACTGCTATTTGAATTATCAACCTGACCTATGCAACCCACATTACCGAGCTCGAGCCACATTGTTTGTCTTTCACAGCTTTGTATCGGTAGTCGTAATGACGCATTGTCGAAGCTACAGAGAGCCTGAATGGAATTGGAAAGGTATCAAGGCAACATTCACGTCACGAACTGTTCTTGGATCGCTACTAGTGTACACGATATGCTCAGCTACGTTTATCAATGAATCTGTCATTGCGATCAACAGATTCCGATTTACGCGTATCACCTGGGAATGGGGACTTGCATTTGGCTTCGTCGTGGTATACATCTTTATTGGGGAGCTTTACAAGTGCACCCAACGAAAATGGATAGGACGATGGCTCACTCGTGTACATTCACCTGATGCCCTTCTATTGTCGTCGTAATACTACATGTATTGCTTTCATATCCCTTTGCCATTCCTTCTCGTTCTTCCCTCGCCAATTACCCGCCAACCATGACGATCAAAAGCATGAATAGTAGAAGGAAAACAAACAGTTTAATACCATATCAATCATTAATTCACAAACAAGAAAAAGGATTTATGCAATGACGCATAGGCTTTTCTTTTTTTTTCTTTCATTTCAATTCATAAAAGAAGAAATCTAGACGTTCATGTTTGAGGGGTTGGTGCCTTCCTCACGTTGGTTGTCCCACTTTTCGATCTAAAAGTTCATCAATGTCAGTGTATCATATCTCACACAGGAAATCGTAGAAAAAAAAAGTGGCGTGTTCTATCTTCCTCCCACCCCGCACGCCTCTTTAAAAATTCACTTACCCATTCGTTAGGGCACAAGCTGTGGTAGGCTCTGTAGAACTGCTTGCAGGGAGCAAAGTCTTCACCACGGGCGTTGATGCACTTGAAGTAGTCAACGTAGTTTTGCCAGCAGCTGTTGCGTTTTATATATAGAATGCAAATGAATATCGCGTGTTTTTTGAATATGCCTTTGAGCTGTCGAGTAATTCGAGAAACTAAACAAGTTAAATGCAATAAACACATACTGCTTGGTCTGGTTGGTGTTGGGGAAACTGTTCGTATAACGTTATCGTAGATGTACGCGTTTTTCAAAGATTGTAATTAAAGTTTTCGTTAATTATACATCATGTTATCCACAGAAAACGATATGTGCCATTAGAAACTTGAATTTATAAAAAAAAACTCACCGAGCGTCGAAACCAGCTAATTAAAGAAGAATTATGTACTGTAAGCATTTCAAATTTACTGGTAAATTAATTACTTCTGAAACGTGCAGATGCTTACCGGTGGTCAACTTAACGTCAGCAGCGTCAGACATGGTGTAATGAAGATAGGAAAAGAGAGAGGGGTGTTCGCAGTGCAAAATCGAAACGAAATTTTTTTAGCTGTTTGGACTTATTCAACCCCGGACAGCGGGCGAGCGGTTGCTAGAAGTGACGTAGACTCGTTCTCTTTCCGGCTGCCTTTTTCAATTTTTGGCTCACTCCCATTGCCTGTAATCATGGCATCCCCTCCTAAATTGGATTTTTTCGTTCGTACACTTAAGCTCGTCACTTATTTGATTTGCAGCATCCATGGACGGTGTAGTTGCATGTCGGGCTGCAAGAAATCGCGAAATAAGACCATTTTTCATAGCTGCTGACGCCAAAAAACAACCGGGGATCCGGGACGAGCAGTTTTATGCAGTCCACATATCTTGATCTATCAGTTGTGATACATGGGCAACCATATAATATAGCCTCGTACAAAATTATGAATGAAATGATTTTCTGAGAGGATCGGATAAGCAGGAAATTATAAGGTTGATAGAAGAGGAACCATATTGTGATCTATTGGCGATGTAATACATAGGAAAAAGTTGAAAAGTTATGCTTTATTAGTATTAATATGGAAGACTAGATGACCTGCGCCATGAGCATGCGGTCGTTTCCTTCCGGTATTAATGGTTCAAAAGTACGAAAGTGCTAAATATGGTGCCATTTCTGGAAAAAAAAAGCCAGTGGGGAAAAAGTGTGGCCAAAGAAGAAGCTGATGGTGATAACTCGCTTGAGGGAGCATCTTCAGGGGCTAGCTCATTTTCTGAGGTGTAGTCGGCAGCTGGATGATTCAAGCGGCCGATCTCACGAAACACTCGTATGAGTGCTGGTCAACAGATTTGCCATCTGCCTTTGGTGTTATATAACGTGTATCTATACTACAAAATATGATACTACTAATGATAAACTCTAGTCAACTCGCGAACTCAGCAATAACTACCTATTGAGGCCAGATGCTACCATTACTGCGGACAGCGAAGACCAGAACTTGAAAGTGTTAGTCGAGATAAAGAGTCTCACCAAGATAATTAATCGTGCAAAAACAAGAACATACATTTCAAAAAGACTTTGTCCCTTTTTATATTCAGCGGTGCATGGCCTAAACGTTAAGAAGAGCATCATTGTTCATCATGGGACGTCTATAAATTCTATTATCATGATTTGCTACCTCGATCCAGGTATCCGAAACCAAACATACAAGGAGTATATTATACACCGTGGTTTTTTTAGATGGATTTGGAGTACAGTGCTTTGTACCCATTTGTCAATTTTCCAGAACCTGCTATTTAGCAAGAAGCCAATTCGACGTGGCCTCACCAAGAAGCACAATTCGAGCCTTTAAGCAGTTAAAGGTTGGTGTTTTTTTGTACGTATTCCAATCAAAAATGTGCCAAAACTGATAAAAAGAGGTCCTGTCGCAGGCGCTATCACCATTACTCGCCAAGGCGCGAAACCCAGACAGCTACAAGTGATGCGCCTACACCAGGGTACTAACAAATGTCACCTCTTCCTCAAGTACCACTTCTGGTGTTTCACTTGCAAAATTAAAGTATATGTGACAAGTGCTTTACCACTATTAAGGGTGTTCGAGACTGCAAGGCTTTTTTTTACCATTTGAAGTCAGAAACAACAAAACATATGCCATCCGTGTCGGGTCTCCTACCATTAAAACGAGACTTTGTCGCTTTCGCACGTTCTGCTTAGCAGCTCATTCATATCAACAACAAGGTGGTATGATTGAAGAAACAAAAAAAAACTCATCAAAAAGATCGAGGAAGCCAGCAAATACTGCCAAAATTGACGATATACATATCAGAGAGTCTTAACGACACAATGCTGCTGCTGCTGCTTCTTGTCGTAAATGATAACGATCTCTCAAACCTACTAGAAGTCTGTGTGCTCTACAATGTAGCCAAAAAGTCACACGTAAATACACGGAGCACAAGATCTAGGCAAAGACAAGTTGGACAGTTAATAATAAGTACACTTGTTCACATAGGAATGGGTAATCCTGTTTTATTATCTTGGCAACAAAAGCAACAGCCATCATCACCAGGATTAACACAGCAAAAAGGTCATCATCATGAACAAGAGTGATAAACAGTTAAGCTGGTTTTTCCACTATCGATTCATAAAGCTTCACACAAAAACTGGGACACCAATCGACGTGTTAATGATGCTGTTACCGTTTTAATTCAACAAGATAATCTGTGCGACGATCACCAAAACTTCCGCTTTCAAGTGCCCGCAATGTACTGATTGCTACCACTTGCAGTATTGCATCGCAGCCCACTGAAGCTCTGGTGCAATTGCAAAAGAGTGCGCTTGAAAAAAGTAATTCAAAACCGGAAGACTCTGATCCAAAAAAATGAGTGTCAGATGACCAAGGTTGGCCGTCGCGCGGCATACGGGAGCTTACGCTAAAGAAAGTTCCCAGAAACTCGAGAAGATAGAATGCGCCAAGCAGGGGAAGAAAGAGAAGAAAGAAAATAAGTGTCAAGTGCTCGCTGCTATAAGCACTTTCGCATAAATGCCATTGAATCTGTTACATCCATTGAAAAATGTTATCCAGGAACAGCCGCACACCGAACCCATTTGCTGCTTGCCAAGCGAACCGCTTTCAGCAATTTTTTCAGACTTCTTGGTGCAAGAATTGTCTGCTACTACATTGGTGTCAGCAGCATGACAAACATTGATAACCTTATGCGTACGACCGTAACACTCATATGAGTCAAGTCACGATGACGAGGCTACATGGGTCGTAATCCCAAGTATTGCGTGCCATGTCAGGAACCTGGTGTATCACTATTTTGCTGTCAATAAACACGACCAATTTCAGGCGATAATCGAGAAATTACCGAGTCCCATTTCGCATACCATTGCGATCGCTATTGTCAACTTAATCTTCGTTGCCTTCGTCATCACTACTGCCTTTAGAGTCTTCCATCTCATCCACAAATTCGTCCATATCTTCAGTAGGCGCAGATGCTAAAGCCATTTCTGTCAAAGAAAGTGCTGGATGGATATAACCACTCGTCACCGTACTGGTGTACCCCCTTGAAGCAACTTGGGCTTCATGGCTATCTGTATCAAACACGGCTAGAAATAGAGAGCTTTCTGTTTCCTTATCTGTGACATTGCGAGAGACTGGCGCAGTGCTGCTATATGAAGTATCACTATGCTGTTCTCCTTGTCTGCCGAAGGACAGTAGAGACTGACGAGGATCCGCGTTTTCTTTCATTTTTGGTCTGCCCGCTTTGTGATTTGGAAAATTTTTCTGGCCTCGAGGTCGTGTTTTTTTTGAGTGAGTTTGTACTTTAGCGTGAAATGACTTGAGATATAAAGATAACGAGAAGATTACGACCGTGTTAAAACGAACAATAAAGGATTGCGTCGTTACAAACGCCGAAGTATTTCATGCTACCTAGACTAAAGCAAGCATTGGCTTTAACACAGCCCGACCTTTAGTAACTTTGATCTTCGCAACGAGCAGCATACCCATATGTCCTCCCGCGATTACCACTTTCGACTTGCAACATAGTATATCCATTTAGCCACCCTTTCTTTTCATTGACTAAAAAGCATCGAGTATATACATGTACCAAATATTTATTATATTTCTGAGGAAAATGGGGATGTATATGCTATGTAATCGACTTTACACTGTGATACGTAATATGTAATATGAAAAAAGTCCAATGTCATTGCCCTCATCGGTGATTTGTGCTACAAACAGAATGGATTAGTATAATTTTAACTTCTTTTTTCTCTTCTTTTTTTACTGTTCTTTTCTCTTTTTTTGTTATCATTATATGATTCTCTTCTTCTTTTTTTTCTTTTCTCTTTTTTTGTATTTTTTTTTCTTTATATAAATGAGGAAGTGGTATGGTAACGGACGGCACACACGGTTGTATCAAAGGATGACAGTCGTAAGCATGTTGGATGGTAGTTGATTTTGTGTACGGAAGTCGCACTGTGAATGATTCATTGATAGCTTGATAACCTTCGTCGTCGCCGATGCAAGCAGATACCAATGACCAGTTTGCTTCGTTTTGTCTTTTTGAGTGTGAATGTGAAGGTAATATATCTTCGCGTAGAGCTCCTGTCAGCGTGAAAAAGTAAACATCATATTAGTGTTTGTGTCACTCGTATGTAAAGCTCTATTTTTACATGCCTGACGGATGACCCATTTTGTTTTGCTTATTGCGAGCTCGTTTTTATGACTTTACGGTTCTTTGCGCCTCTGTGGCAACAGAAACCAACGACTCTATGTGTAGGTATAGATAAACAACGTTAGACATTTTTGATTCGATAAAGGCCTGATGCATGCACTGTAGCAAAGCATGCTCTTCTTATCATTACCTGGCATATATTTCTTTTTGGTGAGCTCTTCTGCGCTGTTAGCTTTGATAGCTAAAGCCGACAGCAGGTTGTAATTTAGTTTGGATATCTTGAATGATCTTGTAAGGTCTTGACAGTGTGTCCGTCAGGAGATAGATTCGTCGTGAGAGTATAGAAAAATGAAAAGAAGCTTTCGTGCCGATGCATCCCGCGTGTGCCGTCGAGGTGTTGTGTTGATTTACAAACGGGTATTTTTTTCTAAACTACTAAAAACATACACTATTAGTATTTCCAATCATTTGTTACACTTACCACTCAATGAGGGGATGACTTGGAGCTGAAAAATAGAACATGTGTGATAAAACAGCGAACGAAAGAAATAGAAATTGGGAAAATATGGATTGTAGATTCTTGTGACAGAAACACCAAATGGATGATACTTTCGAAAGGTTCTGACTATTTTTGTTAAAGAGTGTTTTAGTTAGTATACTCGTCACATAGTAACAGCGCTTCCTCAATCTTAACCTACCACATTATCTGCAGAATTCAAGATAGGTGCAAACATTTTTGACCGCGTATTATAGCGGTTTCGGACGTCCGACGCACACGGCGGCCATTAGTCTTGTCGGTTTGGGATCCAGACTGATTCGTTTGATAACATCCAGTTCGACAGCTGTGCATGATCGAGCAGTAGCTCTTGAGCACGCATGTGCCTCGATCATTGATAAGAGCATGACAGCTTCTTGTCACCGTGTTGACATTGTATAGTTTTTGTGAGTCTTGATAGCGATAACCTCGGCGCTGCTGCTGCTGCTGCTTGGCTTGGGAACTGCTGACAACCGTGACCATTGCGTGTGCCGCTTGTCTTAGTTATCAAGGATAGATGAACCAATTGTCCGTGTTGCTGCATTCGATGATGACCGCAATTTTTGGATGTGCTGCTTGCTTAGCAATGTTGGTGCTTGTCGTCGATGGTTGCCGCCAAAAACCCAATGACTGTTGAGTTTGTGGATCGTCCCAGCACAAAATAAGTTGGTTTGATACGAGTGATCCACCTCCTGACTTGTTGTGTGTGCTGCGTGTCCAACGCTATATCTGTAGGCTTGTCATTTGTTGCCACCAACCACTAGAAGACCAAAAGGCATGTGTTCAAATTTTTCCGTGTGTTGACAGGTAGTATTTTCGGAATCGGGCTAATCGCTTGTATGGCTGTGCGTGCTGCTGCTCCAGCGCTTGGTAGTTACTGCCATTTGTTGCCGCCGCCATCGAGTTGTAGGTGGTAGATAGCCACGTAGATAGACTTTTTCATGCATTTTTGTTGCGGTGTTGATTGATGATGGTGGCTCACCAAAATGGTCATACCGTGTGTGCTGCTCAACTTTCTTGTTTCTTCATCGTTTGTTGCTTGTGGATGGGCCCTAACACGGTGTAGTCAATCAGATGGGTTCTTGCTGTATCCAATGTTGAAAGGGGGTGCTCCGTCGCTTATTGTTGACCAACTTGGTACACTTTGGGTCAATCCATTGTTTGTGGCATCCAAAGTTGCTCGCTTGCTTGCTCCTGGTAACTGCAGCCTCACATAAGGGCCGCCAAACCCTATGTGCCTCCTCCATGGCCGAGTCCTTCTGCTGTCGCGCTTGAAGATGGATAGTGAAATTGACCATGTCCGTTGACTTGAGTGATAGAAAGAGACTGAAACATGGTCGTCCACGTTGGTTCAAGACTTGTCCGATCTTCATACAGATTTGTTATCCAGCTTCTCCTTGACTACCATTTTCCGCCTGAGGTTGAACTTGGTTGTCTGACTTGTGAGATATATGGCAATCAGCGTGATAGTTGTCGCACTATTGCCAATCGTGATCGTGGGATTGATGTATCGATAGCCCCCGCAAGAAGTCTTGTGCTTGGTAGGCGTCGCTGTCTTTTGCTCAAAGCATCGTTGATCATGCCAGTTTGGTTCAAGATTCAAAAGGTCGGCTCGACTTGGATAAATAGGTAGGGACCAAAGCGGATGCTGGATCGACGCCGCTTGTTGAAATTGCCTTGTTTGTCCGAAGAAATTCACGTCCTGAGTATAGCCGACGGTATGCCAAAAACTTGGGATAGTGCTACATTCTTGTGGATTGTCGTAGCATGGTACCTTTTTGTCGGGATGTCACAATGTTGTTTCGCCCGGTTTAAAATGGCAGCAGCAGCGGCAGCGATTCACACGAAGATCAACACGATAAATACGCCCTTGGCTTCTTTGAGAGTCACTCGAGAGAGATAGGTTCGGACCGTTTGGATATCAGGCGCAAATTCTCAAGAGCACCGGATTTTGCCTCCAAGAAACCAGGATCAAGCCAAAGACGGGATTCTCCACTCCTCCAAGTGGAAAAGATTCCCTTGAAAACCCAGGTTTCGCCTCCAAGAAACCAGGATCAAGCTGAAGACGGGATTCTCCACTTTCCCGTGCGGAAAAAGTTCCCTTGCCACAGGAAAATTTTTCCAAGCCGCCAATGGCTGGCAGTAACCATCACTGACACCACCCGCCAAAAGAAGGACAACCCCAGCTTCAGGTATCCAAAAAGCAAAAGTGCAAGGACGGGGTTGGACTTAGATGGCAATGACACCGAACTACTGGTGCCGGTGGGGGTTTCCAGGGTAAGAAGGACGAGGATAACTAGGCAGAGCATTCGGTAGCAGGGATTGAGGGAACGGTGCTCTAGTCACAAGGGCTTACGCAGGAACATCATCGCACATCAGCTGGAACAGACTAATTGACAATCCTTGAGGAAGAGGGATAAAACCAGCGAAACTAGCTCCTATCCGTCTTCTCCATATCACATCCGCCCTTTAGAAAAAGGTGCAGATACGATACGAAGAAGAGGAAAGGCAATAGAAAGATTTAGTTAGTGAAATCTTTTCTTAGATGCAAGAGTTTCCTTAATAAATAATATGCCACAAGAATTTGTCAAATGGTACATACCGTAATAATCACGAAAGCTTGCAAGCCTTGATTGCCATTTGTTGTCAAGAACCGCTGTGGATGTGCTTCGATGATGTTTCTGCTGCCTATCTAGACCAGAGCGTTGTTCCCCTCCCCACTACACTAGCTGTGCCATCCTCGCTATCCCCATGTGCCCCTCATACCCTTTCCACCCCCGGTGGCTGTAGCCCAGTGTCATATACCAATGCCGCGGTCATTTACCTCTGCTAGTGGGCCATCCACTGGGGTGCCTTCTAAAACCGCCCCGCCAGACGGTCGCCACACACACAGTGCAGCAGGCGGCAGCACGCACACAAAGGGCGCAGCAGCCCATGACCTATCTTTTTATATTTGATTAATAAGAGGCACGCATGCGAGATTCGAGCTAATGATATTACATCCATTTATATTTACCTTCATGTCCTTCCCGAACTAATCTCCAAAGCCGGCCAGAGACGAGACGGCCAGCCACAAACAAGCACGAAAAAAAACAGCCTAAATACGGGAGATAAAAAGGAAAATGATTAGATTTTGATAGATAGTTTGGTTGTTGATTGCCGCACTAAAGATACATACCCTGAAGCTTTCCACACCATCGCGTCAGTTGACGCATCGAAAACGCCAAAAAGAAGAAAAGCACACACAAAACGCGACAGCATCAACGCACAACAGGAACACCAGAACGGAAGAAGAGGAGGATCAGGAGGAGGAGGAGAAGAAAACCGACACAACCACGAAGCACCGAAACGAAAGAAAATACAGCCTAGATACGGAGAAAGGTGTAATATGATTAGATTTTGATATTAGGTTTGGTTGTTAATTGCCGCACTAAAGATACATACCCTGAACGCTTTCCACACCATCGCGTCAGTTGACGCATCGAAAACGCCAAAAAGAAAAGCACGCACAGAACGCGACAGCAGCAACGCACAACAGGAACACCAGGACGGAAGAAGAGGAAGACCAGGAGGAGGAGGAGGAGGAGGAGGAAAAGAACACCGACAGAACCACGAAGCGCCAAAGAGAAAGAAAAAACAGCCTAGATACAGGGAAAAAAGTAATATGATTAGATGTTAATATTAGGTTTGGTTGTTGATTGCCGCACTAAAGATACATACCCCAAATGCTTTCCACACCATCGCGTCAGTTGACGCATCGAAAACGCCAAAAAGAAGAAAAGCACGCACAAAACGCGACAGCAGCAACGCACAACAGGAACACCAGAACGGAAGAAGAGGAGGATCAGGAGGAGGAGGAGAAAGAAACCCGACAGAACCACGAAGCACCGGAACGAAAAAAAAAAAGAACCTGCCACACCCACATCGCACCAAGCTGCACACAGCAGCGCGCAGGACAACACCTACTGGTCAACTAAAGGAAACAGAAAAAAAATCATTAGAAAACAACCCTTTATTTCGTGTCATCACCAAGTAAAGAACTTACCGATCAAATCGTCGAGCTGAGCACGGAGAGCAGCAAGATCTTCCGAACGGAGAGAAGGGAGAGAAGAGACGGAACCACTGTCATCTTCCTCGGCCTCGGCGGCAACTTGAGCACGGATGGCATCAAGATCCTCTGACGTGAGGAGCGGGAGAGAAGAGGCGGCGGGTTCTGGGGTGGCGGTGGTGGTTATGGCGTCGGTGTTGATGTCAGATTGGGAGGGGTTGATGAGAGCCAAAAGCTCATCATCGGTCATCGCTATGTAGCGTTGGAGGTCAGACCGAGCTGGGGATTCATCCTCAGCTTCCATCGGCTGCAAATCGGCAGGAGAGTCCTCGGGAGAGTCCTCAACTACGCGATATTCCTCACCATGATCAGGCAGGGACACGCCAAAGGCGGTATGCCACGATCGTTTTTGTCGTGATGGCAGGGACGAACGCACAAAAGTGGTCGTATGCTCATATTGCAGGGACGAACACGCCGAAGCGGTCGTATGCTCGAAAAAGTATGGATTTTCGACAGAAGTATCACCTTCATGCCGCACATCAGAAGCGTCCGCCAACAAAGCCGAAGAAGGCATTAAATTGAAGGCTCCAACATCATACGACACAAAGTCATACGATGGATCCTCCATCTGCACATCTCGATCAGAGAGCGTGTCGTCTGTGTGTTCTGGCAGGGACTGACGCGCCGAAGCGGTAGTGTGCTCTAGCAGGGACTGACGCGCCGAAGCGGTAGTGTGCTCTTGCAGGGACGAACACGCCGAAGCGGTCGTTTGCTCTAGCAGGGACGCGCATGCCGAAGCAGCCGTATGCTCTGGCAGGGACGCGCATGCCGAAGCAGCGGTTTGCTCGGAAGAAGATGGCAGGGACGAGCACGCCGAAGCGGCCGTATGCGCATCTGGAACAGACAACGAAGGCATCGCGTGGTTGTCGACAAGTTCAAGAACACGGGAGCCATGCATAAGCAGAGGGGCCACAGGCTGATCTATCCTCACTTCAGTAGAGTCAGAATTACAGGAGCCATGCAAAAGCAGAGGGGTCACAGACTGATCCACGTCGACAGGTTCAGGAACACGGGAGCCATGCAAAAGCAGAGGGGCCGCAGACTGCTCCATCATTACCGTAACCATGTGCTCATCTTCCACAGTAATTGCATTATCGACTGTTGTTATTGATTGGTGCGGCTGAGAGACATGAGCGGAAGCCGCAGCAGCAGTCGGGAGCAACGCGTGGGGCTCAGGATTCCTCATTGCACCCAGGTGCTCAGCACGTCGCGCGGGCACGTACTCGGTTGTCAGAACACCACGATTAACATCAGAGTCAATCTCCCAGTCAATATCCCAGCAATGATAAATACATACCGGATTAGAAGAACGAGGCTGTCCACCATACTTTACACTTGGCCGACGGATCGCATGCACAGGTTCAGTGGCAGTAGTTGAAGTTGTGGTGGCACGTTGCGTGAACAACGGCGGCGGAGGCGGAGGCAGCGGCGGGAAGTCTAATGGCGGAAATGGCCAAGAGAGGAACAACAACAACTTGAACGGGGCATCAAGAATCCATGTGCGCACATGAGTGCAACACTCGGCACGGACGACAAAGGCCACAAGGGCAACGGAAACAGCGATGACAGGACGGGACAGGGCATATCGGTAGATAGCGGCCACTGTTTCCTCAAAGATACACAGCAAGATACAAAGCAGAACGAGCTTGGCGAAGAGGGCGTCAGATACGGTGATCATTGCGACAGAATGTAGTAAAAAGAAGCTGGTAAAGAAGAAGACCAGTGGGTTGGGCAGGCAACACTTTCTTATCAGTCGCCGTGCGCAGCAGATTGAAGCGCCGACACAATTTTCGCGTGAGGTGTGCCTACAGCACCTTTTCACCTCTCATCGTGACATGGTCTTAAAAAAAGAAAGCGTGATTCTTTCTATGCTGCTGTTTAGTAACCGAGCAACGGCAGCTAACTATGGCGACAATCACTATGAGAGCAACGCTTTTTATTGCTATGATACGACACGCTACTGGTTTCTCAACCTATTTATGCGGCTTGTTGCTACGTGAAAAATCAGAGTGCAACATTTAATAAAAGCGAACGTTGCCACCAAAACGTTTCTTCCTTTTTTTTGCTTTGCTGCCAGAGCCATTTGATAATACTAATGTAACCTTGCTTTTTCGGAAATGAATAAATGAGTATCATATATACAATTAGTATGATATCATGTTGCATATGATATTGCTTTAAATCACTCTGCCATATCTACAACGCGTCATAGCTTATTAATTACCCCTTTGGACTTGAAGCGAGATTGACAGCTCTGACATCTTAACGTCACCTTAAGCAAGAGATGCGGCATCCAAAGGAATATACGAAGATATTACAGCGCCTCGGGCTCGAGCTTTTTGATTAGAGCAAAGAACGGATCAGGCGACAGCACCCAGAGCGTTCTCCTTTTGTATCCTTCAGGGCACTTTTGAGCTACAATCCGTGCTTGTAGCTGTTCGAAGTATTTGTCTAGTACATCACCACGGGAAAAAATCCTCGCAATCCTCGCAATCCTTGCAATCCGCGCAAAAATTGGCGCATGTGTAACGACACACTTTCCAAATATGTGCAGCGGAGTGGAATTTAATCCTACTGCGACCACTCTCATCAAACCGGTCTTCTTCTCCGCATTAACAGCCGCAGCAACAACGTTTAAGTGAAGTGGAAGTCGCAGCATCCTTCCATTTACCGGAAGGCGCACCACGCATTCCAGAGGGAGGCGTCATCACTGCCCCTCTCAGTGATGCAGGTAAGAAGAGGACACTTTCCGCTCAGCACGTAAAAAACTATTTCGTTGCGCGCGTGTGTCTTCGCGGTGAGGGCTTTTACACGACGCTCTACAATGAGGCCGCGCAAGAGGCCGCTGGTATCATTGAGGATTGGAGGAAAACGAGGGGCGAGAAACTCTCGTTAGACTTGAAGACGGCCTTTTTTTCTAAGGCCAAGGTACTGCACAAGATGGCGCAGTACAATGACCGGATGGCCAGGATGTACCAAGTGCCTCTGGATAAGTGCGAGAACAACTGGGTTACTCGCTACTTTTTCCAGATGCACTTGGGGAATGATGACCGCCGTGAGAAAGCAACGGCCAAGAAGAGGTATCAAAAACCATCATAACATATCTATGAAAGACTTATTTTGATAGCTTTTTATATCAAATAGTAGCATATCTCACTTCGTCTCTCCGTTGTTTACGAGAAACAAATACTAATCATTAGTAGTAACATTAAAGAAATTTTCCCAAGTGCTTTCATTTTCTAACTTCAAGGAAATCGTAGCTCAATGCAACTCCAATCGATGTCCACGAGATCGCAAATTTCATTGTAAGCTCATGAATTTCTCTAATTTTGTCTATTTCTGTTCTAAAAAATATTTCTCTTTTTTATGTAGCGATCTTGAGGCACCCATTAGCAACGATCAAGCGACTCAAGAGAGGTAATTATCTTCGTTTTGGTGCTATGTTTTTTATATTATTTTTAATGTACTGTCTGCTTATTTAGTCATGTTGCTATATCGTCCTCGTCTTACACCCCTTTCGCCCTCCCCACCACTACTACTGCCACTAATACAACTACCGCTCCTACCATTGCCATTACCACTGCTGATATTTCCTCTACGTCGACCGCCTCTCCTTTCTCCATTCCCGCCCCACCTCCTTCATCATCCTTGTCGACTCAGCAGCAACAGCCACGTACTACTAGAAAGCGTAAAAGCTCAGAATATGCACCTAGTAGTCGTTAAATGTGTCCTTTGCTAAGATACATGACTGTAGATGCATATCCCTAACAAATACATTTCTTTTTTTACCTATAATTATAGTAATTGGTATGATTTTATTGTGTCTGCTCGTTGGCCACTGATGGTTACACCAAAATACTAAATAGGTATTGGGGGTACTACACTGAGTTCAAAAGTTCGCGAGGATTGCGAGGATGGCGAGGATTTTTTCCCGTGGTGCATCATCTTTTAACTTCTCGGCTGTTTTTTTGATTTGCTATATGCTATCAATGTAATGATGCACGATATCGAGCAAAAGGTATTTTATTAGCACCTTTAGTCAATTCCTTGATTATCATACTGTCCGCACATGGTATTAGCTTCTTACCTCAAGAGCAAGCGTAAGTACTTTGTTTTAGATAGAAACCTTGCTACGTTTACTCGGTTACCTTCATGTCACTGCTCGTATAAAATATTGCTTAATATCTGCTCTTCTTGTACACTGTCGATAGATCATTATCACCCGCTTATTGACGCCCGATATGTCAAGTACCGTAAGCAAGCTCTTCACTTGGAGGTCATCCTTCAGGTGTTCCCAGTATTGGAGTAAACAGAGCTCAATTGTAAAGAACCGCAATCGTATTTTCAAAATCTGCCTATAACGCAAAAGCATGAGCATAAAACAGAAAAAGACCATTCAATGAACAGCGGACTTCAGGTTACGTATCTCGAGACAGATACACAGTATGTCATTGCTTCATTTTTAACACCTACACTGATTTTTCAGCAAATGGAACGTTTTGGCTGCAGTTGATCGAGCACCAACGAACCGGTTTGAAGTGCTACTAGCAATATATAAGCACCATCAAGACACAATTTCAGCTCGACGCACCACATGCACACCTTCTCAAAACGGTCTACAAATCTTGAGATTGCGAGCTGTAACTCGCGACCCGTTTGAGAGCCGTTTATGGTTTGCTTGCAAGGATATCAACATCAACCAACTGATAAGAAAAACAATAGCAACAGCTTATAAGAGCTTAGGCCAACTTGCGCTGTACCGCTTATTTATCGACCATACAATTGTATTATCATCGCAGTGGACCGGGAAAAGGTGTTCTCTGCAAGCCCTGAAAATTTGACATGCTTTATATAGCAACCAGCAATGCAACGTTACGGTTGCATAGCCTTAAGAGTAGCTGCCCGGATACATATGATAAAACAAGTCATTCCCCGTTTGTTATATTTCATAGTAGGATCTAGCTTCTCTCCCTACGATTCTCCTCCTTCTTCATTAGTATATTTATAAACTGACAGTGACAGCCTGGCTACTGTAACATGATATATTTGATAATAAATTGTTGAAGAAACATGCGCTCACACGCACAAAAAGAATGCCCTGATCAGGTTAATCATACGCGAGGGAGATATGGAATCTGTTTTCAAGGCTAAGAAGGGTATTTTGAAAGACATTTATATAAGGAGAAGACAGAGGGAAGGGGCGAGGAAAAACATAGCATTCCCAGGTTAAAATCCATCCATCCTCACGGGCTCGCGCCAGTCTATTGTCGATCAGCTTACCCTCTTGCTCCGACGTCACAGTCATGACAGAACGCCGGGCCGGGGGGAGAGCAAAAAAAATAATCTCAATAAAGCAATAGCGCTCTTTTCCTCTTTCCACCGATCGGCCCATACCTACATTACTTTTCACAATGCTTAGCAAGATTGTCACTAACCCCCACTTTGGAATGATCAGCCCCGAGAAGCTGATTCGCGTGTAAGTTTTTTTTTTCTCTTTCGGATTTAATGCTCAGTTGGTGTCCCCCATTCGAAAACAAAAAGTTGGATTGGATTTTTTTTTAAATCCGCGTCCATTTACACGCCACGATTTGAACATGTATGTATATAGTGCTCCTAGCCTTGCCGTCTGGGGTGCTGCTGCTGGCTCTGCCGTTGCCCTTTTGGGTTCGGATGTGCCATTGGTCAAGAAGGATATCCTTAGCCGTATCCCCATTGCTGGTGCTTACTGGGCAGTCCCTGAGGCCGACGAGGAAGAATAAACATAGTTTCACAGAACGCACACTCTTTTTCCGGCATGGATCTATCATCAATACATTTTCCACATATATGCGCTCCAACACAACCTTTTAGAAACAAGATGTTTGTCTCGGAAAGAAAAAGGCAGATTAAATATAATCGTGCAATTTTTATTTTTTTGTGTTGTTTCCCTTCTTTGTTTGTTCGAACTTTTTATCACATCACATTCAGTCACCAATTATGAAATGCATCAATACGATTCTCGCAATATTATTACTACATCAATTATCAACAGCTACGCCGACGATTGCACAACAACAAGGACAAGATCAACTACTTAACCGCGAGCAACAGCAGGAAAAACCATTATGTCGGAATATGCATACAGTGTTTTCAGAATCCATAAAGGGTTGGAAGGCGGATACGAGTCCGCAAGAAACATTTGATATCACCGCAGAAGGACTTCAGATGAATCTGAGGCCACCGATCCGTTATGACCGATTGATCCATCCTGCCACAAGTAAAGACAATTAGATGAGGAGGATATTGCAACCCTTACTGCTGATGTTTTCGACATTCTAATTGAAAACTTTTTTCTTACAGCATTACCATACAACAGCCATATAGGTCATGGTCCAACGTTTAATTCCACCACATATATGTTATATGGTCGTTTCTCGGCAAAAGTGAAAGCTTCTCATATTGGTGGTGCCATCACAGCCGTTATTCTGATTGCTGACGGCGGTGATGAAATTGACTTTGAGCTATTAGGGTGTAAGTCTATTATATATTACATACCCATTACCACCAAATTACTAAATTTCTTTTGGCGCCACAATGTTCTAAATAGCTGAGAAGCATACTGCACAGTAAGTTCTGGAAACGGGGAGGCATTTGTTTGTGGCTGAAGAAAAGTACAAATACGGTAGATTCAAATGTTTACTAAATACCATTAAAGGACAAACTATTTTTGGGGACCCCATCCTATGTACACTGTGAATGGCGGTTTTCACAATGTAAGCGGTGACAATATCTATGAAAAATTCCACACCTATACAATTGACTGGTAAGTTTGTTATCTTTGTTTGACCTCGGTATTACCTCGGTGATATATACAATAGCTGAGACTCTATCCATTACAGGTCGCCCGAACGTATCATATGGACTATTGATGATGATGTCGTACGTACCAAAGAACGATATCAGACATGTGAAGGATCCGTTTGCAAGTTTCCATCTCATCCTGCGTATGTTTCCTTATGAACACTTTTGCAAATTAGGAATCCCTCAACAACTTTTACTAACGTAAAAAACCAATCTCATCCATAGACGTGTGCAAATAGGATTCTGGGACGGAAGTTTTGAGTTTGGTACAGCGGAATGGTCACACGGCCCTATTGATGTAAAGATCTTCCTCCCTCAAAACTTATCAGTTTGGAAATGACAAAAGAGGGTGATACTAACGATCCAACCCTTTGTTATATAAATATAGTGGGAGAGGCACACTGCAACAAACATCACATCAGTTCTGCAGGAAGTAACTATTGAGTGCGACCCAGAGTATAATCAAGTGGTCGATGTCTTGCCAGGTGACGAAGAGCCATTGACACCTACGTTGCCCAATGAAAGTGGATCACAGGAAAATCCTTCAAAATGGAAGCCCAAGCCAGACGACGACCAAGATTCATCCACGTCGTCTGCTACATCATTCAGAACTAGCATACCTTCTCATTACTATATTTACTACTATTACTACTTTGTTGTCAGCTTAATCACTATTGGCAATACATTACGCTACTACTAAAATAGGGATATGCATTGATTTTTTTTGTTGTTCTTTTTTTTTTACCTCACTCCCCTCTTGTACAAAGGAAAATGTGAGTAGTAGCTGTTTTCAGAATGTGAAATGTGATCAAAAAGTAGAGTATGGTGTGTGTACTATTGAAGCTGGATTCTGGGGAATGATGGTGATCTTGACTAGGAACGTGTGCGCAGCACCTAATACGCCAACTTTTCCGTTCCTACTGTTGTCTTTTTTTTTCTTTACTCTTCTTTTACTTTCAAGCGGATTCCTTTTTCTTGGCTTTCATACTACTGATACAATACGGATGGACGTATACTTTAAAACATCGGCACCAGGTACTACTGCAGCAGCAGGTGGAGGAGCAGTTGTCAACAGCAAGCATGGTGATCGCTCTGCTACCGCTACTACTGCTGCTGTTGCCACACGTTCATTCTGGAAATTGGCCAGGATGATGTCAAAACACGACCACAGGATTGCACCGTCCAATGCACAGCAAGTGAATTCTTTAAAAAAGCGTGCCATGCAATATTTTACCGCAGCAACAACGACAAAGCCAGCACTCCAACAGCAACACAGCAAGGATGATGAATTTGAGCAAAAAGGACAGGTTGCTAGCAGTAATCACTGCACGACGGCTGTACCGCAACCGGCATTGCTTCCAGCAGCAAAAACGACGATGAAAACTACGACTTCGATGCCTTCGTCCACAACAGTCTCATCCTCCTCAGCAACAGCAGCAGCAAAAGATGCAGCTAGCACTACTGTTGTAGGAGCAAAAACATCACCATCAAACCATGGCAGTGGTCATTTGAAGAAAAGTCCAAGTGGCCAATCGGCTTCTTTATCTACAGCATCAAGCTACCGACTACGAAAAGCAATGGCGTGGTTAGGACGGTCGTTTCACCGGTTTCAATATAGCGGCTTGATAAAATTCCAGAAAAGAAAAATGGAGAATAACGCATCGTTGCCGTCCCTCGGCGATTATGCACCATTGAGCACGGGGAGACATGCGTTTGAAGGCTCTGAGCGACCATTTACTTATGCGTAAGGAGATCGATAAGCAGGTGAATCGCTTTGTTACATATACTAAGAGCATGTGTGTCTGATAGTAGTAACACTAGTTCCAAAAAGAAGAATATGGAGATGCATGTCAAAGGTAAAAAGTGAAAAAAAAATGTGGATAAATGCAGCATAAATAATCATCATCATTTGCAACAGTGCTACGAATCACCAACCTGGCTTCATCTAAAGGTATTTAAACAAGTAAAGAGTGTAACCGTGGTAACAACAAGCAGAAAACTATTCACCATGGCAACTACTGATGTAGAACGGGATTATGAGCTCGATATCCGAGTCAACGACGTGAGTCAAACATTGGTCCGAGGCAGCCTGAACAAAATAACAAAGAAAATCAGTTCAAGCAAAAGCTCATCCAGTGCGATTACTGTGTAAGTGGGAAGAGTAGTGGTAGCTATCGTAGGTGGCGATGAGAAAAAAAAAATCCGCTGACAATCATCATAGGCCGGTTAAAGAGGATGAGCACGTGTCACTTGAATTTGTGGTGGCTACACAGGCACCTAAACAGCTGATCCAGAGCATCACCAAAGCAATGACGAACCACCATCATCATCATACGAGCAAAAATGTGGCGGCGCAGCAGCACCAGCAGCCTCTTCAGGTAGTGGGTGTGGCCCGTGTGCCACACAATGGCGCTGTAGGGAAACGAGAGACCCGACGTTATAAGCTGGCCAATCCAAAACAGATCAAGGGCTGGGATCTAGACTTGACGGTCGAGCTATCTTATACACAAGCAGAAAAGAAAAAGCAGCAGCAACAAAAGCAACAACCACCATGGACGTACTATACGCATACTTCGGGGCTTTCGGATCTCTCCGCGAGCGATGACGATAAAGATTGCGATCATGAGACGCTGCAGCAAGCACGATCACACTGTCATCAGGGTGACTATTTAACATTCTATGTACGAGGCAAGACCTTTCCTGTAAGTGTGTTTTCAAGGGTTTTGCTTATACTTGCATGTAAGGACGGACTTGCAAATGAAAAAAAAAGGCCTAACACGCACAAATAATTATTAGACATGGGAGAGGTTCTGGGTAACGCTTCAGGAGAACCGGCTGTGGCTGCGGAATTTTTCATACAAGGACCAGCGGGAGCCCATCGATAGCATTCCACTCCAGCATCTCAGCCGTGTTACCAAGCCATCCCTTGACGATCAAGACCGCGTGTGTGTAAGCAGATCGCATGGTCTGGTCCTGCAGACGAAACCCGGAGGCATCGTCAAGGATGATGGAGATAGACAAGAAGAAGACCAGGAGCCGTTGGAAGGAAAAGTGTTTTTGTTTGCGGATAATGCCACGAATGCGCTGCATTGGCGACGAGCGCTGGCAGCTTATACATCGGATGTTGTTAGTAGTAGTAGTAGTAGTAGCAAACCTTCAGGGTCAGCAACATCATCTGCCGCTGCTGCTGCTGCGGTGATGGCTACAAACGGACCAGGGGTACATTCAAAATACGTTTGCTAGACACCAGAGAGAACGAATAATAATTAAAAAAGACACAGTCAAATCAAAAAAAGGCTGGTGACGAAAAACACAAAAATTTTCAAATTCGTAGTGCTGCGAAACAAGCCTATAAACTCCCTCTTTTTTTTATTACCTTTTCCTTTTTTTTCTTTTTCTTTTCCACAAATAATGAACAATGGAAGCTACAACAATGACAGCCTAGATCAGCGATTTGGTAAAGGATCTTTATTCGATTCGGGGCGGATCATGGATGAAATACATTGATGAAAGTAGAACAACTCACTAAATTTAAAACGATGGATCTTGTTAATAGCTGGAATGGGCATCAATAACTCATCTAATCAACCTCCACGAAGCAAGTATGTTCCTCCTCATTTGAGAGACAGACAAGCTGGTCCTAATGAAGGCGACGGTGCCAGTGCTGGCTGGTCGGCCTGGAACAGCGAACGTCCTGCTCCTCGCAGCGACAGGTAGGAAGAAAGAGATTTATTTACTACTAATTACCTGAGAAAGATCGCCGCAGCTCATCTTTATGTTTTTCTTTATTTCAAAAGCTGGAACTCGTCTCGCTCCGACTACAGCCGTGGTGGTGGCTACGGTGGCCGTGGCGGCGGTGCTGCCGGCGGCTCTTTCTACGAACGTGGTTCTTATGGTGGCGGCGGTTACCGTAACCGCCGTGGTGGTGATGAAGGTGGCTATGTGCGCCGTGACGAAAGCCGTGGCTATTGGAAGGAAGGCGCTCACCACGTCGCCAATCCCAACCCTCGCACCGAACGTGAACTGTTTGGCAGCGCCGATGACTCTGACCGTCAGCACACTGGTATCAACTTTGAAAAGTACGACGACATCCCTGTCGAGGCTAGTGGCCACGATTGTCCCGAGGCTATCACTACTGTAAGCAATTTGCTATTTTTGTTTAATAATGCGAATTGGAGATTTGCAATGATGAAAGAGACACTAAGTCGTTGCAAAAACCTATAGTTTGCCAGCCCTCCTCTCGACGCCCACCTGTTGAGCAACATCGAGTTGGCTCGCTACACAGTCCCTACTCCTGTCCAAAAGTACTCGATCCCCATCGTCGGTGCCGGCAGAGATCTGATGGCCTGTGCTCAGACTGGTAAGTTAGCCTAAAAAAACGCAAGCTGCATAAAAAAAGGCACTAACATAAATCTAATAGGTTCCGGAAAGACTGGTGGTTTCTTGTTCCCCGTGCTCTCTGAACTTTTCGGCAAGGGTCCACTCGAAGTGCCTGCTGAAGAGGCTGGCCGTGGCTACCGCTCCCGCAAGGCGTATCCCACCGTCTTGATCCTGGCCCCTACCCGTGAATTGGTCTCGCAGATCTTTGACGAAGCCAAGAAGTTTGCTTACCGCAGTTGGGTCCGTCCCGCTGTCGTCTACGGTGGTGCCGATATTGGCTCCCAGATCCGTCAGATCGAGCGTGGCTGCGACTTGCTCGTTGCTACTCCTGGTCGTCTTGTCGACTTGATCGAACGTGCCCGTATTTCGCTCGCCAACATCCGCTACCTCGTCCTTGACGAAGCCGATCGTATGCTTGATATGGGTTTCGAGCCTCAAATCAGACGCATTGTCGAGAAGGAAGACATGCCCGGCGTTGAGGACCGTGTGACGCTCATGTTCTCTGCAACCTTCCCTCGCGACATCCAGTACCTTGCCCGCGATTTCTTAAAGGACTACATCTTCTTGTCTGTTGGCCGTGTTGGTTCGACATCCGAAAACATCACCCAAAAGGTCGAATATGTCGAAGACGAAGACAAGCGCTCGGTATTGCTCGACATCTTGCACTCAACTGAAGTGTCTGGCTTGACGTTGATCTTTGTTGAGACCAAGCGCATGGCCGATATGCTCTCGGACTTTTTGATCTCCAACAACTTCCCTGCCACCTCTATCCACGGTGACCGCTCCCAGCGCGAGCGTGAACGTGCTCTTGATTCGTTCCGTACAGGTCGCACTCCCATCATGGTGGCTACTGCTGTCGCTGCCCGTGGTTTGGATATCGCCAACGTCTCGCACGTCATCTCGTACGATCTTCCTTCTGACATTGATGACTATGTCCACCGTATCGGCCGTACCGGTCGTGCTGGTAACACTGGTCTTGCCACTGCCTTCTTCAACCGTGGCAACAAGAACGTTGTCAACGACTTGATCGATATTTTGAAGGAAGCCAACCAGGAACTCCCCTCGTTCTTGGAGTCGATCTCCCGTGAAACCAGATCGTTCGGTGGCGGCCGTGGCCGTGGCCGTGGCCGTGGTGGTAGCTTTGGTGGCCGCGATTTCCGCAAGTATCCTCAGAACGATAGCTTCAGCCGTGGCGGCTATGGTGGCGGCGGCGGCGGTAGCAGCGGCGGCGGTGGTTACGGTAACGATAACAACTACGGCGGCGGAAGCGGCTACAACAACTATCCTCCGCTTAACAACGGCGGCGGCGGCGGCGGTAGATCGTCGTACGCTTCTCGAGACGTGCCTCTGCAGTACCAGACCAAGACCAGCTGGTTCTAAAGAGTTAAAAAAAGAAAAAAGGATTCAAGGATGGGGCGTTGTGATGCCAGAGCGCGCTCTTATACTTTGCTTTTCCTTTATTATCAAAATTCCAAAAAAAAAGATACACACACGTATTACAGCCACACCAACATCTTCTACGCGCATTGTCATCCCACACACCCATTACGAAATTACTCATCCTACCTTTTTTTTTCTAAAACTCGCACTTTCCTCTCTTAGTATCTTTCCATTTCCATTTCGGTTATCGTCTTCTCTTTTTCCTTTTTCTCCTTTCCTATCATCATTTGCCAGCAACTCAATCAGATTTACTCACCCACGCTCTCCCACATATATATTACTTCTCCTCTCTTATATATAGACTTTTCTTCTTTTTTTCAAAAACCTCACCTTTTGCTTTTCTCTCCTTCCTTCCTTACTGTTTGTCTGTTGTGGTTGTTTATAATGAAAGAAAATGATTACCAATAATTTAGTCTTAAACACCCTTCGTCTGTCTGTCTCCCTTTCCAATGCTGTTCTCCATATTGCTCGCACTAAAACAACTGCGGTCAGACGTATTTGTTTGCATCCGGCATGCAGAGTCGGAGGACTTGCCAAGAATAGCAAATTTGCCCGCTTGCCCGCTCGGTACATCTGTTGGCGATATGATCCATCATTGTGTGCATGGTGGTTTGGCTATAAAGGGTGGTGTGTGTATGCTAGCTCAGGCGAGATAGTGGCGCTTGACATAAGTATACAACTCTTCTCTCATGTTATGTATCTTGTTATCTGACGTTTTCCAGTGATAGATGGATGGGGATATGAAATACTTGCATGCCCCTGTATTAAATTGGATCTGTGTACTTGCGGTTTTATTTGAAACTGCTAGCAAAAAGCAACATACAATACTCCAAAATCACCCTCACCATGATCACGTACAATAGTCCATGTAGCTCCTATAACCGTCAATAACCCGTACCCGATAGGAGTTGTTTGTGTCAGTTAGAAAGTATGCCCCTTTTAAAGAAGATATCGACTGCATCAAACTTCAATCTACCAATCTGGCGTCAGTTTTACTACGGATGATAATATGATTAGTAACTCAACAAGTGACGATGTGAGGTCACCTACATTTACCCGTGGCGTCAATGAGCGCTCGTCAAATGCCGGTCTCTCCATCTTTTCATTGTAAGCAGCTGTGTATAACAGTCGGATTCTTCCGCCAGTTTAGAAAATGAACCTCGGATCGAGCCCGACCTTTCGACACGTTTAGTTCGCAGTGTTCATTCATACATATGCGTTGACACGCCTCAGAACTAGATATACATATCTTATTCTTCGATGAGGGTCATTAACGGAGATACCATTGAGACCGTGATTTCCTGCTGCTGCTTATACTCCCCCAATTTTTTCGTTATTTTGGCACGCTATTCCTCCAAACTCATAAATATGTTAGGTAGTTGAATCAATTCAACCGATTTTTATAACTACATTACACTCATAGTCCATCATGTTGAAAGGTTGACGGAGCTTATTTTTCAATCTTGATTCGATTGTCGTTTTATTGGTCACATATAAATGATTTAATGTTTTACGCCACAAAAATTCCTGACGAATTCTGTCGCCTGTTCACTCTAGTCCACTATGCGGTTGTCCTTCGTCGCACTTGGTACTTTTATATACAATAAAGATTTCTGTAGTACTCTCAGTACTGTTTAGTGGAAGCTTTTTTGGACTGTCAAGCTTTTGTGATATGCTTGAAAGTACGTCAGGGTACTCGGCACAAGACTTAATTAAGCGTTAACTGTTTCACCAAAACGCGTCTGCCATGCCTCCTCCAAAGGTGTATGATACCTCATGATTTCAATCTTCTCGACCAGACGATATGTAAAAATCTGACTTTATGATACATGTATAGCGAACGATCACAGATATCAATTTAAGCTGGTTGTTTTTTTTTCAACCTATGAGCAGCTTATGCTTACACTTTACTTCATTATATCACATAAGACACCAGTAACAAATAGACACGAAGAAGCTCTATTGCTATTACTACTGCGCCTGGATAATAGCGTAATCCCTTTAGAGAATCATATTAATGCTTGAACGGCATCCTCCTCTAAACTAAGATATTTTAAACCAAATTTAAAGTCGGTTGCAGCCATGTTTATACTCCAACAACAACAGCAAACAAGCTGGGAATAGCTCATCGTCCGTTGAGATCCCGCATTCGCTTCATCGTATGTATAAAAAGTACACATTGCTCAGAGAAAACTAGACCTGTCAACATCACTGCCACGAGACGATGCTCGTTTTGTCGATACGTTTTTCGGCGACAACGTGTTGGGTGAACGAATACTCGAATCACAAGGCATATAGTATTAATGCAAAGGAAGAATTGATGATACAAGTACATCGTCAGAACATGGTCAAGAGAAACTCAATTATGTACTTGATATAACAATACCGAGTCTTTTTAAAAATGTGCAGTCTTCTGTAACGAATTTGTGGTTAGTTCTGGAGACCAAACGCTTTTCAACTGCTTGATGAAAATGCTCCTGGTTTTCTTCTGCTAAATTGGAAGGATGTCAGACACCGTCAAATGAATATGTGCCTTTTCTCAATGTTTTAGCCCCGTAGAGCTCCCTCTCCTTTTCTTGCTCTCTTTCTTCCAACTTTTTCTTTCAAAGAATTAGGCAATAAAGACTGCATATTATTTCATGAGAAACTTTGTCCGTAGACTATGTTGCTTTACCAGCCACTTGTAAAATATATGGTTTCTGTCTTCCTTGATATGTACAATTGGACGGTAAACAGACTACAACAGTACACCAGTCGACCCAGCACCGGCGATAGGACCACACCAGTACATGTGTATCTCCGACGGCGGGCGTATGACAACTTTGAAAGTCCATTTCTTACATACCAGCCATAGAAAATATTTTGCTTTGGAGTCTACCTCGTTTATGAATCGTCAATGCTTAACCTCATTAATGACACACTAACTTCGTTGATTTTACTTGACCATGGAAACTCCTTGTATAATCCACTTGCTGTTTGTTGCTTCAAACACTATTTTTTCCATTCTAGTACCTGGCGGCGACGCGACTCAAAGCGGTGTTTTCTTGCGCTGCGGTCGTTATCTTATACTTATCAGTGACGATAGCAAGGGTAAGAGGAACAGAGCACTGGATGTAGTGGCCCACGCCAAGTTGGCAAGCTATAAAAAAGCATCGGTTGCTGACAGTGCTAAAACAAAGTTTCCAGTGCCAATAGTATGTGCGAACGCTGTGTCAGTTGGTTTTCGCCTTTTCCAATCATGAGCAACTCGGGCCCCTTTCTGTCAAGCGAGAGTATCAATGATACATTCTCAGTACCCGCCAGTTTGATGCTGCATCAGTTTGCTGACCTGGTGACCTGACAACGTTACATATTTACTAGCTCACTGCTAGTAAATGCATATGACAAACATTAGTAACATCCTAAATCGGTCAAATATTCCCACGACATGAAGCAATATTTGTTTGATTCTGCAAACACAACCCTCTTTCTCTATATTGCAGTGGCTAGTGCAAGTTGCTTGGGTGGCTCTCGAACTGCTTTTAGTATGTCGCAAAGAGCAACATAAAATCCGTGAAGCATGTAATACTGTACAATCAAGGGATTTTATTGGGCTCACATAGATGCTTGGATAAGTGTCGTAGAAAAGAGAGCCTGTAAGCTCATAACCGCAACAGGTCTCAATAATTACAGGAGGTAAGCAAATAATCATAAGTTTCAAAGGGTAGTAAACTTTTCTAAAGGGAAATCATCTTCATTTGACAGCTTAAGCAACGATCGCAAAGTTGCTTCTAAAAAAAGGCGACATCAATATCAAAGATGCGACATTTGATTTCCAGGTAAATTTAACACATAATGGCATATCAATGACATTTATAAGCGCACTACAAAATAGCACGCCAAAATTTCCAGTAAAATATTAAAGTCAATATAAAAAAAAATGCAATGTATTTATATTGTACAACGCGAATAAAAGTAGGTTGTGGGGTATTTTGAATACAACTTATATATACAACATAATGAAAAAACGAAGGAAACCAAAAAAAAGGAGAATGGAGGAGAAAAAGGCAAGTAGTAACGAGATGAATAAAGTACACTTTGTGAGGGATAAAGGAAAATGTGTGTAAGGAATCTTTTTTACGAGAATGCTTCGATCAAACCCTCGATAGAGTCAATGGTACCAAAGATAAGGCCGACAATGCCGAGAACAATGATAAGAGCATTCCATGCCAGTTCGTAGATGGGTTTGTTGCGGAAGCCGGTCAAGCGCCAGTAAAAGAGGACGGGGAAGATAAAGATCAAAGCACAGTTGGCAAACGAGCCAATAAGACTCATGAGCAAGTCGAAACGAGGAACGGTACATGCAATGACACCGACGACGACCATGATGATGATACGGATGCAAGCACGAATGATAAATTCCCAGAATTTACCAAAGCGTTCAACGGTAACATTGAGCATATCTTCGATATCCAAAGCGAACGAGGTAGTCAAAATGGGCGCAGCCATCAAAACGTGGACAGTCATCAAGACGATGGCGATGATACGTGGAACGCCCTCAGGAATGCTGTTGTAGACGGGATTGATGACCGTGTTGCCGTAGACATAGTAGCCAGGTACTGCGGTCATAAAGTACATACCGGCGCACGTGCCAAGACCAGCGATAGCGACCCAAGGCCATTGCTTGGGTTTCTTCATGGATGCTTCGACGTGTGGGTAAACTGCGTTGCCACCAAAACTGAACGAAATCGTACTAAGAGCGATAGGGAATTTATCCCAGATGACGGAGTCGTGGTGAATATCGGGCCAATTCTTTTGGTCGAGGCATGCCATGATGAGGACGATTAAGACGGTGACAAGTGTTGCAGCAGCACCGAATGCACTCATGAAAGCGACTTCTTTCATGTTTTTGACGATAATGAATGGGATAGCAACAATAGCGGTTGAGATGATGATCCATGGTGTTTCGCCAATATCGCCAGCGGTTTCTTTGCAAAGCTGGTTTAAGTTTTGACCACTGAGCACCATGTACAGGATAGGTGCACCGAGCAGGATCCAAGCGTTGAAGAAAAAGGTGACCCAGCCACCGATCCAGCCGAATGACGCAGTGGCGACTTCTTTATAATTTGACAGGCGAACAGGTGGTTTAACATAGAGACATCGAATCAAAATAATACCGGTGTACTGTGGTTATGATGCAGAATCATCAGTAAGATGCTCTTTCTTTTCTTTTCTCTAGAACAACAAAAAAGAAACTTACTGTAGACATGAACCATGAAAGGAACAGAATGAATAGGCCAATCCAACCACCCAGTCTCAGGGCATATGGCAGACCCAGAGTACCAGTACCGGCGATGACACACACAACGTTAAAGTATGCCAAAAATGATGAGCCTGCCTCACTACGGTCGACATCTTGAACGTGGTTTGAATCTTTATAATCAAAGTCGAAGTCTATAACAAAATGTAGTAAAGAAGAAAGAATTATTACGGTTACAATTCTTAGCTACTAGGTACATTTTCCTGTCGTCCTTCTAGATCATCTAGTACAGGATAACAACGCACCACTGTAGGCTTCGCGGGTTTCTGACGGCGGGTAGTCGGCCGAGGCCTTCTTTTCAGTGATAGACATTCAGACAAACAAAAGGTGAAATTCTGTTCGGATGTGCCGAACACCGCTTCTTATATACCGAAATATTTTTTTTCCTTTTTTCTTTCATATTTTACGGTGCGCTCTGGCATCCAATGACATCGATTGCTAGGCTACTCAAAGAGGAAATACAAGAAGCTAGCTAATCATGAGAACCCGAAATGGTTTCAATCGGAGCAAAAACAAAAGCGATTTACGATATGGGTGCTGCCAAGCGATTAGGTTTTCTCACACTTGTAGTGCAAACTTCCCACGATTCGAACGATGTATTAGAAGGTCCAAAGAGAAAGAGATAGAATGAGGAAGCTGCCGGTTTTGAAAAAGAGCTACTGCAGGAACATGTCATTATACACGTGGCTTTTGACTTGAGCCGACCTCAGCACATATACCACCACCAAGCCATTTTACTCAATTTTCCATACTTTCTTCAGCGGGTCTGACGTCCTTCCTCTCCGGATTTTGTTACTCCGTGACGAATCAGCATGCGCACTATTGTTCTGAAGGCATGACTCACTTGGTTTCTCAGCGATTCATTTGCTGGTAAGCACCGAAGAGGAGAACCTAAACAAGGCGGAGCGGACAAATCGATCGATGACCCAATGATATTGCCACCTCTTATTCCAAATTGCCCCCACGTTTTCCCAAAGCACCCCTGTTGATTACATACGCGGGTCACTAAAGCGACGCAATTTGACGTTATCGTATCGGCATGTTTATCTTTTGTGGATGGGAAAAAATAATTTATAAACTGGGGCAAATAGGGCGAATATAGCAACTGGACACAACATTTACAAACGTGGAGATGAGACACTATAACGTTTTAGTAAACAGAAAAAGAGGTAAGAGGGATTGGTTACTGCGAAAGAAATTCAATTGGGTATGTCCTGACTTTTTGTTTATTTTGTTATCTTGCTTATCCACTCTCCTCCCCTCTTATAATACGAGACTTGTGGCTTCAAGTGGAGCATCGTCAAGCTTTTGTATGATACACTTACGCAAGGTGCTTGATCAAGTAAGTGTAGATTCTGCTCCAGGCTTCATCACGGATCGCCTGTTCTTGCGATCTGGGCTCAATGTTCTTATCAACGAAGCCCAACTCCTTGCGCTTCTCAATACTCCAGTCGTCATCGTTCAAGAAAGCATGGCCTTGTTCGGGATAACGGTAAATGTTGACGTCGGATGCACTCTTCAAATTGACTTCCAACTTGTTTGCTATAAACGGGAGAAAACAGAACGTATCATTGAATCGTCTCGTATCTCTTTTTCTCATTATCTTTCTTTGTCTTACCAGCAGCAGGATCGCTGAAACCTTCCATGGTATCCTTAAACAAGAACACAGGGTTAGCCAGCTATATTTGGAATTACGGATTGAGTATAATTTACCTTGCCACCAAAGTGACCCTGGATAGCGGTGGCGCTCGTGATCTTGGTAACATCAAAGTTATCGGGTGTAGTGCCGTAGCAGGTCACTGCAGCCTATATGTGTTGCATCGCAGAAGGGCAGCGACAGCAGTATAAGTATGACTTGGTTCATCTTCTTTTGCTTCTTTCGCTGTTCCTCAATACTACTATCCCCTTCCACCACCATGGAGCTCCATCTTACCTTCAAAGGAGGGCTAGTCAATTGGGTAGCCAAGGCGAGTGAAAGACCGCCGCCCATGCAGAATCCAATGGCACCGAGTTTGCTAGATAATTGGAATAACAAAAATTAGTTTAAACGCGATATACAGCAATTTCTTTTCTCTTCTTTCTATCCTTATGTGTGTCCCCCAACTTTTTTACTTACGTATAACCTTCAGCATTCAACGACTTGGCCAAGGTTTCAAGTTCATTGATCGCCACAGTCCAGTCCAAGTTGGTCATCAAATGGCTAGCTTCCTAAATATCACAATTTGCAGCGCGCGCGCGCAAGTCAACCCGGTTGTGTATGTGTCAAAGTCATCTGTCACGTTTTACCCAGGTATAGCGATATATTCAAACATGCGCTAGCCCCTCACGGATATTTACCTCGGCAGTCAAACCAATCTTTCCCTTGTACAAGTCAGGCAAAACAGTTCTTGCTCCAGTGTTGTTGGCAATGCGCTGGGCATGCTGCTTGATCGTGTCGTTAATGCCCCACCATTCTTGTAGAACCTGATTTTCATTTTGTTCAGTTGGAAAATGAAGCGAGGGCCGTCTTTCTCTCTCTCTCTCTCTCTCTCCGACACCAGCCTTGAGTGATTACATTATACAACACAGAGGACAGAACACGGTTTCTTTCTTTTCAACTTACAATGATGGCAGCACCGTCAATCTTTTTGGACGTATCCTTGGGGTCAAAAGTGAGAACCTTGAAGGGCAAAGACATTTTTGTTAAATTTGAGAAATGGAAAAACGCGTACGAGTTGTTTGTTACTGCGTTTGGGCTTGTTGCCAATACCTATGAGTCCGTGAGAACCCCGCACTTTTACGTTACTAATCATGATTTTCGTGTTAACGTGTATCCGAAAGAAGATTCATGCAGAAACATGCCAAATTTCATGCTTGTACATGTGCTAGCCATCCTATGATTTCTTCAATTTATAAGGGTATAAAGGTATCAACAAAGCTCTCTTTTGTTGTGCTATACAACGCTCGTATTATATTATTGCTGGTTTTAAGCTACATCATCAAGTCGTCTGCTAGGCAACAAGTTAAGGCCCCCTCTCTCTTATCTATTGGTTCGGAGCCGGGTTGTTACGCGCTAATGACCGAATTGTCGGAAGGTCCAGTTCTACGAGCGTGGACAACCGATGACTAAAAAAGCTGGCCTGACAGCCTAGCAGTATGAACTAATCATTACCTATCAGAGATGATATACATTATAGTACGACCGTGATCACAATCAATTGGATAAAACAACTGCACTGAGCAAAAGACAAGCTCCGGTTTGACCGATCCGTTTGTCCGTGACGTGTGTGTAATACAAACTGCTAGAGAACGTGCAGAATTCTAAAGCCGATGCCTCCTTGACTCGAGCTTCAAGGGTTACTAATAGTGTACCTTGCTACAGCACCAGGCACCCGTAGACATCGTCATCGCAGGTAATACCGTCAGATGCTGACGTATAGGGCTCATGAAGGCAGTGGTGATACAATAATGGCAGCAAAATCTCTAGAAAAAAATGTGGATTACATGTCAAAATCCACGCCGCAGTCAACCGACGCGACTTTCCCGTTCATCACTATTCTGCGGCAACTATCAATCAGACACCACCTTATTTATCCATACACGGCGTCTAAAGACTCTGTTAGTCGGTTTTTAATGAATGTAAAGGAGAATTAGGGCTATAATCATACGCTCCGAGGTAGTTTTTGCTTCTTTATCTAATTACTATCTGGAGCAGGGCATGATTGAATAAAGTGAAGAGGGTCGAAACTGATCAGTTGCACACATACGCCACCAAAATGAATTCTTGTAATGGTATAGGTAGTGAACCTTTGTTTTTTGATCTAAAAATTCAGCGTCGCCAATCACGTTACTGTACCTATTCTCGCTATGATTCCCATTTCAAGTATTTTCCAGGTTGCTTATGGAGGATAAAACATTATCATCTGTGAGTCAAGTCGAAGACTTTCATTGTGTCGATAGCAATAGAAAGAAAGCAATCCAAAGGTTAAGTTACTAATAGTTCTATCGTCGTATAGGCACAATTTCCAGCATGGGATTCTGAGGCCTTCATCCATTTTTATAAAGGATCAAACAAGTACGTGGTATAGCCCGACCAACAACGACAACTGCCGCTCTCAATAGTGGCAAACTGGAATTCGAAACGGATCGCCTTAGATCTTAAGGTAGCTGATATACCTATATTTGACGTAAAGTTAGATGCCCACTTATTGTCTTCTTCTCTCTTTGTTTGAGCTTTGTTAAAGAACGGGTCATTAGCTTCCAAAATTGTAAGAAAGGCACCATCCTCAAAAGATTTCATGTCGACGTGCTTTGACGAGATACCTATCTGCGACGGAATATCTGTCGTTTTCTGGTTCAGACGAGTTTACAAAAGCAGTAGATCGTTTGAATGCTGAAGTGGTCGTTTTTCGTTGAAGAAGAAGTGAGGCTACTGATCAGGAATGGTGTTTGTGCTGACTGCATCAATTCGTTTCGTTTGTTAGGGTGAAATTGACTGGAAAGCGATAAGAGAACGCGTTTCAAGAACATACATAAAAACTAAAGTAGCCCTCGCCTGGTTTGCCCAACCAACACTAACACCTATTATCACACCGTTGCCCTCAAGAGTATCTACCAAAAAGGCTATAGCTACAATAGCGTTGGACGAATTAAGCGCAAGGAAGTTCTGGCCTCGAAGATGGTCGTATGTACGTGGAAAAATTTAGTCCTATTATTCACTCCATGATCATGAAAACAGAAGATATTTCGGCGTGATCCTAAAAGGAAACCGGCAACGCAACAGTATTGATTTCAATCAAAGCCTACTAGCACCACTTTAGAGAGTACGAGTAGATTACTCTTTTATCGGGAAAAAGTATGCTCGTCGCCTTATCAGATATTCTTAATTATATATTAAAACTGCAACCTTACCTTGACAGATCGCAACAAGGTCGTTCATGGAACCACCTTCGATCGCCGTTGTAGAAGCTGATTTGTATTGGGCCGAGACAACCCGTTTGAACATATTATATTTAATGCTGACCACGTTTTGAAGATGGATTCAATGGGGATGCAATTTCTGTTCGTATATTACCAGTTGTTGTCATAACAGATAAGGTAACTTTTAAAAAGCTATTTATCAGCACAGGAAAACATTAATAGCAAACATCAAGAACGTTATGATAATGCATAATCAGAACCGAACAAGAACACCTTTGGCAGGCCCGTGCGGTCTGTGTCGTGGAGTGCATCGACATTTGTAGCCGTGTGCGTTTCTACTAATTATTATTCTTGCTTCAGGCACACATGGCAACCATAAGAGACTGTTGTTTTTCGACTGTTGTTGCTGGGGATAAGGATTTACGCTACATTGTATCATCGTTGCTATAACAACAATGAAAGTCGCGTAATAACAGCAAAAGAGAGCTTAAACGGTACATGTGGTACTACAGTAATTACTAGATCAGTGAATTTGTAGAAGCATCCAAAAAGATTCGTGAACTGCACGTGACCGTCAGTGAGAGAAAACGGCCGATGACTGGAAAGTGGAAAATCAACAATCGCCAAACCGCACCACACTAATAGTAGACAGATGACTGTTTTTTGAAGCTCAAATTCAAATTCATGATGGGTAAGTATAGGATGTGGCAGTTCCGAGAATAGGGCATATGCAGGTTGTTGTAGGTTTATTACCGCCTTTGGAAAAACCGACACTTTTTTCAATTCAAAGGAAAAACGCCACGATGGAGTGTACTGATGTCTAAGTTCGTGATACATGAAAATAAGACCATTTATATAAACACAGACGCACGCATGCGCCGCCCTGGTTAATGTTTACATAAATATCATATTGTTTTCGTTGCTGCTGTTAATGGGCAAGGGACCATGGACATAACCACCATCATTAGAATTTTAACAAGAAGCCTGTCGCTCTTTTTTTTTCTTTCTTCTCTCTCCGTTGACTCTTATCCTTAATAATCGTGCATACATAAACATTTATTATTATCAAAAAATCACACGCCAACAACAACAACAACAACAATAACAAAGAAGACGCACATGATGAATTCCATTGAATTTCCTGCAGCCACTCTGACGCCCAAGCTTTGCAGTCGCCCCCCAAGACAAACATCGCGCCGGATCCTGAACCGAATGGCCCACGACTTGACGATGACACACGATATTTGTCTGCTTCAGGAAAGCGTCCAATTTCCTAGTGCCCCTGCATCATCCTCATTTAAGACAACAGAACCTCCAGCACTCAAGTTGTGTCACCCAACTACAACTACTATCACTATATCCTCCAAGAAGCGTCATCATAATAACAACAACAACAACAGCAGCAGCAGCAGCAAGGGATTTGTAAATCGTCTTGTAAAAAGAATGCTCGTGTTCAAGGCAGCAAAAAAGAAATAATAAAGAAGAAGAATTTTTACATAACGGTGAACTAGCGAAAAGGAAAGGGTTTGGATAAACAATAAGTAATAGTAGTAATATGGGTGGGGATAGTAGTAGTAAGTAATAGTAAGTGACTATGTATATGTGTATGTAGAGGATATAACTATAGAGTGGATAAGATATAGTAAGAAGCAGAGGGTTTATGTTATGGCGGGGCGGGGAGGAAGGGAGGGGGTGTTGGAGGGTGTGGATGAGCTATGGGGACCTTTTATTTTGAGAAGAGGCATAATGATAGAAGATGAAGGATGTGTAAGCGAAGCAGTACTCATAACAGGATTTACGAGGGGTGACATGATTTCAAGTATGGATGGAAGATGATGTGATGATATATAAAGAAAGAATGAGTGTTGGGGAGAGGATGTACACAGAAGGAAAGGTTGGGGATTGGGAAGAGCGTGGTTGAAGAGAATGCTGCAATTTTGGATGAGAGAGGAAGTGTGTGTGTGTGTGTGTGTGTGTGTGTGTGGGAGAGAGGAAAGGAGGAGGATGAGGGAGAATTCTTTCATTCTTGTTTGTATATAAAAATGCTCTACATGCAGTGCAGGCACTGGTGGTAAAAGTAGTAGTAGTGGTCGTAGTAGTAGTGGTTGACGTATATATGTTGGGGGGGGGATGTACGACAACACATTCTCTTCTTTTGTTTTAACGATATTCAATCAGCATACCCTCGGGTCCACGCCACAAGCTGATGAGCACAGCCGTGGTGAGAATCATGGCAAACCGACACCATCGCCACACTGCTCGGAAAAAGTGATGGACGATACGACGGATGCGACCCAAGAAAGTCTTTGGCCGCTGGGTCACACGTGCCACCTGGAAAGGGTGACGGTCAGTGCCGTTCAGATTGGGATACAGGTCCATGGCTGGGTACTCTTGCTTGTGCTGATCAAACAGATCCATCGTCATTGTCGTCGACATGGCGCCATCATCGTCGTCGTAGTCCAGGTCATCTTCCTCATCACTAAAGTGGAGGTTGTCGTGGATGTCGTATTCGTGCAGATCAAGGCACTTGTCGTTGTCGTGCTCGTCCTCAAGATGGCTAATGAAGCTCAGCGCTTCGTCTAAAAGGTCCTTATCAATGCCGCTGGCTTTCGACAAGACCGTCTCTAAAGCGGTTTCGGTGGTGGGTGCGTTGTAGAACGTTGCAAGCGCCTTTTCGGTGAACTGTGAAACGTTGTTTAAGCTCATGCCGACGTTGTTGTTGCTGGTATTAAGATGAAAATGTTCCTTGCTGTTGCCATTGGCCGGTGCTGTTGCTTGGGTGGTGGTACTATTGTTACGCTTGAGCCATTCCGTTTCGAGTTCCCCCAGAAGCGTATTGCGGAACGCAGTGGGCTGGCTTTTCACGCTGCTACCACCGCAGACGCTTGGGGCAGGTGTTGAGCGGGCGGAATGAATGTTGATGCCGCGGTCCTTGAGCTTCTGCAGCACGCCACGATGCTCTTCGACGCTTTCATTTAATTCGGCGATATGTCGAAACTGGCGCTCGTATGCCTCTTGCAATGTCTCGTAGTCGTCCTGCGTAAACTGAAACTGTTCAAACTGTTCCTTGAGCAGACGCAGGTCTTTGAGCGTCTCTGCCAGCTTTGTCTCGAGTTCGGTCTTGGAGTCGCTGACGGTCTTGTTTTCCACCTCGAGTGTGTCGATCTTGCCAAGCAATTCTTCCATTTCGTCGGCGGTGATTTGTTGGTCATATGGCAAGAGCAAGCCCGCTTGCAAGAGCTGTTGTTGTGATTTGCGTTCCAGCCGGTGCTGCCGCTGGTTCATTTCTTCCAGTTCCTGGATCTTTGCCGTTGCAATCTCTAGGTTGCTCTTGAGTGCCTCAATCTCTGCTTCGAGTTTGCGGGTCTTTTTCGTGTTGTTGCGCAACGAGTCTTCTCGTTCTGCAATGGCGGATTCGAGGCGTTTCGACAGCTCGACGTTCTTGCGTTCCAGAACTTCGATCATGGCTTCGCGAGTACGATGGGATGGAATGAAGCGCATTTCTTCCTCTTCGCCGTCGTCGTCGTCATAGTAGTCGTCGTCGTCGTCGTCGTCACTGCTGCCTGTCTCCAAGGCGGAGTCGATGTCGACGGGTAACGATGACGACGGTGTTGGAAGTGGAGCTGCTGTTGTTGTTGGGCTGCATGACTTTTGGGTCTGTTGCAGGAGATCTTCGTAGCTTGTCTTGAGCCGGATATTATTCTCCAATAACGACTTGCCAATTTCAGCAGCCAGCATTAAATCTTATATATATAAGGAGTGGGATGCCGTGTTACAGAGAGAGAGAGAGAGAGAAAGGGAGGTTAACATTGTTGAATATGTGGGAATGCATTTTCACATGAAAATGTAATAATCATCAAAATACCAAAGATGAATCAGTTGATGGCCTTGAGAAGTGTGCGTCCTTACCTCTCTCCTTATCTTTTAGTGCAGAATATGCATTTTTTAGCATTGGGATCAGCTCGGTGGATGATTTCTCCGCCATCCATGATACGGACGACATGAACGACGCTGTTGACAACGACGGCGACGGAGGTCCGCTGCTCTGAAATGCTGCTGCTGCTGTTGCTGTTGCTGCCGCTGTTGCTCCTGCTGTGTGTTTGTTGTTTGGCGACATGTTGAGCTCTAATTGCGGAGGCTTTAATTGCGACATCATGGTCGGTCTACGAAATGCGAGTTGAATAAAAGGGGGGGGGTGGGGTTGTAGCTGTCGTTGTTGCTGTGGTTGGAGTGGAGGTGTAAAGGAAAAGCCTGGTGCTGTATGTGTTCTGCGAGTGCTGAGTAAGAGGGTAGTAACAGAAAAAAAGAAAAGAGAAGAGAAAGAAGGAAAGAGGCTGGGAGAGCGAAAAGTTTATAGGACCATAAAAAGCAGAAAGAGGAGCAGGCCCATAGACGTCACTACTAGTGATTGTTCTTGAAACGCACGCTCTCTCGGGTTGGGTTTTCTCACACACCCACAAAAAAAAAAATTGCACATGCTTCCTGCCAGCTGTGTGTGTCCTTCAGGTGGGGGGGGGGGGGTTGTGATTCCCTTGGTTCCTTCTCTCTCAGTATTATTCACCACGCCACCCAGCCCAGCACTAAACACATCTATGATTGGCGATGATGGTTGATTTGGCCGTGCAGATTCTTTTTTTTTATTCAAATTTTTCTTAAACAGCGTTGATATCAAAATCAGAAATCTAAATTTAATTAATATTTATGAGGCATGGCAGCAATCCTCCCCCTTTTAGTCCTCTGGTACCTACTGTAAAAACATAAAGGATTAATCAGTAACTTGTGGCGATGATGTCAGCTGGGATGCCAATGAGGGTTTTGCCAAGGTACAGAGCACACACACACATCACACACGCAAAAGATGGATATTATCAGCTAGGGGCGAAAGAATTTATTCAACACAGAATGGGTTTTCAAGCCATATAAGTTCAGTTGAACTATGCTTTTTTTCCTCATCATATAAAGTGGATCTCGTTTGTGTTGTGTTGTGCGTGTGTGCGATAAGACACATGACCCACATCAGCAGCAGTACTAGTAGCAGCATCGAAACAGAAAGGAGGAGGACTTTACCTTGTTTATGTGAAAAAGTTAAAGAAAGCAAAAAAGACAACAACACGTAAAACTTTTTTTTTTCTCTTTCGCGCCCTTCTTTTAAAGTTTGTCAACCGGAGTTGCTAGCCAACTGGAGAATAAAAAAAGTTTTTTTTTTTTGATGCGGAGATAGAGCAGCAATAGAGAGACGCAAGGTACAGTTGGGAAGGGTAAACAATGAAGCAAGAGAAATATATATATATATAAGGCTAATAGTAGTGCTGTTGATAGAATGGTAATAATAGGCGAGTATCGAGTGTATATATGTATACGTGATGATGTGCAAGGACAGCTACTTAGCAGCCTAAAGGACTAGCTCACTAATACAACAACACAGCGTATCAGTTAGCACAAGATGTGTTGTGCAACGAACCTCCAAAAAACAGGAAAACTCACCCCAAACGCTTTTTGTCACCGCCTACATCTTCGTGTGCGGGCGTCACGGGGTCCGCAAACGGGTCCGCAAACGGATTCTCACTTTCGGCCGAGGCTCGACTCAGATTGCTATCCGTTGTTGGAGGTGGTGATGATGTTGATGACGATGAAAGTTGTAGCCCAGCCAACTCACGCATCGTTTCCTCCTGTCGCTGACTAGGTGGTGGAGGTGGCGACCGCGTATGCTGGGGCGATAATGGGGATGGCGGGGTGGATGGCATGTTCGTTGGCACTTCACCGACCGACATGGTCTCATACATTTGCAACGCCTTCAACAGCTCCTCATTGGTCGCCAGTAGAGTGCCAATCCATTCCTCATCCTCCACCAGGCGCGCATAGCGCACAATCTTCTTTTTCGAGTCCTCGCACCGCTGACGATAATCTTGAAGCCGTGCGTCATGCTGCAGATCAATTTCCCATCGATCTTCGCTGGTGTTGATGAACTTGAGCGCGTTGACCAAGTTGTTGGTGTTCTGGTTCGCCAAGGCCACTTCTTGAATGATCTTTGGCTTGGCTGCTTCGAGATTGAATGTACGCTGTGTCGTTGTTGTTCGGTTGTTGCTGCTATTGCCACCTGATCCAGCAGTGCTGCTACTTCGTGGTTTGGTGCGAACTTCTGTGGTGTGTGCAGTTGGGGGTAATGATTGGCGTTTTTGCTGGGACGACGTGGGTGGCGAGGGTTGCTGCTGCTGCGTAGGGCGTGGTGGCATTGCAGGGGTGGCTTCCGCTGTCGCGGGTGATCGTGGCGTCGTCGTCGTCGCTGCACTACCACTGCCTGTCCGTCTTGGCTGAAATACACACACACACACATTATCAGTCTCACTCGAAAACACCCGAGTGTATCCTTGTTCAAATCCTTACCAAGTTTAATTTCTTGCGTCCGCTCTCGTACAATTCAGCCAACACATGCATTCCCGGCTCGTTCTTGTACTTTACTGCCCATGCTCCCAACACACTCAGCAATGCCTTGCGTACTTTGGTGTCCTCGGTCTGGATGGAGAAAAAAGGGAAAAGAACGGGGTAGTAGGTAGGGATCATGGTCAGCCAACAGGTATTAATATATACATACCATATCATATCACATAAGCGCGAGGAGTTGTTTGAGTTTTTTTTTTTTTTTTTGGATTTCCCTTACCGATGACGACACGATCAGATCAAGTCGTTCCCGCATTTTATCGTTTGACAAGAGTTGCCCTTCCACCCAGTCATATCAGCTTTGTTCTGTTCCCTTCGGTTTTCACAGATTATATCCTTGTTTCCATAACAAACAGCGAAAAACTTACGGTGAAACTTTTCACTGGTGTTCTCCATGAGTAGTTTAAGCACCTATTTCACATAAGCGATGAATACAATGCTTTTCTTGGGGTGTATACTCAAGCGCAAAAGAAGAGGCCTTACATCGATCACTCGCAGTTTTTGCTGAGTAGTGCCGTGTTTAAGTCGCTTACGCATAGCTTCAATAGCTTCTCTCGGTCCACCCTCTTGCATTTGAATCGACTCGGTCAATTGTTGCACAATGTACCAGTCAATCTCTTCATAGTTCGAGAGTCGCTCTACATTGACATGTAAAGTATGATTCCAAATTCAACACATGGTGCAACAAAGAAACAACAACCTTTTCTTTTTCTTCTTCTTTGGTCCAATAGAGCATACCGATATAAAAGGTGATTGAAGTTTTCGGTATTTCCTCGGTAAAGATACCCATGGTGTGAGTGTGTTATGTCTTGAAGCGGCTCGAAATAATAATAAAACAAGAAAGAGAGAGAGAAAAGAGGGAAAACTAAAGCGAACTGCATTGTATAACACCCCCCCTCACCCCCCCTGCCCTGCTAATTAGCTTGTCGGGAAACCACATATAAGTTTCTTCCGGGTCGCACACCCAACCCGCGTGCTTGGAAGTACTCTATAGCTTGGTGTGTGCTGCATGTTCCGCCGTGCAGCACTTATTACAATACATAGAGACCATTCCGTCTACACAGCACAATGATTTAGGTTGGAATGTCTGTGCTGTTTAATGTTTGTATTTGTAATTGTTTGTTGGTAACAATGTGCTCAGCTTCCTTGATCGGCTACTCAAAAGTGCCCAAAACCCTTCTTTAATATCAATTTTGTCCTTGGTGACCAATCTATCAGAGTTACTTTTGTCGTCGTCGTCGTTTTGCTATCAGCCAAATCTTCTTCATTAGCAGCACAGCCTATCTGCTGGACCTTGACAGCTACTGAACACTATCATTAGAATCACGACTGCGCCTTACTTGGACGTGTGTTATCTAGGTGGCCCATGAGGATCCCTGTCCATTGTTCTGATGGCAGCTTGGTGAGCGTTTGGGCTCGGGATGAAGTTGTTTTTAATAAAATTTTCTTTTTGTGATACGCATCCAACAAACACCCTCCTCTTTGTCCTTGTCTAACCTTCACTTTGTTCCGGTAATGCCTGTCTTTTAAATCCCGGCGGAGTCAGAGCCGACGCTGCATAGATACTATTATGACTACGCGATGTGCGATAGCAACAACATTGTCCGATATAACAAACCTGTTAGAAGAATGCGCGTCAGCCGTTTATTTCATACTAAGCGAGGGGTTCCTGTTATCTTTATTCCTAAAGCTCACAAAGAGGTTAAAGTTGAGAGCACAAGACTGGGAGAGTTGCACAACGGCGGGGGACATTCTGGTTTTTTAGGTGCGATTACTTTGTATGACCTACACGTAAGATTTGTGCTTGTGTCAACTCCCCTTTTACTCTTTTCATTTTTCTGATATCTTATACAACTAATAAAACACATCCACTGAAACAATATCGTTCTGGTCTACCATGTTTGCACTTGCCCCACTCTAGTACGCTGCATTCATACAAGCTCGAATTTTTTTTAAAATTTCTAACAGCATAACAGATAAACCTAAAAAAACCACATTCATGCACAGTAGATTTAAATTTTTTTATTATTTACACGTCTGATTCATCAGCTAAAAGTGCAAACGCGCCACCTTGGATATCAATTCGATTCTTGCTACCGTTATCATCGCCAGACTCGTCGTCTTCATCGGATGATGCATCACCTTGACTACTGTCATCCCGACGGCGACGTTGTTGCTGTTTATCCGCTTCTTGAACGCGTAATTTCTCATATTTGCTCGTGGTAAAGAAGCCCACTGGTTTAAAAGACATGAGAATCCGCCCGTCTGTAGTAAACCGTAGAATCGTATTTGCAGCTCGATAAACATCTGGCCGGGCCGCTTGTGCGGTGAAAAATCCTCGTTGGATCGCATATGCTAGAATAATTCGATTATCTTTTTAATTAAAACTGTTTCAAATAATACATCAAAACAATTCGTTTACCTTCACAAATAGACCAGGCTGACCACTTGTGCGATAATGCGTTCTCCAAATCCGGTGGGGTCAAAGATAGAATCTTTTCCACGGGTACCCGCTCCGCTAGGTATTGAACAACGCTATATGGCTCTTGTACTTGCGCGATAGGATACATCCCCGATAACACCTGGGAAATAACAAGTCGTTAGAGTGTCTCTCTTTCTCTTACTCCTCGCCTGCTTATAGTGAGAAACATTTTTCCCCTTGTCTAGTCTGGATTGTTGGTATATTTACCTGGAGCGCACGTGGCAGTAAAGTGGGGAAAACAAGGCCAGGTGAATCACACAGTCTGACATTTTCGCATAGATGGATGGTTTGGAAATGCTTTGTATGACCTAAATCGCTGGATTGTCAATTACTTTCCTGTAGCTTATACAGTAAATAAGAGTATGAACTAAGTTTTGTACCTGGCGTACGACTCGCACTGACTACTGTACGCTGCATTATACTGTTGATCAACGACGATTTGCCCACGTTTGGATGACCCACGAGACCTAGCGTAACATATTCCTTGTGTGGAACTACCTGCTCCGTCGAAATGTCCATGATCCGACTGAATTCATCATCTATCGCATAAATGTGTATGTTGAGTGATTGTTCTTAATACAATATCCAAGGGGAAAAGTTCATCTCTCACCCAAAGAACGTACCTAAACCGACCATACTACCCGTATCGCTATCGTCATCATCTCCTTCATCATCAATATCATCATCATCGTCATCCGACTTGGCTGACGAAGAAGCATGGTGGTCTTTGTCAAATCGAGCCAATAAGCCTTCCCAATCCACATCCAAGCCTTGTTTCTCCAGCTTAACATCCTTGCATGCCTCCAGTATGGCACGTACACCGTGAGCGCGATAGTATCGTCCACGTGGTCTTTTTGCACGCATCTTGAGAGCATCTGATCATCAGCATCATCCAGTGATAAATAGTAATCAGTATACACATATACTAAAAACTTGAGTAAACAACTTACATGTTTTGGTATCATCGATCAGTTTTTCATCACGTGGATAGCAGCTGAAAGATGCAATATGTAGCTCGGGGAACTGCTCCTCAAAGTATTTCGTCCATGCAAACAGGGTAAATTCAGACACTAGGTCCACCTAATTTCCATACCAACAGAACAAAACCATTATGATCAGCTCCCTTTGATGTATGAGAAGCGCACGCACGCGTACCTTATTAAAAACACCGACTATTTTGCGTTTCAAATCCTTCGTGACATATTCATACAATGCACGTGGAAAATGCAAGAGTGGATGTCGAATATCCATAACAACAAGCACAATGTCACTTATTTCCAGCACACGCCATCTTAATGGGTTCGTAGCAATCATAAGAATTATTTGAATACATGTTAGCGAGGACCATCAGTGAAGCGGATACATGAGGATACAAGTATAACTGGGTACTTACAATTGCCGCCAAACTTCCAGATTATGTTCAAACCAGCTTAATTGCCCGCGCTCATCGTCACCGTATTTTGCATAGATATCTTTGACCCAATTTTCAAAGTATTGGGTTTCTCCCGCTTCTACTTGTTCTTTACTCATGCCATAGCTCCATGAAGGTCGCTTGGGAAAATCGATGGATTCTGAAAACGAATCGACGCCAATTTCCAATGCAGTCTACACATAGCGCGTTTGTCTTGTCATTGAGCAGGCTTTCTTCTTAAATCTTCTGATACACTTTAGATTACCTGTGGCAACCGCTCGAAAGGTTTCATGCTCCGTAGCCGTGAGCGTTCAACAGCTTCGCCCGATAATTTCTCAAACATGGATACAAGCCTTTTAAGAAAGAAATATATAAAACAGTATTTTAGTACGCTACAATCCTTGAGCCTTTGATCACTTTTTCTCAAGCGAGAAATTAAAAAAAGAGGGTTCCATATTATTTTACTTTCTCGATCCGGTACTGCTGCCACCGCGTCGGCCATCCAACGAATAACTTGTGGGTAAAGCTGGTGCCGATGCTTTGACAAACGATTGAGACAATCCCCCACGTTGATCTGCTGCTGTGTCCTCCGATTCTGCTTTTTTAGCTTTACGTGGAATCGAAAAAAAAGGAGCGATTTCAATTATTAAACTCACTTTATCATTTTCTTCGACACCGCCCACATTTTAAAACCATTCCGTGATAATCTTTGTAGCATACCATAGTAATTTTCGCGTTGTTCTTGGGCGGTTTTGCGTAACTTTTTTGCTTGTAATTGCGCTTTCTTGGCTTTGCCACTAAATGGTTTTTTACGGTTAGGCATTTGTTTCCGGAAACACAGGAGCCGCGGTTGTTCGGGAAGAAATAACAAAAGGTTCTTCTCTCTTTCGTTTAAATTGAATGACAGCAAATTCATGCAGCGCGCGGTGACACTTTGCATAGTGCTCCCCCTAGAAATGGCTCGTACTGAGCTTCGATGTATATAAACCAAGCAAAGTTAATCTCTACATGTCCAATAAGAGTAAATACGCTGAGAAGAGCACGAAGCCTGTTAGTAGCGACGTTTGAAATACTTTTACTCTAGATTAGCGTTTGCATGGAGTGCCTAGAGGGCCCACTGACTTGTATCTGATAAAAGACGTGAGCACTAATTAAGAAACGATCAAAAGGGAAAGCGGTATCATTGATAAGAAACTCCTAGCAATACTGATGCTCTATTTTATTCAGTCTTGAATGGCTGGCGTCAAGTATCCACCGTCAGTATTATTAAAATATTGCTGCATCGCTTAAAATTGAGTTATTCAGGAACATAGACAACAGTCATCTTAATGAATGCTACACGGAGAGTAAGTGAAGTAAAGTAAGCTATTGGCGCGCCCAATAAAAGCACGGAAAGCACCAAAGAGCTTGAATGCTTTGACACTGTTTTCCTCAAAACAAGGTGCCAAGCATCTTCAAGCATGGTTATGCAAGTTGGATACCGTTTTATTTTCTATACTCTCTTTTATGTTGAAACGCTTTTTTTACTATGCTTCATAAATGCATAAAAGTCGAGAGTGTAGTCCTCAAGTGGCATATATGTCTTTAGAAGCCACATTAGTGACTATCATTGTATCTTTATTATAAAAGTTAGCTGAAAAATCCAAAAAAGGAAACTCTCATCCATGTAAATTCACAGACAGAAAAAGAGAAAGTAAATACTTACGCAAAGCATTCCCCAAATTCATGGGGGACCTCGGCCGCACTTTTGACCCGTGGGCGCGGGGAATTTTAAAATGAAGCAGGACTTACGCCCGGAGGCAGCCTGAGTAAGAAAAACAGCCGTTCGCGTGAAACGATGCAACATCCGAAGATGGGTCGAGACAGAGGCTACTAGGAACTGCGAGAGAAAAGCAAAGGGGGAGGAGAAGGGGAGGGGGATAAACTATATAAAGAACGCAATAGACGCTTTTAACGACTTCCTGGGTCAGAGCAAGGGGAAGGGGAGGGGGGATGAAATATATAAAGAACGCAAAGAAGAAGATGAGGCTTTTAAGGACTTCCTCAGGTCCAAGTCAAAGCAAAAAGCACACGCCACCGTCCAGATGGATGGATAGATCTTGACCAGTGCCGATGGACTACTTGACAGGTCGGCTTCTAGGAGCGGGATGACAGTGGAGCATCAATCTTGACTAGCATGGAGGTGTCTGTGCACTATCGCCATTCCGAGAAACGAAAGAGATGAACAGTTAATGGGAAACTGTTAAACCACACACATACAAGATTCTATCGTGCTATACTTACCTATACTTCTACGATGAGACACAGGAGAACCGAACACCCAGCCAGTGTAGAGCAGAGAATCACAGCCAAGACAGAAACACTTCTTCTAGCTGGAAAAAGAAAAGATCATTAGAGGGCTGCACCCACTGTGCTATCTTTAATTTTGACACGGCATTACCATCCTCCTCCATCCCAAGCTGACTTACATTTGTTTTGTCGTTTCACAGCAAAGTTATAGACAGAGAGAGATGGGGTCTAAGCCAATCCAAGTTCAAACAGATCACCGCAGAGCCATCCTCTATTAGAAAAAAGAAAACATCTATGAGCAGCTGCATACACTTTTTGACATGTCACGGCAGACATCTTCCTGGTTCTTCAAACACGCAAAGACAAACACAAGCACAGCGATACTTACTATTATGACATCCTTGGCTTGGAGGAAGAGAGCCTTGAGTTAGAGAGAGGAAAAGCAAGAAGGGGATGACCAATTCTGAAAAAAGAATAAGAGAAGAAAGGGGAGGAGAGGAAGAAAACTTTTTTGAGAGACTGCCATATTGCATACGTCATGGTCAGGAGCCCTTTCCCGTCACGCTGCTGTACACACTGCACACCTTTGACGCGTCATCCCCAACACCCATGTCATCCTACTCACCTATCATACCAATGTTCAAGTTCCCTTTTGCTTATACTTACTATCTGTTATTTGTCCGCAGGACACAATTAACCCAACCAGCATAAAGCGAAACCTGAAGTAGAATGAAAAGAAGAAAGATCATGAGCAGGCTGTTCTTAATATGCAACTATTCCTGACACGTCATGGCATCAGCACCTCCAACAGACACTCGACTTCTCTCCAACTCATCCTCACATTTCATTCCCTACCGTACTTACAGTTGTTGCTTATGTTTAAGGGTGGGATGCAAACAACAAACCGAACCAACCATTTCAAAAAGTCAGAATCCTATAGTAGTAGCAGAGAAGAAAGGAGGATAACATTAGCGACTGTATGCTGTACACACACTTCTTTAGACACGTCGAAATTCATATCTTCTTTCGTATATCACATCCACATGCAAAACCTCAAAGTACACTTCAAACTTTCCATATTGTACTGTACTTACTCTTGCATTTGTGCTTTGAGTGGAGAAGGACCAGGTTAAGACGAAAGAAAGTCTGTGTCAAAAAAGAAAGAAAGTGAGATAAACGGATCTTAAAGAAATCACTGTATACTCACAACCGGTTTCATACGCTCTTCTCACTCACCAACATAAGCATACACTCTTCGATCCTCTAATCCATTCCAATGACACTCACCTTGAATAGCTTTGGTTTAGAAAAGTTGACGAAGAGGAAGAAGAGCCCCATGATTGCTGCGGATGCGCGGTTATATAGTAGTAATGAACACGGCATTTGAGCCAGTTCAATCTATCCAATCAGATTGCTCTCTCACGTTTATGACGCGCCGAAATGTGTGGCTCCTCCAGATCAGGAAATTTGTTCTACATGAATGTATGACTATGTGAGTAGACAGGTATCGCTTCGAGGAAAGATCTAAGGGGATAACCTTCATTAACACGAGATGAAGCTCACTTCACGTCCTTCATCATATGAGAAGTGTCATCGCTTTAAACACGCTGGACACAAGTATCAATACAAGTATCAACGTACAAGCGTATCCAAATCTCATGAGACATGACGATCCCGCGCTTGCCGATGTTCCATTTGGTGGAAAAATTATGGTCCTTGGTGTTGACATTTGCCAGGTACTCAACATTGTATCCTCTCTTCTACTTTGCATGTTTTTTAGTATTAAGCGGTAGTACTCACAGTAAAGTATATGGTAATAGGTCCTTCCAGTGATACCAAATGCGTCGCGCTCGCAGATCGTACAGCAGTGCTTAAATCGCTCATCGAAGCCATTTACGGCAGCCTTGACGCACCACACGTGAATCGCGATTACCTCATCAGTCGCTCCATTCTAACTTCAAAAAATGTCGACGTTTCAGCGATCAACGATCTGATACTCGACCATTTCCCAGGCACCATCCACGTATTCCCGAGCGCAGATACTGTGGATGATCCAGAGGATCAAATCACATACCCACCAGAGCTGCTCAATTCCATGAATCCATCCGACCTCCCACCACACTTGCTAAAACTCAAAGTCGGTTGCCCAATTATGCTTTTGAGAAACTTGCACACCCAAAGTGGTCTCTGCAACGGGACACGGCTGATTGTACGCTCTTTTCAAAGATATGTATTTGAAGCTGAAATAGCCACTGGACCTCATGCCGGCAACATTGTCTTAATCCCTCGCATAACACTCACACCATCGCAAACACGCTCGCCCATTCTCTTCAAACGCACCCAATTCCCTGTTCGCCTGGCATTCGCTATGACCATCAATAAGGCACAGGGTCAAACTTTCAACACTGTCGGCCTCTACTTGCCTGAACCTCCGTTCACGCATGGTCTACTTTATGTAGCCATGTCACGCGTCCGCACGCCTTCATCCATCAGATTCATGTTAGATCCCGAGAACTCGAGTATCGCGGGTCAGCAAGGCCAAAACATCCGAGATGTTGTTTTCCATGAAGTTCTTCTCTAATTCTTTTTGTCGCCTATTCTCTTTTTTTATATCGCCTATTTTTCATTTGTTACCACCACCTATTCTCTTTTTTTATATTGCCTATTCTCTTTTTTTCTCGCCTATTCTCTTTTTATCAATATCACTACATCATCTTTGTCAACACTTCTTTTCGCATTGCATTCTAAAGTGGAGATAGTTAAGTATCCAACTTTGACGACTTTCCTATGATAGACTACTTCTCACTGCACAATGATCTTGCTTTTGTTTTTTAAAACAGACAATAAGCATCTAATACCAAGACATTGATCTAACCTCGCTCCACAGGGGGGTTTGGGGGGCTTGCCCCCACTTGAGGGTCAAGGGGGGAACCCCCTTGCGACGCGTTTTCGTTGAATGACACGGAGCGAAGCGGAGGGGCTCATTCATCCGAGCGAAGCGAGGAAGGACCGCTAGTATTTCGTACAGTACCACAGGCCAACTATCTCGAGCTTCTGTGCCTCCCAGCTTGCCAATCGTTTGGTTATTATTGTACCGTTTTGGAATGAGCAGAAGATGGCTATGATCACACATATCTAGCAAAAAGCGAAAGTAATAAAGATTTTATGAAAGCATATATTGTCTGTAGTTGACAACCTGACAAAGTAGGCCATCGAGCTGAGTAAGGTCATATGGTTTGGTGATAAACCATGCGACAGCTATCGTAATAAAAATAAAGTGGTTATAATGATCTAGATGCCCAGAGTTACTAAACAGCAACATAGAAAGAATCGCGCTTTCTTTTTTAAGACCATGTCACGATGAGAGGTGAAAAGGTGCTGTAGGCACACCTCACGCGAAAATTGTGTCGGCGCTTCAATCTGCTGCGCACGGCGACTGATAAGAAAGTGTTGCCTGCCCAACCCACTGGTCTTCTTCTTTACCAGCTTCTTTTTACTACATTCTGTCGCAATGATCACCGTATCTGACGCCCTCTTCGCCAAGCTCGTTCTGCTTTGTATCTTGCTGTGTATCTTTGAGGAAACAGTGGCCGCTATCTACCGATATGCCCTGTCCCGTCCTGTCATCGCTGTTTCCGTTGCCCTTGTGGCCTTTGTCGTCCGTGCCGAGTGTTGCACTCATGTGCGCACATGGATTCTTGATGCCCCGTTCAAGTTGTTGTTGTTCCTCTCTTGGCCATTTCCGCCATTAGACTTCCCGCCGCTGCCTCCGCCTCCGCCGCCGTTGTTCACGCAACGTGCCACCACAACTTCAACTACTGCCACTGAACCTGTGCATGCGATCCGTCGGCCAAGTGTAAAGTATGGTGGACAGCCTCGTTCTTCTAATCCGGTATGTATTTATCATTGCTGGGATATTGACTGGGAGATTGACTCTGATGTTAATCGTGGTGTTCTGACAACCGAGTACGTGCCCGCGCGACGTGCTGAGCACCTGGGTGCAATGAGGAATCCTGAGCCCCACGCGTTGCTCCCGACTGCTGCTGCGGCTTCCGCTCATGTCTCTCAGCCGCACCAATCAATAACAACAGTCGATAATGCAATTACTGTGGAAGATGAGCACATGGTTACGGTAATGATGGAGCAGTCTGCGGCCCCTCTGCTTTTGCATGGCTCCCGTGTTCCTGAACCTGTCGACGTGGATCAGTCTGCGACCCCTCTGCTTTTGCATGGCTCCTGTAATTCTGACTCTACTGAAGTGAGGATAGATCAGCCTGTGGCCCCTCTGCTTATGCATGGCTCCCGTGTTCTTGAACTTGTCGACAACCACGCGATGCCTTCGTTGTCTGTTCCAGATGCGCATACGGCCGCTTCGGCGTGCTCGTCCCTGCCATCTTCTTCCGAGCAAACCGCTGCTTCGGCATGCGTGTCCCTGCAACCTCCAGAGCATACGGCTGCTTCGGCATGCGCGTCCCTGCCAGAGCATACGGCTGCTTCGGCATGCGCGTCCCTGCTAGAGCAAACGACCGCTTCGGCGTGTTCGTCCCTGCAAGAGCACACTACCGCTTCGGCGCGTCAGTCCCTGCTAGAGCACACTACCGCTTCGGCGCGTCAGTCCCTGCCAGAACACATAGACGACACGCTCTCTGATCGAGATGTGCAGATGGAGGATCCATCGTATGACTTTGTGTCGTATGATGTTGGAGCCTTCAATTCAATGCCTTCTTCGGCTTTGTTGGTGGACGCTTCTGATGTGCGGCATGAAGGTGATACTTCTGTCGAAAATCCATACTTTTTCGAGCATACGACCGCTTCGGCGTGTTCGTCCCTGCAATATGAGCATACGACCACTTTTGTGCGTTCGTCCCTGCCATCACGACAAGAACGATCGTGGCATACCGCCTTGGGCGTGTCCCTGCCTGATCATGGTGAGGAATATCGCGCAGCCGAGGACTCTCCCGAGGACTCTCCTGCCGATTTGCAGCCGATAGAAGTTGAGGGTGAATCCCCAACTCGGTCTGACCTCCAACGCTATATAGCGATGACCGATGATGAGCTTTTAGCTCTCATCAACCCCTCCCAATCTGACATCACCACCGACGCCGTAACCACCACCGCCACCCCAGAACCCGCCGCCTCTTCTCTCCCGCTCCTCACGTCAGAGGATCTTGATGCCATCCGTGCTCAAGTTGCCGCCGAGGCCGAGGAAGATGACAGTGGTTCCGTCTCTTCTCTCCCTTCTCTCCGTTCGGAAGATCTTGCTGCTCTCCGTGCTCAGCTCGACGCTGACGCAGAAGATCTTGCTGCTCTCCGTGCTCAGCTCGACGCTGATGCAGAAGATCTTGCTGCTCTCAATGCTCAACTCGACGCTGAGGCAGAAGATCTTGATGGCTGGTTCGACGATTTGATCGGTAAGTTTTTTACTTGGTGATGACACGAAATAAAGGGTTGTTTTCTAATGATTTTTTTTCTGTTTCCTTTAGTTGACCAGTAGGTGTTGTCCTGCGCGCTGCTGTGTGCAGCTTGGTGCGATGTGGGTGTGGCAGTTTCTTTTTTTTTTCGTTTCGGTGCTTCGTGGTTCTGTCGGGTTTCTTCTCCTCCTCCTCCTGATCCTCCTCTTGTTCCGTCCTGGTGTTCCTGTTGTGCGTTGCTGCTGTTGCGTTCTGTGCGTGCTTTTTTTTTCTTTTTTGGCGTTTTCCAGTGCGTCAACTGACGCGATGGTGTGGAAAGCGTTTAGGGTATGTATCTTTAGTGCGGCAATTAACAACCAAACCTATTATCAACATCTAATCATTTTCCATTATATCTCTCGTATTTAGGCTGTCTTTTCTTTCGTTTCGGTGCTTCGTGGTTCTGTCGGTGTTCTTCTCCTCCTCCTCCTGATCCTACTCTTCTTCCGTCCTGGTGTTCCTGTTGTTCGTTGCTGCTGTTGCGTTCTGTGCGTGCTTTTCTTCTTTTTTGGCGTCTTCCAGTGCGTCAACTGACGCGATGGTGTGGACAGCGTCAGGGTATGTATCTTCAGTGCGGCAATTAACAACCAGACCTGTTATCAACATCTAATCATTTTCCTTTATACCTCCCGTATTTAGGCTGTTTTTTCTTTCGTTTCGGTGCTTCGTGGTTCTGTCGGTGCTCTTCTCCTCCTCCTCCTCCTGATCCTCCTCTTCTTCCGTTCTGGTGTTCCTGTTGTACGTTGCTGCAGTCGCGTTCTGTGCGTGCTTTTCTTTTTGGCGTTTTCGATGCGTCAACTGACGCGATGGTGTGGAAAGCGTTCAGGGTATGTATCTTTAGTGCGGCAATTAACAACCAAACCTAATATCAAAATCTAATCATATTACACCTTTCTCCGTATTTAGGCTGTTTTTTCTTTCGTGCTTGTGTGTGGCTGGCCGTCTCGTCTCTGGATGGCTTTGGAGATTAGTTCGGGAAGGACATGAAGGTAAAAATAAATGAATGTAATATCATTAGCTCAAATCTCTCATGCGTGCCTCTTATTAGTCAATATAAAAAAATAGGTCATGGGCTGCTGCGGCCTTCGTGTGCGTGCTGCCGCCTGCTGCACTCTGTGTGTGGCGACCGTCTGGCGGGACGGGTTTGGAAGACACCTCAGTGGATGGTTTCCTCGGGTAAAGGTAAGGGGTGGGTGGGGCATTGGTGGCACTGGCTACAGCCACCGGGGGTGAAGGGGTACGAAGAGCAATGGGGATAGCGAGGACGGCACAGTCGGTGGTGGGGAGGGGAACACCGCTCTGGTTGTTTGGGTATTGCAGGAATACCATCCACATGAGCTGGAACTGACTGAAATGACAACCCAAGGCGCCAAGCTTGTATGATTACGGGAAGTACTATATTTTCTTTAATACTCAATGAAAGACGAACATCTCAATAAGAAGAGACTTACTAACTGATAATCCTTTTTCCATTCACTCTTCCCTTCTTCATATCGCATTCAACTCGGATGTGGTGTGAAGAAGGCGAAGAAGCATCCATTACTAGGAATTAATTCATTCCTTCTCAAGGTTGTCTTCAGTCAGTTCCAACTCATGTGGATGGTGTTCCTGCAATACCCTTGCAACCAGAGCGGTGTTCCCCTCCCCACCACCGGCTGTACCGTCCTCGCTATCCCCATTGCTCTTCATATTCTGGATCTCCCACCGGTTGTAGTTCAGTGTGCCATGTAAGTCCCCGTTCATTCCCTTGCCTTTGCTTTGGGGATTCCTGAAGCTGGGGTTGTCCTTCTTTTGGCGGGTGGTGCCAGTGATGGTTACTGCCAGCCTTTGGCGGCTTGGAAAAATTTTCCTGTGGCAAGGGAAGTTTTTCCGCACGGGAAAGTGGAGAATCCCGTCTTTGGCTTGATCCTGGTTTCTTGGAGGCGAAACCTGGGTTTTCAAGGGAATCTTTTCCACCTGGAGGAGTGGAGAATCCCGTCTTTGGCTTGATCCTGGTTTCTTGGAGGCGAAACCGGGGTGTTCAAGGGAATCATTTCCGCTTGGAGGAATGGAGAATTCCGTCTTTGGCTTGATCCTGGTTTCTTGGAGGCGAAACCGGGGTGTTCAAGGGAATCATTTCCGCTTGGAGGAATGGAGAATTCCGTCTTTGGCTTGATACTGGTTCCTTGGCGGCAAAATCCGGTGCTCTTGAGAATTTGCGCCTGATATCCAAACGGTCCGAACCTATCTCTCTCGAGTGACTCTCAAAGAAGCCAATGGCGTATTTATCGTTCTGATTTTCGTGTGAATCGCTGCTGCTGCTGCTGCTGCCATTTTAAACCGAGCGAAACAACATTGTGACATCCGACAAAAAGGTACCATGCTACGACAATCCACAAGAATGTAGCACCATCCCAAGTTTTTGGCATACCGTCGGTTATACTCAGGACGTGAATTTCTTCGGACAAACAAGGCAATTTCAGCAAGCGGCGTCGATCCAGCATCCGCTTTGGTCCCTACCTATCGATCCAAGTCAAACCGACCTTTTGAATCCTGGACCAAACTGGCATGATCAACGATGCTTTGAGCAAAAGACAGCGACGCCTACCAAGCACAAGACTTTCTTGCTGGGGCTATCGATACATCAATCCCACGATCACGATTGGCAATAGTGCGACAACTATCAAGCTGATTGCCATATATCTCACAAGTCATCAGACAACCAAGTTCAACCTCAGGCGGCAAATTGTAGTCAAGGAGAATCTGGATAACAAATCTGTTTGAAGATCGGACAAGTCTTGTACCAACGTGGACGACCATGTTTCATTCTCTTTCTATCACTCAAGTCAACGGACATGGTCATTTTCACCATTTATCTTCACGCGCGACAGCAGAAGGACTCGGCCATGGAGGAGGCTCATAGGGTTTGGCGGCCCTTATGTGAGGCTGCAGTTACCAGGAGCAAGCAAGCGAGCAACTTTGAATGCGACAAACAATGGATTGACCCAAAGTGTACCAAGTTGGTCAACAATAAGCGACGGAGCACCCCCTTTCAACATTGGATACAGCAAGAACCCATCTGACTGACTACACCATGTCAAGGCCCATCCACAAGCAACAAGCGATGAAGAAACAAGAAAGTTGAGCAGCACACACGGTACGACCATCCTGGTGAGCCACCATCAATAATCAACACCGCAACAAAATGCATGGAAACGTTTATCTACGTGACTACCTACCACCTACGACTCGATGGCGGCGGCAACAAGTGGCAGTAACTACCAAGCGCTGGAGCAGCAGCACGCACAGCCATACAAGCGATTAGCCCGATTTTGAAAATACTATTTGTCAACACACGGAAAAATTTAAACACATGCCATTTGGGTCTTCTAGTGGCTGGTGGCAACAAATGACAAGCCTACAGATATAGCGTTGGGCACGCAGCACACACAACAAGCCAGGAGGTGGATCACTCGTATCAAACCAACTTATTTTGTGCTGAGACGATCCACAAACTCAACAGTCATTGGGTTTTTTGGCGGCAACCCATCGAGGACAAACACCAACATTGCTAAGCAAGCAGCATATCCAATAATTGCGGTCATCATCGAATCCAGCAACACGGACAATCGATCCAGCTATCCTTGATAATTAAGACAAGCGGTACACGCAATGGTCACGGTTTTCAGCAGTTCCCAAGCCAAGCAGCAGCAGCAGCATCAGCGCCGAGGCTATCGCTATCAAGACCCACAAAAACCATACAATGTCAACACGGTGACAAGAAGCTGTCATGCTCTTATCAATGATCGAGGCTCAATGATCGAGGCATATGCGTGCTCAAGAGCTACTGCTCGATCATGCACAGCTGTCGAACTGGATGTTATCAAACGATTCATTCTGGATCCCAAACCGACAAGACTAATGGCCGCCGTGTGCGTTGGACGTGTGAAACCGCTATTATACGCGATCAAAATGTTTGAATTCTGCAGATAATGTGGTAGGTTAAGATTAAGGAAGCGCTGTTACTATGTGACGAGTATACTAACTATAACACACTTTAACAAAATAGACAGAACCTTTTCGAAATATCATCCATTTGGTTTTCTGTCACAAGAACTACAATCCATATTTTCCCAATTTCTATTTCTTTCGTTCGCTGTTTTATCACACATGTTCTATTTTTCACTCCAAGTCGTCCCCTCATTGAGTGGTAAGTGCAACAAATGATTGGAAAAACTAATAGTGTATGTTTTTAGTAGTTTAGAAAAAATACCCGTTTGTAAATCAACACAACACCTCGACGGCACACGCGGGATGCATCGGCACGAAAGCTTCTTTTCATTTTTCAAAATACTCTCACGACGAATCTATCTCCTGACGAACACACTGTCAAGACCTTACAAGATCATCCAAGATATCCAAACTAAATCACAACCTGCTGTCGGCTTAGCTATCAAAGCTAACAGCGCAGAAGAGCTCACCAAATAAAATATATGCCAGGTAATGATAAGAAGAGCATGCTTTGCTACAGTGCATGCATCAGGCCTTTATCGAATCAAAAATGTCTAACGTTGTTTATCTATACCTACACATAGAGTCGTTGGTTTCTGTTGCCACAGAGGCGCAAAGAACCGTAAAGTCACAAAAACGAGCTCGCAATAAGCAAAACAAAATGGGTCATCCGTCAGGCATGTAAAAATAGAGCTTTACATACGAGTGACACAAACACTAATATGATGTTTACTTTTTCACGCTGACAGGAGCTCTACGCGAAGATATATTACCTTCACATTCACACTCAAAAAGACAAAACGAAGCAACTGGTCATTGGTATCTGCTTGCATCGGCGATGACGAAGGTTATCAAGCTATCAATGAATCATTCACAGTGCGACTTCCGTACACAAAATCAACTACCACCCAACATGCTTACGACCGTCATCCTTTGATACAACCGTGTGTGCCGTCCGTTATTATACCACTTCCTCATCTATCATAAAAAAAAAAAATACAAAAAAAGAGAAAAGAAAAAAAGAAGAAGAGAATCATATAATGATAACAAAAAAGAGAAAAGAACAGTAAAAAAGAAGAGAAAAAAAAGTTAAAATTATACTAATCCATTCTGTTTGTAGCACAAATCACCGATGAGGGCATTGACATTGGACTTTTTTATATTTAATACTACGTATCACAGTGTAAAGTCGATTACATAGCATATACATCCCCATTTTCCTCAGAAATATAATTAATATTTGGTACATCTATATACTCGATGCTTTTTAGTCAATGGGGAGAAAGGGTGGCTAAATGGATATACTTTGTTGGAAGTCGAAAGTGGTAATTGTGGGAGGACATATGGGTATGCTGCTCGTTGCAAAGATCAGAGTTACCAAAAGGTGGGGCTATGTTAAAGCCAATGCTTGCTTTAGTCTGGGTAGCATGAAATACTTCGGCGTTTGTATGATAACGACGCAATCCGTTATTGTTCGTTTTAACACGGTCGTAATCTTCTCATTATCTTTATTCCTCAAGTCATTTCACGCTAAAGTACAAACTCACTCAAAAAAAACACGACCTCGAGGCCAGAAAAATTTTCCAAATCACAAAGCGGGCAGACCAAAAATGAAAGAAAACGCGGATTCTTGTCAGTCTCTACTGTCCTTCGGCAGACAAGGAGAACAACATAGTGATACTTCATCTAGCAGCACTGCGCCAGTCTCTCGCAATGTCACAGATAAGGAAACTGAAAGCTCTCTATTTCTAGCCGTGTTTGATACAGATAGCCATGAAGCCCAAGCTGCTTCAAGGGGGTACACCAGTACGGTGACGAGTGGTTATATCCATCCAGCACTTTCTTTGACAGAAATGGCTTTAGCATCTGCGCCTACTGAAGATATGGACGAATTTGGGGATGAGATGGAAGACTCTGAAGACAGTAGTGATGACGAAGACAACGATGATGTAGTTGAAAATAGCGATCGCAATGGTATGCGAAATGGTAAGACGCTAATACCATGTGCGGACAGTATGATAATCAAGGAATTGACTAAAGGTGCTAATAAAATACCTTTTGCTCGATATCGTGCATCATTACATTAATAGCATATAGCAATCCAAAAAAAAACCGAGATTTAAAAGATGATGTACTAGACAAATACTTCGAACAGCTGCAAGCACGGATTGTAGCTCAAAAGTACACTGAAGGATACGAAAGGAGAACGTTCTGGGTGTTGTCGCCTGATCCGTTCTTTGCTCTAATCAAAAAGCTCAAGCCCCAGGCGCTGTAATATCCTCGTATATTCCTTTGGATGCTGCATATCTTGCTTAAGATGACATTAAGATGTCAGAGCTGTCAATCTCGCTTCAAGTCCAAAGGGGTAAGCTATGACGCGTTGTAGATATGGCAGAGTGATTTAAAGCAATATCATATGCAACATGATACTAATTGTATATATGATATTATTTATTCATTTCCGAAAAAGCAAGGTTACATTAGTATTATCAAATGGCTCTGGCAGCAAAGCAAAAAAAAAAGGAAGAAACGTTTTGGTGACAACGTTCGCTTTTAATAAATGTTGCACTCCGATTTTTCACGTAGCAACAAGCCGCATAAATAGGTTGAGAAACCAGTAGCGTGTCGTATCATAGCAATAAACAGCGTTGTACTCATAGTGATTGTCGCCATAGCTATCTGCCTTTGCTCGGTAGTGGCCATCGTTACAACCAGTAATACCGTCTTTGCAGCAGCAAGTAGTAGGAAGGCAATATGTATAGCCGTGAACAAAACTGCTAAACTAAATAGAGCCACATTCATGCAACAGAGTTTTTTACTTGCGTATATGTTTACATGTGTTGTTTTGAATGTTTATTTGTATGTACAGAATTTAGATATCAATCACCTCACTTTGACATCCACTACACCGTGGCGTTTCCAGAAATTGGAAGAATGCCGGCTTTTCCAAAGGCGGTAGTTTGCCTACAGTAGGCTGGTGTTGCATGCGTCGTCCTCGGATTACTTCCTCGTCTCGTTGCTCTTCTTCATTGTCGCTCGGCCACTCAAACTCGTCCTCACTGACTGGACTCAGTCCATTCATCATGAGTTTGACCTGAGCTTCATCCAGAGCCGTCCTCCGCGTTTCCATGGTTTCTTGTGTATTGCGTTGCTGTTCCCACATACGATCAAGATGGCCCTTGTATTCGGCTTGCAATCGCTGTAACGTCGTTTCCAGTTCTCGCTTTTCACGTTCTAGCCGAGCTTCGTTTTCCAATTGTCGGTCGCGTACAGTCGTGAGTTCGCCCCGGATCGTGTTGAATGCCTCGAGCTGCCGATCCAGTCGGCGTTGTAGTTCGGTGTATTCTTCTGTCCGTTGCTCATAGCGTGCTTTCCAATCTTGTTCTTCTTCTTTCTGACCGTCAACACTGTTCGTTGCTGCATTGGCTTTTTCTTGCAATGTATCCAGCTGTGCTCGCGTTTCCTTTAACTCATCTAGTTAGATAAGCCCCCCGATTTGTACATGTTAGCAAACTGCATGATTCCGAATGATGTAGTATCCTCCAACAGAAAAGAAAAAGATGAGTATGTTACTTTGAAGCTGTGCAAGCGTTTCTCTGGTATTACAATGGGCTTGCGATTCTTGCTGCAGCCTTCCGTGTGCCGACTCCAACTCACTGCGTATCCGCTCGGCAGACTGAGCTGCTAGTTTCTTCTGGCTTTCTTTCTCGGCATCCTTGTCGGCCAACTGGTTTGCCATCGTTTTTTGACTGGATTCGAACTCTGCTGTCAGCATTTCGAGTTGCTCAGTGACCTGACCCAGTTTGGCATCCTTGTCATCAATGGCCTTCTGCAGTTTGACAGCGTCTTCCTGTGCATGCTTCATCGTTTGTTGTAATGACTCGATTTCGGCTGTCAGCTGCTTTTCCTTTCCATCCATTGTTGCAATCGCTTCTGCATGCGTGTTTCTCTCTCTATCGAATTCGGTACGCGTATCAGCATGTTCCTTTTGTAATCGTTCAAGCTCGGCCTCTTTTTCAATCTTTATTTGCTCCATCTCGCCGTTCATGGCACGTTGTGCCGTTTCGACATCGGCATTGGCCTTATCCAGCTGCTGTTGAAGCTCGTGGATCTTTGCGTGTTTTGTTTCAATAGCTGCTTGTTGTTCTGCATGTTTGCTCTCTGCCGCAACAACTTTGTCATTCAGGTCCTGGATCTGTGTGTTGAAGTGCGTTTGCTTTTCTTGATGGTTTTGCTGCAGGTCTCGTGTGCCCTTTTCGTACTCCTTTTGCGTCACTTGAACCATTTCTTCTAGTCCAGAAACCCGTTTCTTGAACACTTCCAGTTGACCGTTCAGTTCGTCCGCCACAGCACGACTCTCACGGAGCTCGTGTTCTCCTGTTTCTACTAGGCCTTGTAATCGACTGGCTTCTGCATTGTTTTGAGCAATGATCTCCTTGAACTTCTTCACATCGGCATAAAGCTCTTGGCAGGCAACATTGGATTTTTCAAGTTGTTCCTGAACATCCTCAAAACTGATTTGCTTGGCTTCAAGTTCTTTTTTCAGTTTAACTAAATCGGATTCTTGTTCGGCGTCCTTTTGCTTGACAACCCTTAATTCGTCCTGAGCCTTTTGCATGGCCGTATCAAGCTCCTTCTTGGACTTGCCAATCTGTTCTAGCTCTGCTTGTTTTTCTCTGAGCGCCTGCTTCAGCGTTTCTTGCTCATCAGTGAGGGATTGGCCAGACGTTCGCGCTTCATCGAGCTGCTTCTTTGTATCATTGATCTGCTTTTCTTTGGACTGCACCAGCTCCTGTAGTTCCTTGGCTTTGGCAGATGTTTGTTCAAGTTCGGAGGACGTAGTCTTTAGTGTTGCAGCTGCATCGTCCAGTTGTTGCTGAAGAGAGTCTCTGTGCTGTTGCCATTCTTGCTCTTTACTGACTGCAGACTGCTTTAGCTGTGCGATTTCTTCATTCAGCTCCTTTTGCTTGTTCGAGCTCTGTTCAAGTTCTTGCTTGGCCCAATGTATCTCGCCTGCCTTTGTCTCGACCACTTTTTCCAAATCAGCCACCTTGGCCGATGCTTGCATCAATTCGTTGGCCGTCGTCTGCTGTGTCTTGTTGGCGTTGTCGAGTTGTTGTCTGGTCTGTTGGATTTCATCCTGCTTCGATTCGACCGTCTGCTCCAATTCACCCACTTTGGCTGATGCCTGACCCAGATTTTTAATTGTCGCTTCTAGGGATCTATTGGTCTCGTCGAGTTGTTGTTTGATCTGACTAATATAATTTTCTTTTGCGCTGACGACCTTTTCAAGCTCGGATACTTTGGCAAACGTTTGCTTGAGTTCATCAGCCGTTGTTTGTTGAATAGTGGTGCTGTCGTTGAGTTGTTGCTTAGTTTGCTGCAACTCTTCTTGTGTTGATTCAACGAGCTGCTCCAATTCATTCACCTTGGCTGTTGCTTGTTTGAGTTCGCTCGTCGTTGTCTGCTGAGCTTCGTGTGCGGCATTAAGTTGCTGCTTGGTTTGTTGTATTTCCTTTTCCTTTTCCTCGACTAGCTGCTCCATTTCGGCCACCTTCAATGATGTTTGCTTCAGTTCACTTGCTGTAAGTTGCTGAGCACCGTTGGCTTGCTCGAGCTGCTGCTTAATCTGGCCAAGCTCTGCCTCTTTAGTCTTGACTTGCTGTTCCAGCTCGTTTATCTTGGTCGCCGCTTGCTTTAAATCAGCCGATATCGTTTGCTGAGTCTTTTTTGTCTCATCAAACTGTTGCTTCATCTGGCCGATTTCCGTCTCCTTTGCTTTCAATTGCTGTTCCAACTCGCTTGTCTTCACTGACATTTGCTTCACTTTACTCGCCATCTTTTGATGGGCGCTATTGGCATCGTCAAGTTGCTGCTGGACATTCCCAATTGCTGTTTCTTTCGACTTGATCTGTTGCTCAAGCTCGTCCACTTTGGTTGTTGCTTGCTGCAAGTCGTTACTTGTTGTTTGTTGGGATTGAGTGACAGTATCAAGTTGCTGTTGAACTTGTGTGATCTCGTCTTGCTTTGTACTGATGATATCCCGTAACTCTTTTTCCTTATCAGCAGAGGACATATTAAGTTGTTTGATTTGGTCAGCCAGCTTCTGTCCAGCAGTAGTGGCTTCCTTGAGTTGCTTCTTGATTTCAGCAAGTTCGGTTTCCTTTGCTGTGAGCAGCTGATTCAGTTCATCCACCTTGGTATTCGTGTGTGTTAGTTTCTCCGTCGTTATTTGATGTGTGTTGCTGACGTTATCAAGCTGTTGTTGGGTCTGAGCAAGTTCTTCTTCTTTTGACCGGACAAGCTGATCCTTCTCATCGATTGACTGCTTCAATTGCTGAATCTCGACAGTCATCGATTGCAGTGTGGTGCTGACACTGTGAAGCTGTTCCCTAGTCTGCTGTAGCTCGTTGTCTTTTAATTCAACAAGCTTATCCTTATCAGATATCAGTTGCTTTATTTGTTTCAGCTCCCCGTCCGTTGTCTTGTGCACATCGAGAGCATCGATGAGTTGTTGCTCAAGTTGCTGGATCTCTTCGTGTTTCGACTTTACAAGTTTTTCCTTTTCAGCGATCGACCACTTTAGCTGTTCGAGCTCAGTGCCCATTGTTTGTCCGGCAGCAACAACCTTGTCGAGTTCCTGTTTGGTCAGGGCAACTTCGTCCTTGTTTGATTTGACAAGTTTTTCCTTTTCGTCTAACGACTGCTTCAACTTTTGTATTTCACCCGTTGCTGCTTCGTGCTGTTGTTTAACCTGGTCGATTTCATTGTCTTTGGTTTTCAAAAGCGCGTCCTTGTTCGTTGCAGTTTGTTTCCATTGGCTTATTTCGGTCGCCATCGTTTGTCTGGCAGTATCCGTGTCGCTAAACTGTTGTTTGATCTGATTAATTTCGTGCTCTTTGGTGTCGATTCGTTGTTGCAACTCTTTTAATTTGGCATCCTTTTCTGCTGCTGCTTTTTCAAAGTGTTCCGTGGTTGTTTGTGCAGCAGTATCTGCTTCACTCAACTGTTGCTTTATCCGAGCAACTTTGTCATCTGTGGATCGTATAATTTGTTGGATTTCAGCGTCCTTTTCAGCAATCGTTCGGTCCAGTTCGTCTGTTTGGTTTTGTGCTGCTGATACATGTTCAGCATGGGCCTTATCCAACTCTTCTTTAGCCTGCTGCTTTGCACCCTTCACTGCCTGTCGTTGTTGATCCAGCATTTGTTGGATATCAAGCAGCTCTGCCTCCTTGTCGTTAAGCAACTGAGTTACATTGTCAAGCTGTTGCTTGGTGTCTGTATCTTTTGCTTCAAGAGCGCGTTGTAATTCCTCCACTCGTTGTTGTGTACGGCAGATTTCTTCGCCCTTGGAGGTCAGTTCTGTTTGATGCTTTTTGTCAACTGCGTCGAGTTCCGCTTGCCATTGTTGTCGAAGCGCGTGTTCCTTGGACGCCCATTCTGCTTGGCCGTTCGGTGGTGCAGCCGTAACGTTACCATTGTCAGCTGTTTCTGCCTCTGTTGTCGTTGCTGTTGCTGTCGGGGAGCGGACGGCTTCTAAGTTTACTGACGACGTGTCACCCTGACTTATCTGCAGTTCCTGTGTCGACTGTTCTTCATTGGCACTACAATAAATAAAACGTTAAGTTCCATATTTTCATTATCCTAACCCTTGAGAGATTCTGGCTTCTAAAGTTGTTACTTGGTGTCCAAAGTTGATGCAGGTTGTGTTGGCGATGATGTCACTGAGTGCTCATCTTCAGGAACGTGTTTTTTGCTCTGGAATTTCTTGAGCTGTAACAAAATAAATAAATGAGAATCCACACTTCTTCGTAGTATAGCATGGTACTGTAATAATTCTCACCTTTTTTCTAGCAGCCAGCACCTTGGCTCTTCTGGCTTCTTCAGATTCAGCGTCGGCCATTGCGGTTACTGTAATAGGGCGGGAAACCGTTATTGTTGTTGCGACACAAAGAAAACAAGTTTGGGTATTAGACGCGGTTGCTTTCGAAAGCTGGTGCTGCTGCTGCAGGGCAAATATCGGAGATATTATCCCTTTTGCTGAAACAATTGGTTGGTTGCATAACAATAATAACGTTGTTTGAGGAAAAGGAGTGAAAGCCTGCCCCTTCTTCTCTTCTTCTTCTCGGCTGCTGTAATGAATGCTATAGCATGAAAGAGTAGGTGCATCTGCCGCCCCCAAAGTTTCGATTTGTCTCGTCACTAGCAAGCCACCAAGCGATAGAGTGTTGTAATAGTTATGAACAATGCAAATTCTATTTCTCATACAGAATATAGTACACACACGCTAACAGAGAAACAGTAGCTTCGAAACTAGGATAAGGGTTTTAATATTCAAAGACTTCAATAAAAAAAAGAGACACATCCTCGTGTGTTTCGTCCATATGTAGCAGTTCTACAACATGATATTGAAAAGCAACAGCTAGAAGTTCAAACACTATGGTGCAGCATGGCGTGATGAAAAATAATGCAAAGAAAAAATCGCACGGTCCACCTATGAGCTGCCATATGAAGATACTAAATTTTGCTTTCTCTGTATGCCCATTTTGTTACGTCTACTGCTGGCAGCAACAGATGTTTCAAAAGCATCTAAGGTAAAGAAACGTTTTTTTTTTCTTTTCGCGTTTCAAATGGTATTACTAATAACGTGAATAGATGCTCATTATCCATTACTTGGTGTAGCAAGCACTTGCGTTCTTCCAACAACAACGAAAACCTATAAGACTTCGAGTCAAGGACTTCCTTCTTATTGAATGCGGAAGTGAGCTAATACTTACTGACGATAGCAGACTACTCTGTCGTTACCGCGTACTCGTTTTCACTCCTTGTTTTTACTGCTATGCGAGTCATACTTTCCAATCTATATATTACACTTAATACTTTGATATCTTGATCAAAAGTGTTTGGGATATCGACCAGCGAAATTTTCAACGAACATTATTAGATTGTGCTATATACAGGAGGACCATACGTCGATGTTTAACATAACATATCGGTCTATCACACACTGAACCGACTCGATTTGCACGATGATATACCTAGTGCACAATTAGAGGCCTTATACTGGCGACGGTTGTGAGCTGCTTTCCGACCTTTACCGTGTATCGTACGTTTGGTGATGATGGCAGTGTCCAAAGATACATTGGTCAGAAAAAACAGTGAAACAAGCAAGAGTTTACAAAGCGCCAGTGTTCAAGTTCCAGAACGTGCTGCTTGTAAGTAGCACGTCGCGACCACAACAAGCAAATTGGGGATGTGATATCATATAGCAAGTTACGAGCAAGCTCACAAGCGCTTACTGCTGCTGCAAGACTGGTTGAGTAGCCGTTGGCATAGCTGGTAATTGTCGACGCAGTTGAATGTCATCAATACGAAGATGTTGAAAGCAAACCACAAAATCATGAACTATATTGTAAAGAAGCAGATAAGCTTATTTATCGATAAATGCAGCGTAAACTCCTCAATTTCTCATAGACGTTGAAAATAGTAATGCTTTTCTTTTCGACATTGTTAGCACGAGACGAGTAAAAAGAATCCGCCTGCATCTCCCATGTATTACACTTGACACTATAAGAGCGCGAAGGATCGTTCCGAGCTTAAAAGTGTCACGCTGTTTGGCGTAAAACAGTCAGTCTCTCCACTTATCTCGCTCTTTCCAACCCGAGTATTCAATAAACATCTGCGTTTATTCTTGATGGCTATAGCTGTTGTCAAATTTCTTATGCTTCAACTATCACAGATTCATGGGTCCGCTCTCCTATGCAGATATTCATCCATCAGAGCACCTGCGACATTCTGTGTGTTCTCTTATGAGTAGATTTCCAAGCTTGTTAAAAAAAACTCCCCTCAAGAGCCCACACGGGTGTTCAATATGTGCTCTACGAGCAGTTACTATTGCTGTATCACTATTGCTCACTGATGGAAATAGAGTACCTGAACCAAGTACAATCCTGAAACCAGCCCAGTCGGAGTAAACGGAAGGGCTGGTTTGATTCGGCTTTGAGAGAAAGCAGTTTCCCTCCTTCTTTTTTTCTTGTAATTTAACAGCAACCTTTTCCAATTCACACTCGATCGACAACACCCCTAAACATTAACATATCCTTGGAATCTTTTTTCTCTCTTCAATTAACTATTTTTTAATGTCATCGTCCGCAGCAAGCATCCTCCAGAGACAATACAAAGGTAAATCAATAATATTACCTAGCAACCTTTACCTTTTTTGTTACAGTAACTGACGTGTATGCTGCTTGCTCTTTTTTTAAAATTTGACATGTAGAGCTCACCAGAAATCCTGTTCCTGGGTTCGTCGTTGATCTCAAAAATGACAGTATTTTCGAATGGTAAACAAGATCTTATCTTTTTATAATACCGAATCGACCCTCCTTTAGCTTCTTCTTTCTCCACAATGATAATGCTTGAACTTGACGGTTTACTTGTATGTGTGTTAGGGATGTCGCAATCATTGGATCCCCCAAGACCATTTATGAAGGTGGCTATTTTAAGGTAATAAACGTTTTACTCGTTGTTTTGCAAAAGCGAAGGAAGGAGGTCGTGGTTTAGGATGGAGTTCAAAGTAACAACGGGTGGGGGGCATGCTAGACAAAAGATGTACTTTTGGTGATAATTGGAGGATAGGGTTAACTTGGGGATATTGGATGACTGAAGGGTGAGTATCATTTGTTATAGGCTACCATGTCTTTTCCGGACGACTATCCGTTCAATCCGCCAACATTCCGATTCGACCGCGAATTTTATCATCCCAATGGTATAATCGACTTCTCTCAATTAAAACACACACACACACACAACATCTCATACTGGATATCTTATTCATACTATTGCTGTTGCTTTTTTTTTCTGTACCCTTCTCTCTTTCTTTAAATATACAGTGTATCCGGACGGCCGCCTTTGCATTTCCATTTTACATCCTCCTGGAGATGATCCAGTGAGTGGCGAGAAAGCAGAGGTAAAGGCATAAATCCAAAGAAATCTATTTGATTTACTTGCAGTTGTATTGCGTGTTAGTTGATTCTTGTTTTGTTTGTACGTTGTTGCGTTTGTAATTAGGAACGATGGAACCCCACACAGGTAAAATAAAAAAATGGGAAATATTTGGATAGTGGACCAAGCTAACATGCACGTACCTTTCATTTATCGTCCTACATTCCTGAACTCTTTTAGTCAGTAGAAAGTAAGTAATGATAATACAGTCGTTGCTCCTCGGAATCTCGATAGACACATGTATCTGACACTTGTTCTTCTTCTTTTACTAGGTGTTCTCATCTCCATTATTTCATTATTGGCCGACCCGAATTGCTCGAGTCCAGCCAATGTAGATGCAGGAGTAAGTCGGTTGATGGGTATATATAAGCATGATCCTCTGACGGAGTTTGCTGACATTCCTTTTTTGTTCATCAGGTAGCATACCGAAAGGACCGTGAATTATTTGACAGCATAGTAAAAGGTACGTATCTTGGATGCACTCTGATTGGCTAATAGTGCAGTGTGCCTATGGTTGTACATTTATGCACATGGAAGGAAGATGGCTACAAAGGGATGATTACCCATTTTAACCGACCATTTGTATAGGCCAAGTAGAAGCATCGAAAAAAGATATCCCTCCAGGTTTTCAGATGCCAAAGTCCGAGAAGGACTTTATGCTGGCTGCTCCAGCGGAAATAGAAGACGATGATAACTTGTACGTATATCGAAATTTAATTATTATTATCATTGGTCTTTTTTTACTAATAGTATACCTACACTCAAATATTCTGATAAACAGCTGGTATGAATCGGCTGAGGAAAGCGATTTTATCGACGACGATGATGACGTTATGGATGACGATGACGATGATGTTCGTAAATAAGAGAGAAAGTAGAACACCGGTAGTTCCTCTTTGATTTTCTTCCTTACATTCTCCCCGAACGGCTTTTCGCTAGGTGCTGTTCATTGAATCCCCACATCTTCTCCCTTCTTTGTCTCTTTTTTTCCACACACAGAAATCATTAGATCAAAAACGAATGGTTTGAAGTGCAACGAGAAAGAAACAAGAAAATATACAATTTGCATCCTCAACACATCATTTCATCTTTAATAATTATGTTCTTAACGAGTGTTGCCTTTTCTGTAAAAGGGTGTAAACCGTGGGTGGCGAGGATGTATGTTTTAGTACTTGCAATATAACCTTGTATAAATCATTCTCTCAGCTTGGCTCCAATTATCAAACAAATGCACACTACCATTAGACCTGGTAGTTATGCTACCCCTGACGAGATACATGATGCATTGAGTTCGCCATCACACGCGTCAGTCCAATGTTACACACGCGGAATGCCCCGAGTTCACTTTGCAATGGATGATGGCTCATGCAAAGCTCATTACTACACAAGGCGGGGAAAGGGGTTTTGCGATATCCAGCAATTCTTTTCATTGTTCCTCGGTTGCATGAATTTCTTTTTACGGATCGCCATGGATAGTCATAGGAAATGCAGCCTAACCCGTACGTGGAATAAAACCAAAAGAGGGCTCGTGACCCCGCCTATTAGCCCGATGATACAAAACCTTAAATTCAAAGGGATTGTTGGGTATATTAGGTCATGGGGCATTCCGTACTTATACCCCACATTAAAGCATTGACCTGACCGCTTTCGGAATATAATATGATGCTGCAGTATTTTCATACTATTGGTTCTTCAAACTATTATATTCATCTTGACAAACGAAGATATCATTGATCCGAAGAATCTTCGTGAGTCTTGTGCACAACAATATATAAGTAAATAAGCAGAATTAAACGAAGATCATGGATCAAAGCACATGCTTTAATCGAAATGAGTCTTAATAAAACCTGTTAACTTTACAAAAAATCAAATGAGTAATATAGACATAACCTGTGCTCATTGTACATATACTTGTAGAGAGTAGCGCTTTAAACACATGATGTCAAGCACATTGACAGAATACAAAGAGCAGCATTTGGTGAATTGATTTTTCAACACAAACGAAGATGCTTCTAGCCAACAAAAGCGCTTTTTACAATCGAATTTGACTGACGAGGTCTTTGCGAGGACACACACAGTAACAACTATAACAGCTAGCTAATGCTCTTAAATAATACAGCAGAACAAAAACCAGTGCGTGTGGATCATCTTGAAGCGCTACTATTCGGGCAGTACCGACCTACGACGTATTGAGCATATATGTTTCTGGAAAATATTGGATTAATAGATTTTGGTCTATCGGCTCATACAAAAAAAAAATGTTTCTGGCAAACATGGCGGGTCACCAAAATTGGACACCACCCTGTTTCTTCCCCACAATTTCCCATTTATACCCACAACAACACATAAGGGAAAAAAAACCAGGGTATACCCTGATCATTGATTAAGAGAAATCACACATCTTTTATTCACACATCTCTTAGCATGTTCTGGCGTAGATACTTGTTCTTTCCATGTGATTGGCTCTCAAGTCGTGGACGACAGGAATGAAAAAGAGCCAAACCACCAATGCCTGATACGGGACAAATATTACCCCGTCTTCCCGATGGATTTATGAGCGCCGGCGTGTTTAGTGAGGAGTATATGTAGAATGTACGCATATGCTTATCTTCCGTATACGCTACAGCTAGTATGTCAATGTTCAATTAAATGTCAAAAGAATCGCTCTTCGGGTCAACTGACTGCATTAGTGCTTGGTATTTATAATCATTACACATCAGACCTGTATCCAATGTTTCATTGGGCAGTTGATTATGTACTCACTCCCCCCTCTTTCCCCGCTTCGGTAACTCCTGAGCGGCTTACCGTAAGCCCGACCCACCGACCATTGTTTTTTCTACAACTTTTTTGTTGCACCAAGCCAAATATATTTTGAACTGTTACTCCCGTCTTTTGCCGTAGGCTTCCCTTCTCCTCCCTTCTCTTCTCCTCCTCCTCCCCTCTCTCTCTCTCTCTCCCCTCTCTCTTTCTTCGCCGATTGACATGACAACTGTTGCTAAGAAACGATCCACGCCATTCTACTTTGGTGGTGCAGCTTCCTGCGTTGCCGCAGTTGTTGTGCATCCCTTCGATCTCACCAAGGTCCGCTTACAAAACATGAAGGGCCAGGCTCACCATGGCATGATCTCGACCATGCTCGGCATTGCAAAGAAGGAAGGTTTCTTGAGACTGTATGCCGGTCTCTCTGCTAGCTTGTTGCGACAAGCTACCTATTCCACCGTGCGCTTTGGTGCTTATGACAAGCTTAAGCAGAATATGGCAAGCCGCGTAGAACGTGAGAAACTTTTTTTTTGTAACTGCTGTTTTGTCAGTTTACAAAATTGGCTGGTTTATATGCACGTATAATTAACTCGGAATGGGGTATATTTAGAGCCTACTGTATGGCACTTGTTGGCTTGTTCGTCCACTGCTGGAGCAATGGGTGGTTTCTGTGGCAATCCCGGTGATGTTTTGAACGTAGAGCGTTTGTTCCTGGTTTTTTTTTTACATACTACTTTTTTTTTCTTTCTGAGAGAAGAGTGTTATTAATCTTATACTTTTCAACGTTCTGCTAGGTCCGTATGCAAAATGATGGTCAGCTGCCTCCCGCACAACGACGTAATTACAGAAATGCTTTTGATGGCCTTGTCCGTATGTCTCGAGAGGAAGGCGTCAAGTCGCTCTTCCGCGGTGTTGGTCCCAATCTGAACCGTGCCATCCTGATGACCTCGTCACAGTGTGTTTCGTACGATATGTTCAAGGATTTGCTACTTAATTATACTCCTTTATCAGACGGTTTAGCTGTCCACTTCACGTCCAGTGTTCTCGCGGTAAGAATCTCGGTTTTTTTTTTTTTTGTGCGGATCTATTGGAAAAAACAAGTGTGTGGATAAGTGGAAAAAAGATCACTGATACGCTGATAAATATAATAGGGATTGGTGGCCACGACTGTCTGCTCGCCTGTAGATGTGATCAAAACACGTATCATGACAGCTGGTGCAGGTGACCGTCAAATGTCATCTCTATCGATTATGACGCACATGTACAAGAGCGAAGGCATTGCATCATTCTTCAAGGGATGGACTCCTGCCTTTGTCCGCTTGGGACCACAGACCATCATCACTTTTGTCGTTTTGGAGCAGTTCAAGAAATGGCATGCGGCTTGGTATGATGATAACCGACAACAACGTCTTGCTGCTGCTACTGCTGGTGCTGCTGCGACAAAGTTGTAAGACCACCTCCTAGATAAACCAACAACCATTACAGCTCATACACAACATACAATGCTCCCACGCACACACATACACTTTTGCATTTTATCCTCCATTTAATTTTACTTTTTTCCTTTTGTTGCAACTATCCTGTATATCCTCGTATCTTCATTCAAAATTATCACCATAGCATAGAGTTTCTTTTGTTCTAAGGGTCTTTCTCTTGCTTATCATTTCTCTTATCCATAATAACACAGGGATCTTACTATGGATCAGAAGAAATATTGGATGCTGGTTTTAGTGATGTGCAAAAGAAGGGACATGGTATTTTTTCTATAAAGCAATGTTATTTGCTGTCTCGAACCTACTACATTACTATGAAAATCTTAATCGTGTTGAGGGTACGTAAAGTTATTGCTTTTTATCAGTATGACGAAGTAAACCTTCTTTCACTTAAAAGATCCACATGCATTAATTTAACTTTATGATGATTGAACAATTGAAGACTAACACGTCTCTGCTGCACTGCTTTGTGCACAGTGTTTATTTCGCTCATCAGTAGAATATGCTAAAATCAATCAAGACGAAAACGAGGGAGCTGATTTATGTTTGCAATTTTTCACCTATGCAGAGCTCGAATCAGTAGAAGACAAGAACCGGGCACTTCACCTGCATGCTGTTTGCTGCCAAAACACAAGCTCTCAACAAGAGTAGGTACTCACCTCTGCACAGTTTGTTGAAGGCTCTAGAAGCAGAATGACGTTTCATAATAGTAGCTGCTGTGTTGGCATCAAATGTACTTTGCACCAAAGGAAGTGTTACTACTAGAGACGACTTGTTTGCGTCCATTGAGCCAGTGCATCTCCTTCAATATCAGGGTTTGATAGCCCAGAAAAAAAGAGAGAGCAGTTTAATCAACTTTTTCATGACAAATGATCCTCTCTTTTATTATATATAGGTTAATGCCGAGCTCGCTTTCTCTGCCGTCTCTTCTCTATCCATCCTCTTCTTTTTTACACCACGTATCTTAACGGCATATCGGAAAATACGTAGCTAGTATTGTATTACGATTATTATAAGATTTTACTTGCGGCGTCATTGCTGTGCACTTATATATTATTGATTGCTACGCGACCAGTGCGATCCACACGCAATTCCTGCATTATTTGACTATGATGGATACCAATCACCTTACAGTTCTTCTTGCAATACGCTGTTTTTTCCTTCTTCTCTGTATCTATTTTGTTGCTTTCAATTTTTCTTGCAGATACCGCTACAAAGTAGCCCTGATACAGTATTTATTGCTATATAAATTACAACTCTGCTGATTATCATGGTCTAGTATGTCAATATCAAAGACAGTAGTTGTAATTGTTAGCAAAAGATTTTGTACATATCACAATGTCTATATGAAACTTCTTGTAAACGAGCTGGAACATATCTGCCAGATAAATACCACCCATGTCATTTTTAATGTGAAACAAATATTTTGTATCTACAAACTGAAACATCGGCCTTTTTACTATGCTTTTCTAGGAGCTTGGTTTTTACGATCGCTGTTTCGAAAAAAAGCAAAAAACTTTTTCTTTTCCTTTTTCATCTTCATTGTTACTATTCATACCAGATGAGTTGCAGGATAACATATTACAACATATCTCATTATGTATAGTTGTTCTTGCTGCTACTGCTATTATGATTGCCAGGTACTTAAATCTTTAGTTTCTACTCAAAATTGAAGATCATTATGTATAATTGCTTCTGTTTTTTTATATCTGTAAAGTATCTATTTAACATCTACTCTACTGTTTACTAGTACAATCAACAAACCGGTGCTAACGATGACGGCGAAAGAAAAAGCGCCAAAAAATTGCAAAAATGAAACGTCACCTGCAGGATTCGAACCTGCGCGTCCAAAGGACAATGCCTTAGCAGGGCACCGCGTTAACCACTCCGCCAAAGTGACTTGTTGATATGCAATGGAATATTAAAGTATATCCCGTTGGGGATCCGATTTTTTTTTTTTTAAATTTTATATGCACTGCTGTACTGCTGTGCTGTACTGCTGTGCTGTACTGCTGCTGCTACTGCTACCACTTAAGTTAAAACCTGATTTCAGAGTGATTCTTTCAGAGTGCTTTAAGAGCAGTGCTACAGTAAATGAATCAAAATTAGATCCCTTCTTATTATAATCCTTTTCCCCTAAAATCATCTATAATACCTCTCTAAACCAATTTCTCAACATTATAATTTATTTGACTATTTACAAGATTCTTGAATCACTATCTCGTTAGATTCCTCTTAAAATGCCTTTAAATTCTAATGCAATTTCTTAAAGTTGCAGCATATATTCTTTAGAGCCACAATATAACTAATACTAAAAGTGATACTTAGAATAATAATAGTTAGGGGTCACAATTAGACGGGCCGGGTTGGGTCAAGGCTCTATTACTACTTCTTTACTCCTTTTATAAATATTGCTTATAGCTTACTGATCCTTTATTCTTGAAGACAAAATATAATCCCACAATAAAAAGAATATAAGAACATTTTATGTTATAGTTCTATAGCAGACAGATTGACAACTAGATCTTTAATATAATGATGCTTCCTAATAGAAAGATTGACTGCTTGAATACAAGTACCTCATACATATTGTATGTATACACGTGTCACAATGGGTCGACGGGTCGGGTCAAGGGTTAGATGGGTTGACTATAGGTAAGAAAAGCATCAACCCGACCCGTTGACCCATCCTCACAGGTCAGATTGCAACCCCTAATCCAATCTGTGGATCCAACTTATATGCTGAGGAGATATACTACAAAACGTCTTTTTATATAACAGAGAAAGTTATATAATAGAAAAGTATGAATTCGGTGTAGAAGACTAGTATATTGAGCATGGCTAAACAATTGAATTCTATATCGCATAGTGTACTCGTATTATATATAGGAGATTACAAAATAGACATTGTTCTATAGTCGAAAGCAGACCAAGCAGCCAGTTCCTTGCAGGCAGCTTAGGTGTAATAAATTATTTTCATAATTAGGAAGATCTTTTTATCCAGCCGTACTATCAGGGAGCCAGCGCTTGCTGGGTCCAGCTTCTTCCTTGCTTTCCTATCTACACATAACGACGCTCCATTTTGCATCTGCACACGATTACAACTGGCTGAAGGTAATGGAAGAATTACAGCAATATCAGATATAGATCCACTCTGTTGTGTCATACACGGAGCACTTTCTTTCTCTATAGCTTATCCTTATCACTTCACAATATTTCCAGCCTGCTGAAAACTGTAGCTACGCAACTTATTGATAGCAGATATAACAATGACTAGGATTACTCGATTTAACGAATCTCAGCACAAAGATATTAGCAATGGGTACGTGCTCCTTTTGCTATCTTCTAATACAATAATTCTGGCCAGTCTATCAGTCCCCATTCATTGTCTCTACTGTATTATTTCATAACCCCAAACGTTTTACACTATGATACTTAAGCATTGATGCACTGGCATGTGTTTAATTGTACATCATCCTTCTCGCGTTTTATATCGAGTCTGTAATTTTATATGAAGAATTCGTCAAACGAAAGTACCATTACTACGAATACAGTTTACTTTAAGAGCATATAGATCTAGGTAAAAATAACGCCATTTTTTTATTACGTCCTTTGTGTCATAACTTCAATAGCAAAGCTTACACTTTTTTAGCCTGTTTATGCTCTCATATCTCTCTTGACAGTTGTTTATTCACAACTTATGTAATAAATGTTTTGCTTCACAATTTATACTGAGAAGCTTTGGCTCTCCATCTTTATACTTGCTGCTCTCTGATCGAATATCCTCCATCATCTAACAACCGGATAAGTTATTTATTTACATCGTTACTTGCCGATTTTGCTCTCTACTTTACGACCAGCCAAAAATTACAGTCCTCAACTCTAACCAATCTCTAAATACCTTAATGAGGGTATTTCTACACTACCATTTATACTTTCTGTGCCCTCACAAAATCTTCACTTTGAAGTACAAAACGGCTAGTAAGACGAAAAGTACGGCATTGTAGAAAATATTTAATGCTCCCAATATCATTTCTCTTGTACTATTATCACTTCACATATTAACACACATATTAATAACGGATCCATGGATCGGATCGGATCCACCTTTAACTCAATCGAGGTCGGATCGGATCGACTAGACGGATCGCCGAGTGAGGATGACGAATCCTAGTAGCGCAAGATGACAGCGATCGTGTTAAAGTTGCTTTAAAAACATTTTTCTATAGAGCCATCTCCCAACTTTAAAGCATCACACTAGTTTCTTCCTCAAAAACCTTGGTCGAATGGCGGATAACTAGCAAGCGAAGACTGCAAAAAAAAAAAAACCGGTCTTCTGTAAAGGAAAAAAATAAATCTCTGCAAGACTTGCTATTTACCATAATTTGCAGTCGTTTCGTTTCATATAATTAAGAAGCGGATTACCATCGTCGACAATGGGTGATTAGGAACAGAATATACTGTCGTATTCTTTAAACAGCCGTTTACCGTCCTTTTATAAAGTATGTATGTGCTTCATATTGTATTGACAGTGGTATAGAGGAAGGAAGTCAAAAAATGTTGACCAGGTACGTGTTTTTACTATATTTGGCATTTGGAACGACGCGTGCTTGGCTAGGCGGCATCATTTCCATTTTTCGTGTAAAATAAAAAAAAAAGGCGAGAGCGTGACACTATAACGTCCTTCTTTTTCTACTCCGTGGCAGGACTTCATGATCAACAACAACAAACGAAGTGCGCCACATGTAATCTTTCTAGTCAATGTCGTTGAGCCTGATATTGAAACGATCCAGCATTCGATATTAAACATTCTACTCTACTTTTTGGATTGCGTCGACAAAAGAACGACATGGGGCTACCGATTCTTCACCAGCAGCAGCGCAGCGTCCATATCGACTGCCAACCAACCGTTTCGTCCCATTTCCGTCAGTGCACTCGAAAAGTTTAAACAAGAACTTTTGCAACAACAGCATGTAACAACAACCACAACAACTGATGCTGCTGCTGTCGTCGCACCATTCGAAATAATCAAGCGCGTATTAATTCAATCGATCGCCGAGTTCCACTGGACCGATTCAAATTTATCGTCTGAATCACCTCGTCGACAACAGCAACCGCAAAGAAAGCAAAGTGTGGTGGACGTCAAGAACTTTATCTACCTTGTTACACCACTGCCACAAACATATACAAACTGGGAAGAGAACAAGTATATCCCAACTGCACCGATAGCATCACCATCATCATCATCGCTCCCGTCGTCAGGTATTGCTCTTGGATTGCGGTTCATGCATACGGAATTCCGTCGTTCGTTATGGGATTCATATATCGAAAATCGGATATCCTTGAGCTGGGTGGATACCTCCACCCACTTGTCAGATGATGTACAGGTAAAATCTTGATCCTTAAGGGAGGAAAAAAGAAAATGGAAAAGTAAAGCTTAAGATCATATTGTTTTTAGGAAGCGGAAGCATTATACAATGGCATGAATGCAGTGCTCCGGCCATTTGGAGGAAGCTATATGCGAGCATCGAACCTAACTGCGGATTATAACAGTTATGGTGTATCGTTTGCAAGCATGTTTCACAACTGGAATGCGCGAACCATCAGGGTGGTTTCAAAAGAGGCAGCAATACCAAGGACAGATGAGGAACTCTTACAAAGTAACAACAACGACAACAACGCAGATACCAAAGAAGCCACAGCCTCAACTACAATGTCGTGCTGCTCGGTTCAATTGCTTTTCACACCTCAGACTGCACCTATCCAAGCCGATATGTATCCTGTCAGGAAAAGGTAACACGACGTAAATGAACAAACAAGGAGTAGTCATATTAGTATCATCATTTCATTACTGACAACAGCATTGTTTCCCTACTTATATTACCATGCATAGTATTACGGGAACAATTCCTGTGGACGTGAAGCAGATTGATGTACTTTGTGCTGTATACCGATCCCAAATCAACATTCGATCGCTGGACACAGAGAAAACGCAACTCTATGTTTTGTTCGACAAAGGAAATGGCAGCAATGAATTATGCTTGTTTGGACAACAACTCAAGAGACGGGATGCGGTTGCAGTTGTACGGTTTGGAGATCGGTTCGGTATTTTGGAGCCCAGAATGTCAAACGCTGTCATACTTCGATTCCTTTGTATGGATTTCAAAATGTACGATATTGAGCCTGAGCCGCAACAGCATAGTATCATCTGTGGTCCAGCCGGCACAAATGTACTTGACTTTCTCGATATACCAGCAACTCCAACGAAAAAGGAAAAGCTCAGTAACCTGCTCAAAGAATCAAAGCAAGGAGGTCAACCATTGAAGCTTGCTCCGCTTTCACATGAATTGTTAAACACGCTCCAAGCGATGAAAGACAGGTGAGAGCAACCACTCTATTTCTATCTGATTGACTTATATACGCGCTATGTATCAAGGCCTTTAAAATTTCGAACATGGATGATGTACCTCTCATCCACTATTAGACGAAGGCAGCGAAAAACCAAGCTAGCTGAAAGCAAAGAAAAGAAAAAAGAACCTGTTACACCGTTACCATCACAAAAAAGCAAGGAGGAAGACATCTTCCAGCTACCAAAAACGACGGAATCGCTTCTACGATCATTGCAAGAAGTGTATTACGGAACTTTATATACCCACAAGGTTAGTAGAGCATCTATCTTTCTCTATTCCATTTCGTATTTTTACAGAGACAAAAACATTCCGGATCGTATGTGTTTTGCATATGCTAATCATATTACTGTGCTTAGTGGATCCTTTCCAACAGTATGAAGCTCATGTATGACTGCATAGACAACCTTGTGTCTCAATCCAACTCTATAGTAAGTATTTACTCGTTGACGTTTATCGTTCGGGGGGCAAAATTGACTGACAACCAAAACCAAAAAAAAAAAAAAAAAGTTACCCGAGGTGATTGCAACTGTCAAGAGCATGGCGATCAATTCTTCTGCATTTGACAGTAAGCATCGCGACTTGATACCCCGGCTCATGGGCTCATCTGACCTGAGCATAATTCCGGATGAAGAAGAGCGGCCCTATTTTATTGAGTGGAAAAGCAGCATTGTTCGATTACAAAGAAGGGAAATTTACGAGCTGGAACTCAAGGCACGCAATGCTTTAAAAACAAGAGAGTAAGCTATGATCGAGTCATGTATCCGCGCGTATATCCAAAAAATGGATGGGAAAGGGAGTGATCCTAGGAGGAATGCTGATATATGTGTGCTTATTGTAGAGGACGATTACAAATGGCTGTGTACATGCTACTGATATGGCTGGAACGACGAGCAGGTAAACGATCCAAGACAATGCGTGGACCCAAAGCAGCCGAGGACCACACTCCAGTCGACCTTGACAATCCAGATGTTGAAAACCAGCTGAACATCTACTATACGCGTGTGACGATTTGGGAAAATGTATATGATGTTGCTCAGTATTTGCACGAACTGGACAGTTTGGATATCAAAGAGCACAAATTGGATCCGGCCGATATTTCAAATGCCGCATTTTGTACCTGCATGAATCAATGGTAAGCTCTTTATGCACAATGGAAAAAGGGACTGCATGTTCGCTGACATACATACATTCGGTTGCCCTCATGTCTATATACAGTCTTTCACGTGTAGTACCTGATTGGACAAAACGCTTACTCGATCAATGCACTGAAGGCGACTTGATGTATAATGCCGAACCATCTTCATCACAAACGCCTACCATTGTAGATTCACAAACCTCAACTCAGTCTTTGCCATCCTCACAACAGAAACAACAACCACAACAGCAAAATAAACGGTCTTTTCAACAAAAGCATCAAAAGAAACGTGAACGGCCACCACCGGATCGCATTTCAACCAGCAGTAGTCATCGTTCGAAGAGGATGAAAACGTCGAATCTGAAGGACTTGCCATTTATGCGACGCGAGGTGGATCTTTCTGTACGCAAACGTCCTGAAAAGTCAACAAAAGCCGTAGCGGAAGAAGCCACCATGGCACGGATCCAACGATCGGCAGTCAACGGTGTTCCTACCATGAAACGTGTCGGTAGTTTCATCAAAAGTGCCATGTCACCTCGACGTAAGTTCCTGGATATATCCAACAAAAAGGGATCCAAAAGCTGAAAAGAGCAAAAAAAAGGGGGGGGGGGTGCTGGTAGACCTGAACCTAAATTGGAAAAAAAAATACACTAGGCTCCAAGCCAGAAAAACACGAAGAGGAAGAAGATCGAATACTCAAAATACGACAGCCAGCGTCACCTACAACGCCACGTACGCGCTTCAAGCGTGATTTCGGTGTTTCTCTTTCAGGATTTGGCTATACACCGCATCGACATGGTGGCGACACTACGCCGTCGCATCGATCCCATTTATCACAGCCCAGCCTGTTGGATGACTTTGATGATGATGATGACGACATGGATGGAATGATGTTGAGTGGAGGACAAACAACAATGCAAGTGAATGATGATGATGACACGCTTGACTTGATTGACGACGACGACGACGACGACGCAATGGCGACGGCACGAACACCACGTCGAGTGAAAAAACTCATGATGGATAATACGCCAAGTGGACGCTATTCGAAATTCAAAAACACAACACCGTACCGAAGGCCCAGAAACAACTTTACGGAGGCACTGCTAGCCATGTCGTCCTCGGCGCCTGCTGACATTTCGGGCAGTGGTGGTGATCATTTGGATGACTTGTATCTAAGTGGCGAAGGAGAAGAAGAGGATGCTGATGGTCTTGGCGCTTTGGATCTGACCCAGATCAGTAGCTTCAACACAAATCCATTACGCTTAGATAGTGATGAAGAGGATGACGTTGACGATGATGACGATAATCCATATTTGTACAAATAATAATAACAAAAGAGAAAACAATTACTGTACATAGATCACTTAGGCACTGGTGACGTGTGATGCATGTATGTTTCACCATTGTCTTCTCTATCAACACACACAAAAACGGGTGTTTTCCATGTTTACTACTACAGTTGGTCTCGCGAGTTTTGGCTCAAGAAATACAAAAAAAAAAAAAAAGTACCGAAAAAGTGAATAGATTAGATGCAAGAGTAAAAAAAAAATAAATCATGCCACCACCCCCAGCACTGTCGAAAATGTTTGGAAAACATTCCGAGTCCCTTTCTCTCTGTTTTCTTTCTTCTTTCATTCACCTTTTATGCCATCAAGGTAAACATTCAAAGGCCACGGCCATAGTAGTACGGCGGCGGGGGCCTCGTTACAAGACAAAAATAGCAGTAGTCTTAAAAAAACCTTTCGGGAATAGTTTTCGTATTGTAGTGGCCGCTGACGACACGCTAGCATCACATCATGCTCTGGCGTTTGCTATCGATCTCTGTTCAAAGATTCCAGACAGTGTACTACAAGTGATCCATGCTGTTGGTCTGAATGCACCGGGCACCTCTTTATTGTAAGCCTTTGTTTTTAACGGGACATGTTTTCTTGGATACTCATGCTCTGTGTGTGTTTGTGTGTGTTTGTTTCAAACCTCCCCCCCCACAAAACGACAGAGGGTCACTGGATCGAACGAACAACATGGAAATACAAGCAGAAGCAAAAAACACAGAGAAAAGATTACGGCAGGCTCTTCCTGAAGGCACGGTAAGCCAAAAAAAAAAAAAGAAAAACGTTGGGAGTGTCTACAGCTCCCAGTTTTCAAAAAAGTGACCTCTCTTTTTTTTTTAATAAAACAGGAGCTGGTCATGAAGGAAGCATACGAACCTGTACAAGACATCATTGCCGAATTTGTCAACCAGAATCCACCTGACATGTTTGTGGTCGGCTCCTCCAATCGGACAGGGTTGGAAAGGTAGAACATGTGTTAAGGGTGTGTGTGTTTTTTTTTTATTGTGTCAATGGAGTAACTTTTTTTTTTTCTTTTGTATGCATCAAAGATTGGTATTGGGATCCGTAAGCGACCATTGCATGCATCACTGTCATTGCCCGGTTACACGGATTGTTTTGGATATGAAGCAGCAAAAGGATCGCTAATAAAAGCCACTACTTTCACAACGACGACGATTCGTATTCGCGAGCAAAATAGCTGGCCGCAGCTTGTTCTGCTGTGCGTACCAGTTCACAGGGTTGTTGCTGGTCGGATGGGATCTTGTCTTTCAGCTCAGCCATCTGTTTCCAAACAAATTAACACTTTTCTTTTTGGGATTGTTTGCTATTCGTATGAATTGGCTTAAACTTTACTTGTTGTGCTACCAAGGACTGGATGGTCTCTCTTGCTTGAGGGGTCACGATAGGCTCGTCCTTTTTCTTTTGTGCGAGCAGATAGCGTCGGATACCCTTTTGTTGTTGTTGTTTATAGAGTTAGCAAAAAATGAGGGGTAAACAGTTCCAATAGACCTTTGTTCTGATATACCTCGAATGCTGCAGCACCCGCTATCTGTTTACCCGAGTAGGAGTAGGAGGAGGAAGAGGTTGGCATGTTTTCATGGTACACTTGTCGATGGTAGTCGCAAAGGTCCTCTGGCTGAGGGAACTCGGTCAGGTGCTTCTGCACTAAAAATACACACACATTTGCCTATTAACCACTCAGCCCCCGGGGGCAGGATATATTTTGTTTTTTTCAACTTACACGGTGGTGGCCGCAGCAAGGCAAGGTCCTGCTTGGACCTCGTATCTTGGAATGGCTGTATCAGCCACTGTTGGGTTGTGTTACTGCCGGGTAATCTGCTGTTTAGAAAGATGGAGGCTGCGTCCTTGTACTCTCCGCCACGAATGTCGAGCACCAGGTTAGGCGATGCTGCGGGGAAGATGTAGCCGTCCTTATACTGCCATCGCTGGTTGTGTGCGAGTCCTGGCTTCCGTGCGTACTGGATAATTGCCTTGTCCTTTTTGATATCGCCTATGATATGTGTGTAAGTGTAAGTGTAAGTGTGTAAGTGTGTAAGTGTGTATGGGTGCACAAGTGCAAAGTATCTCCTCATTCTTTCTTCTCACTCTACCTCCGCGAATATCTAGCACTGTTCGGGAAAAAGACATAAAGTAAATAGAATGCTTTGTCTATTATCATCAAGTGTGCGGCCTACCTAGTCCTGACTTGCGATTGATCAAGAAGCCATCTTCATGCATCCACAGCTATTATTTGCAGCATGAACACACACAAGGAAAGGGTTAACCCGCGGCCTACTAAGCCTGACGTTTCCTGTAAACATCCCACATTTTTACCTGGTTGATGCTATCCACCATTTTCTTTTTTAGAAATATTAAAAGTGAGCTTGAGCATTGTACGGAGGATGATTAGTAGTAGTAGTAGTAGTAGCAAACAACAACTTACTTGCGGCCAGATAATCATCGTGTAGTCGTTCTACAAAAGAATGCATTTTAATAATACTTTCCATTACTTTCTTAATAACGCCAAACTCGGTGGGGGTGGGGGGTGTGGTTGACAGGAGGGGAGGGAGGGAGGGAGAGACACGACACACACGAGAGACACTTTAGACAAGTTTTATTACCAGCATGCCGCCGTCATTGACATCCAGGGCCATGTCAGTGGCCTTGCAACGAATGAAAAAGAATCCCTCAGGGAAGTTGTCGACAAACATTTCCTGAATGAATGAATTGCCAAAGAGATATAAAAAGTAATAGCTGTTTAATGCGATAAAAGTGGATACCCGGGCCCTTGGGTGACAGTCTGAGGTGGTGGTAATAGCGGGTTATGTGTTTTTTTTTTGTTTCTTTGGGGGTGGGGGTGGTTAGAGGCGTTAATGTGTATTATTTGTCCCCTGAGGCAGTGGTGGTGGTGCGCGGGTCTATAAAAAGCGGCGAAAGCGTTACACAAAACGGATCCGATCCCGTAGCAAAAAAAAAACATTCTCTTTAAATAGTCTTTTTTCACTGGGAAACTTCGCCCCGCCCGCCTCCCCCATTGTTCGCACCGTATAAAAAGAGGCTCTTTTTCTTTTTTCCCCTCCCCCTTTTTTCTTTCTTCTTTTCCTCAGAGCAAGTCTACTTACTTTAATACCGCACTCTCTTATCCATTACATTACATCATGGGCTTGCCTCCAACGTTATCGCCACCCAAACCCGCCTTCTCCAAAAAGAAGATTGCCATGCAGCTGGCTCTCGGATGTCTGTTTGGCTTCTTTTTGATTTGTTCACTCGGCATTGATACGGTGTTAAAACAAGACTGTAAGTTGGGGGTGGGTGCTGCTGTCGTCGTAAGGAGAAACAAGAATGACTAACGCGTTTCTTTATAATAGTCGCGAGCTGTGCCTCGGACCTACAGGTCTGCCAGTCGCCGCCAGTGGGAGGTGTAGTACCACCAGAGACCATCGTCATCAGCACCGCCGACGACGAAATCGACACACCGTTCACCCTAAAGCAGCCAGCAGCAGCAGCAGCAGCAGCAGCGCCAAAGCAACGCAAAGACTTCCCATACACGATCGTCACCGCCAGCAGTGCCAACCACCTTTGCTCGCTCGAAAACTTTTTGTACTCACTCGACGCGCTGCGCGACCAAGTCGACCCATTCCCACGCATCGTCGTCTACAACATTGGCATGAACCGTACCCAACTGCCCGTCCTCGACCAACTCGTGCACAACGGCCTCATCGACGACCTGGTCACGTTTGACTACTTTAAATACCCGCGTTTCTGGGACGTCGCCATCAATGCGGGCGAGTATGCCTGGAAGACCGGCATTGTGGCCGAAGCTGCCGAGAAATACAACGACGGCGTACTCGTGTGGCTCGATGCTGGCAACATGGTCACTGCCGAATTCCTAAAAAACGCACCGCACTTGGTCCAGCGCCACCATGGCTTCTGGTCGCCTCGCAGCTCGTACCGTATGGCACGATGGACCCATCCGGGCATGCTCGATTACTTTGGCGAATCGATGGACGAGTATGGCAAATACGCCAACTGCAATGGTGCAGCCGTGGGCTTTGATGTTGCCAACGCCACCCTCAAGGCGAACATGGTGGATCAATGGCTCGAATGTGGCCTGCGCAAGCGATGCATTGCACCCGCTGGCTCATCGCGTCTGAACCATCGTCAAGACCAAGCGGTGCTCACCTATCTTGCGTACAAGAATGGATTCAAGTGCACCCGCAATCCGTCAAAGTACTATGGTCTCCAGATCCATCGCGACGTTTCCTGCGCAGCGAACCTTTTGGCATTGGAGGTGCAGAACAAGTTGAATCATCCCTCGGCTGTGGATTATCCCAAATGGCAACGCAGCGATACGCTTCAATTGTACAATCATCCTGAATGGCGTTATCCCGAGGACAAAGTGCCTGAGCACCTTGCTCAGTTATTTCAGTCTCGATAGATAGACCCCCCCCCTTGTTGTGCGTCTATGTCCCCCCTCCCTCCCTCTCTACATACATACATACACATATATCTCACATTACGCATAGACCACATCTATATTACGCACGCCCAACTATTACACACACCCCATACATAAGCCAAGCCCAGTTCCTTCTCTCTCCTCCTCATCTGTACATCAAGAAACAACCCATCCCATTCATTTCATGCACAAAAACACAATCTTTGTATATATTCTTTTTTGCATTTTAAATCTTAATATTAATTTCCACAAAACAAAGTTTTCTACTTTAAAAGCTGCAAGGGGTTGGGTGAAGAGATATGTGCTATTGTGGGCGGCTAAATAGTTTACAAGTGCTGCGCCCTGCGTCGATGTTTATAAAAATGCACACACACAAAACTTAATTTAGCAACAACCGCTGCTTTGGGGTTGGTCGGGCTGAGCACAACTGGTTAAAGAGAAAGCGTTTTTTTGGGTCAAGTGTCACCGTTGCACCACCACAAGAAACAGACAACCAAAAGAGAGGCCAAGGGAGTGCTTTTTTTTTCTCACATGCAGTGTCTACACGTCAGAGTATCAAGCACATGTTGCCACCATGACTTTTTACGCGGTGGTTCTGCTGCTGCTGATGGATGATGCGCTTGACGGCTGTGTTGTTGTTGTTGTTGCTGTTGTTGTTGTTGCTGCTGCTGTTGTGGCGATGGTGTGGTGTTGGGTCGTTGTTGTTGTTGTTGAGTAGGCACCGTGTGACAGTGAGCAGATTCACGGTTCGCTTGTTTCGAATGACGAGCCCGCGTCGTATCGTGCCGAGAGTTTCGGACATCCAGTTGATAGCGTGCACGGTGCTTTTTCAATATTCTCATGAGTGCGTGCATCTTTTTGTTGCCATGACTTCCCCACCCCCCCCAAAAAAAAAATACATGTAAAATAGGTCCATCTTCTTTTTACCTCCCAGCCCTTGCCATCGTTCAACAGCATCCAGTCATAAACACCATCGTCTTCTTCGTTTAGATTGCTCAGGGTTTTGGCAAAGAGGTCTCGCAAAAAGTCGTAATCCGGGTGCTCTTCGAATCCGAGTTTACGGACATATCTGTATAGATACACACACACACACATCGGATTGGCTACATTGTGCTTTCGGTTTTTTTACACACACTTTAAACCACTTACTGCAAGTAAATTCCAAACTCCTCTACAGAAAAAAAAAAGTGTAAATAATGCAGTATTAGCAGCGTTTGTAGTCTGTTTGTCGGGTGTGAGACGTGTGTTGCATGATAATACGACGGTCATGTGTTATACAAAGTCATCAGCATTACACAGAGCGTCGCTTAAAGAAAGGTTTACCTGGATATCCTGCGCATAGATCCTTGATCATGGTCGACTGTTTCTTTTCACCAATCTTTTCATACTTTTGCTTATTGGTAGCAGCCTTCAATCCCTGCCAAGGAAGCGACCCTCTCAAAAAGTACATGAACACGTGACCGAGTGACTCGAGATCATCACGTCTTGATTGCTCTAAAGAACATGGACTTGTTATTGAGGACGGTCATTCTCGCGAAGAAAAATAAAACAGGACAATTTTACCTCTTCCGAGATGGGTGTTTATGCTCATGTAACGTGCAGTCCCAGACAAGCTTTTACGTTCACGGTAGGGTATATGCTGTTTTGTTTTCGGATCACGATACTGCTTTGCCATGCCAAAGTCGATCAGGAAGACGGAGTTTGCGTGCTCAGTCCCTGGTTTACCGATCAAGAAATTGTCTGGCTTGATGTCGCGATAAATCAGACTTTTGTCGTGTATGCTTTGTACGCGAGTGATCTAATGAATTATAATCATTATCAAAAGGCTCTCTCTCTCTCTCTCTCTCCTCCTTTCTCTCTTTTTAAAACCAAAAAAACAGAATCTATGTACCATGTATCTAGCGAGCATGGCCACCGTCTTGATACTGAATCGTCTACTGCACATGTCATACAGATCCTCGAGACTTGGACCAAGCATGTCCAGCACCAATACATTATGTAATCCTTCTTGTCCAAAGTAATACGCAGATGGAATGCCCGCTAATTATAGTATTATTATTATTATTATTTAGATTTCAAGAGTTTATGGTTTGAACTATGTGATCCATAACGATAATTTCCTGATCTACTCACTCCCCTCCTATCCTCTTTAGAAAAAAGCTTACTTAAACCAGCCAGGATTTTATACGTGCGATACTCGTCTCGTAGTTGAGGTGCTTCTGACTTTCGAGATTCGAATTTTATTGCCACTTGTTGATTGCTAATGAGATTGGTACCTTTCATAAAAGTGAATGAAACCAAAAGTGAGTGAGTATTTTTTCACCCGAGGTTTCCGTTGAGTGTAAAAGACTTTTTCTTTGAGGGAGTAGTAGTAGTAGTAGTAGTAAGTTATGTCAATGAAACATACCTTCATAGATAATGCCAAAACTCCCTTCACCAATTTTACGGCCTACTTTGTAGTGCATGCCAACAACATTGGAAGGAGATGCTGATGAAGAGCTCGATTTACTATGCGACAGACGGGCCATTGTGAAAAATAACGTGGTGCGTGGTGCGTCGTGTGTATTATAGTATGGTATGACAAAAGACAGAACACCACAAACAAAAAAAAAAAGAGAAGAAGGGTGGTTGTATATGAGAAGGGAGAAAGAGAGGGGGGGGGTTTACTGGCTTGTGGATATGTGTGTAAGTGTGAAGAGAGAAGGAGGGAGGGAGGGAGGGAAAAGAGAGAGAAGAAAAAGAGGTGGTTTAACTACTACTGTTGTACTTACACAGACACACACACTGCTTTATGGAACCCACATCGAGCCATCGAAGATGGAAGGAGTCTCAAATCAAACTTCCAAAAGAGGTTATGTCACTCGCATGAACGCACTCGTAATATCGCACATCTTTACGCTTCGTGGAACCCGGATCTTTATTATATAGAAAGCGGGTCATGCACCCCATCTTTCAAAAAGAAGAACCGATGCGAATGTCAGCCACTCACACATCCCCGTGTTATAATATATATCTATGTCGGCGTAGTACGGGACGTTGTTGCTACGTGACAAATGTTTGATGGGATCGACAAGTTGTCAGTTGCAAAATGGGTGTTTGTTGTTACACCGAATATGTTTAAACCATTTCTGTCGCAGCTTGTCACTCTCGTTTGTTGCTGCTGCTTTACTTTGGGCAACTTTGCCACCTGTAATTAATAGTATCGCTACCCTTGTCATCAGTACGCTTTGTTAACATGTCGTTACAGCAAGCAGCCGAAATAAAGAAGCATGATTCACTTATCAGAGGGAAGGCCGAGTTTTTTTTCCTAGCGACAACAATGCTTTTTATACCTCATCCACATTTTTGTTGATTTCTCGTTCCAGTCTCTCTATAATAACTTTTACGGATCCGATTGGAGTCAGTTGTACATATGTCTTTTGAGGATGGTCTTACCGGATATGTGTATCATACCATGTATACAACAGTCGTCGTTGGATCAGAGCTAAAAGAAGACGCACGTCACTGGAGCATTGGGAAGGAATAGCGTATCCTCAGTATTGCGGCTCGCTTTGTTGTGGTTCAATGTTGTTTCATTGTTGTTGCTTTGAACTTTTGAAATGAGACGAGTAAACTGATTGGCATGCCCGTTTCGGCTGTTTCAGACGCGTCCTTTTGGTAATGTCCAAAGTCACGTTGACAACAAAAGTAAAAGAGCTTTGTCATTTTATTTTGAAAGCTACGTAAGCTGTAATCATGCCACTCGACCGTGGACGACCCTGCTGACAATGTCTGTCTCAACATCGTATTCAGAGTTTGTGTGCGAAAAACTGTATAGTGTGATAGACGTTAAAGAGTGTGTGCGTTTCGAAATCAAATTTCTGGAACCATTCACGATCAAAAGAGATACGTCTTTGTCTTTTTTCGTAAGGCTGACAATCATACAATGTGTACCAGAACGATGATTCATGTGGCACATGGCTTTGTTGTTGAATCATGATCGACAAGGTGGATAGCGACAGTCTATGCATACAAATAGTAGTTAATAGTCAAAGTCATACTTCCAGAGTAGCTGCGAAAAAAAGAACCACCAGCAAGTGCTGCTGGTATTTTTTTTTGATAGTGTATATTCCCAAGATTGAAAGTTTCAACGTGTAGGAAAAGAATATTTATTATTACAACGACCCAGCAAACGAGTCTATGGTTCGATTATAAACAGCTACTGGCTATATATATATTAATATATTTGCCACCACTACCGCAATCGTCTTATATGGCCGCGCAGGCACTTGTATATTGTGCTTTGGACTCTGCCTTCTTGATATGCTGATGCGATACTGTAATAAGAAAATAGGAAAGGGAATACCACTCCTTCTATTATTTCGCGTTATAAATGATACCATCAGGATCATCTTTCTCTTAACTTTGTAAAATACGCATTCATCTACCCGTCCGTCCCTGTGCGCTGTATCTTGTCAACAGAACAAAGGAAAGTAGTAGCATTGATGATTAAATGGATTGCTCTAAAGTTTGAGGAGCCATACCGATTACACCGCATTATCACATCTTTCGATGATTAATGGCATTATACAGTCCCTGTACACGCCATTGTCGGTATGAGAGCTCTAGTTACAAATAATGGTACAAATAAAGAAGTCTATGCCTATACATTGAACCTGCATGGTAATTTGACACAAAAGGAGTATTCCTTAAATAAGTCGCCGCGTCATTCTCGCCATTAAAAAAAACTATGTGTCAAAAGAAAGAGTTCCGTTTACAACTATATACGAATAGGTCTTGCGTTTATCCACTCAGCAAAAAGAGAATCTGTCAAAGTGATGATCAAAGAAAAAACGCCTGTACCACCATTAGAATTGCCATTTGTGTTCGTGTTTGCTCGTTCGGGGTCTGTTTTTCTCTCTCTCTCTCTGCAACGTCCCTTTATTCACCTAATAATGGCAGATACCCGTTACGACATTACTGTCTTTGGAGCAACCGGATTAACCGGTAGTCACATTGTTGAACATGTCTTTGAATTGTCTGTGTCGCAACCCGAAATGTATGCCCAAGGCTTTCGTTGGGCGATCGCAGGACGCAATCAAGAACGCATGAAGGAGCTCGTGCAAGAGTACATGAGCAAATACCCCGGTGCAACTATACCCGAACCAGATATTCTTATCGCTAACGTGGTGCGCCGCGATACTACAGACGCCATGGCCAAGCAATCCAAGGTCATTATCAACGCTGTTGGACCTTTCCGGTTCGCAGGAGAATACGTTGTGCGTTCTTGCGTTGAAAATAAGTGTGACTATGTTGACGTTACAGGTTTGTTCACGCTAATCAATTTTGATCGAAAGGATCCTATTTTAATATCTGTGTGTGTGTGTGTGGCCTATGTGATTTAGGTGAGCCGGAGTTCGTTGAACGAATGCAACGGACGTACCATGATCAAGCTCGCAAGAACGGCACGACGATTGTCCATTGCTGTGGATTTGATAGTGTAATTCATCTTTTATATATACATGATCTGTTGTAGAGAGAAGATACGGAAGTAAAAGGCTCATCTGGAAAATATGGTGTCATTCTATCTTTATACATCGATAGATACCTGCCGATATGGGATCACTGTTTGTCAAGGAACTTTACGAAGCAAAAGGATGGTCACCAGTACACATCGAAATGTTTCTAAGAATGTATTCCGGAGAAACAGGACTCCATGGTGGTTTTGGTACCTACGAGTCAGCAGGTAATGAGAGAGAATAAAAGAGTTGATGCAATGTACGAAATATGATCTAATTTAAGCGCTCATTTATGCTATCTAGTGCATGGCGTTGGTAGTGCCGAAGTGTTGAGAGAAATGCGAAAGGTGTCTGGACTAGCTAAACTGCCTCGTCCCGGTCCACCGCTCAAGCTAAAAAATGGGGTCCACTTCAATCGAGATATGCAAATGTACACGATCCCCTTTCCAGGTTCCGATTCCAGCGTTGTTCGACTCTCGCAGCAACTACTATTGAGTGGTTATGGTCAGCCACCCAAACCAGTGACCAACAAGACGATGCCACCCACAATCCAGTTTACCGCCTATATTCTATTACCGTCGTTCTGGATTATGGTCTTGATGGTGGTCTATGGTACTATCTTTTCGTTCCTTGCAGCGACCCCCTGGGGACGTAATCTACTGTTGAACCATCCAGAGCGCTTTTCGCATGGCGTATTCTCCAAAAAGAATCCAACGGACGAACAACTGAAAGATTCAAGCTTTGAAATGACCCTTTTGGCCAAGGGATACACATCGCGCACTGTTCCAAACGGTAACGTCGACCCTGATTGTAATGCCAAAATTGTTGTGCGGGGTCCCGAACCAGGTTATATTGCAACCCCACGTATCGTGCTCCAGTCTGCACTGGCCTTGTTGCAAGGCAAAGCGAACGGTCAGGTTCCCTTTGGTGTTTTGACACCGAGCGCTGCGTTCTGGAACACAGACCTGCTCAAACGATTACCGTCTGTAGGCATCTCTTTAGAAGAGGTGGTTTGGAAAGAAAAGATAACTAAATAAACGTGGGGGTTGATAGTAGTGACGCTGACTCGATTCATGGAATTCTTTTATTTAAGAAACGTCGCCAGTGTTTAGTAGTGTCTATATGTACATGTACTCAGTTATTGGATTGCTATATAGGAAATCGTCATCCAAGGAAAAGAAATTGATACTTTAGTATGTCATTGTTGATCATGCTGATATAACCAAATGGACTGGTTCGCATTGTACTTTGACGACAATTAAATCGCATGCGGCGTGGTGCTTTGATATGATAGAACGACAATAGAAGAATGCATAGCTTAATTTTCCTCTGTTTCTTTGTTACTCATTTTCCTTACCCATCTTTTTGGAAGGATAAACAAACATATTATATAGAAAATAACAGTTTAAAACGAAAAAGAAAACCGGTCGGAAGGTAGCCGTTGACGACAGAGTATTTTTTTTAGTAATTCTAGTTGGCAGTTTCATCGACTAGTACTATTACTACTGCTACGGACAACAATTACCCTATGGCCAGGTAGTGAGCTTTCTTGTCATCACGGGTGATTAAGACAATGATGTGGCAGCAAGTGAGTCTACGTTGTTGAACAGCTTGCAGTAATGATTGTATAGCAGTAGTGATGCACTTGAATGTTTGGATCCTTCCTGGATTTCTACACAGCTTTTTACTTAATAGGCTTATAGCCTGCCATCCAGCCCAATCAGTCTTTAACAAAAAAAAAACAATAACAAATGGCATCGACAGCAAGGAACAGCATATTATGATGCCGACCACTATTATTAACTGTTTGTGTGGTTCCCCACCTTGTGTCTCATACATACACGCACAGAGAGAAAGCGAAACGGGTTGCCATTAACCCGACTGACTGTTTTTGGTTGTAACCGGCGTGTGTTCCAATGCCAGGTGCATACAGCCCCATTGTGATCCCAGGCATAATACTTGCTTGCTGGTGCTGCTGCACTCGCTTATAAACATATGCTGTACATGGCCCTTTAACGTAATTTTTTTTTGCAATTAGCACAGAGAGAGAGAGATAGCATGGGGGAGCTGTCAGATTATGTGAGTCTATATAAATTATTTTCTTTCAATTACATCCCCCACTCTTCTTTTCCTCTCACGTACTCGCACAGTCACTGCACTGCCGTACATACTACTACTACTTGTCGTATACTACTCCACTATATCATGCTGAGCTTTATTTATCCACGACACCACCGACACTTTGATGAAGACTATGAGTCTCCCCTTGCTACTTTAAACACTACTGGAAGTTCGGGTACAACATTCTCGTCCTTCATCAAACGCGGGCACTTGTTACGAAGAAAGCAATCCTCTGCATCATCGTCATCATCTTCTTCTTCGGAAGGGGAGCAACCAAAATACCATTCCTATCAAAGCCCACACCGTCGAGTAACATTTTCCCGCGTAGTCATTGTCAATGACCCTACCACATTTCTAATCGTCAAGGAGGACCATACCAACCTCAACACGCTAGGTCGTCGACCGAGCAAGCAACGCATTGATGAATGGTTACGCCGGTCAGCATCGATTTGATAAGTGTACCGGGACTCTGCTGCTACTGTACCATCATCAAAACTAGCTAGCGTGCATCACTGACACTACTATGCACTACTACACGTTTTTACCCTACCCTCTCCCTTCAATCACACCCCAACAAAATATGTTTCTTTTTGTTCGCTTCTTGTAGTAGTATGTATGGAACGCTGTGCTTTTCCATCCATGTGGTTCTTATTTCCGTCATTTGTTTTGCCTTTCATACATACCATTAAAGCATATATTTGCCTTTCTATGTTTGATGATAGTGAGAGAAGTGTCAATAACGACAGCAAACTATCTTTTTGTCGTACAGTTAGTTGAATGGCAAAACATATTACTGATGGTCCGGTGACATGCATAAGGAAAGTGGAAAGCAATATAATGTGTACTATTGTACGCTTGAAAATATGACCTGACAATTACAAAAGATTTATAGACACGAGGTACGATAACATTCGATCATCTTATCAGTACACACAACGTAAATAAAAGAAAAAGTGCGAAAGAGCGATACAACAGGGCAATGAGTCCGATGATAACATATCAGTTGCTCCGCCACCGCCGTGCTGCATTGCATCTTCTATTAGTTTATATCCAAATAGTGCAGTGTTTTGATCATTTGACACTGCAAAAACACGTATCGCAGCAAAGAATACATATCGTATTGGGTTGTGCATGTATGTAATTGTTGCATTTCGGTTATACTCCATTTAGATAAAATGACCGTAAAGGTATAGCATGTTACTCCCTTGTAGGGCGCGTGTATATGTTTTAAAGTTTGGATGCAGCACGTTATATATACATGTACTCTAGATGAAAAGAGGGGAAGGATGAGGGAAGATGAAGACACAACAAGCAGGGGAAACCTGCATAGATATCTGTATGTATACACTCGGTATCTGCTTTATTATTTCATCTCTCGTTTAGATCCAGGAAGGATCTATAGTTGAGTAGGTACGACGCACGCACTTTTGGAGTTCTGCTTGTTTATACATTGTGTACACTGTACATAGTGGCGAATTTACCTAAATCATCATCGATGAGATGTTCAATTTTCTTTTTTTCTTAATCCATAGACCTCTTCGCTCTGTGAATAAGTGAAAAGGAAATGGTGATCAGCAAAAAAATACAGTTTCTGGAGCTTTTATTAGTATCTAGTTCTAAACTGTTTGAAAAGCTCGAAACGTTTCCAAAGGGACGACTCGAATATTTTCATTTCCTTAAAATAATTGATGTGTGCTGCGCTTTTCTGTGCGGTGGAAAAACGTGGCACGGGACAGGGTCCAGCACGTCTGGTGCTGCAAAATCATCATCGAAAACACTACAGCAATTGTTGTACAATGCAGTCATTAAAAAGCGTGGCTGAACGTTTTTCTGGCGAGAGATCAGTGATCTCATGTCGCAACTGTACGACATAATATCTACAACGTGTGTATTATCTATGTTACTCTGCGCACAACGTTGGTATGAAGTTGTACGTGTGATCTGTTTAGAATTAAAAAGCGACATCAGGTGTATGTGCTAAATACAATAACGTTGTGATTACAACGTGATCTGCCTCAAATCATCAAAATCAAAAAATAAAACAACACAATGAAGCAGTAGAACACAGCCAACTGTTACATAGCCGCATAGTCTCTCGTGTCTATTCACTTATCATCACTACTATACGTTAACTTGTTATTACACAGCTCATAATATCTTTCTCAACGAATGAACTAAAGAGGAAATTAATGACTTTTTCTTGGTATGTCGTGTATGTATAGTGTGAGGGATAAAAACGTAGTATGTAAGATGAGAGATATACAGTTACATTGGAAGTAGAAGAGGTAGACAACAGGAGGAGGATGTATAAAGTACCAAGTAGTGTAAAGTTATTTTTATGTACAAAATCGAGTGAATACACAGTTTTTCAAGGACAATTCTCTGTGAGTTGATCTATACAAGAAACGGCAATCACATTGCCCTCCAAACCGGCAAGATGAAAAACTGCTCTGAGAATAGCCGATACACCTTGTCCAGCAATCATACCTCCAGCAGCGGCGTATATGTACATGTGATAAGCGTCTGGCTTGAATCGTTTCCAGATCTTACCCGCGGACCAGCCAATGAACATGGACAAGGGCACGTCAGGTGTACTGTTGACCATGGCAAGACCAGCAACGCTCAACGAAGGGAAGTATTTGTGATATTTTTCGGGCAGGAGGAACTGGCGCACAACAGGGCCCAAAACGCCCACTACTGCAAAGCAACAAGTGACGATAATGCAATCCCGCGACAACGTGGCACCACCCGTTACTAGCTGTGTGACACTCATCCACGCCCAGACACCGGTGAGGCCAAACTCGCACTTGGCAGAGGTATCCTGGGTAATGATGCACGGATAAGCGTCTGTGAAGAGGATGAACAAGGCAACGGCGATACCGACAGCGACAAAGGATGCCAGCACTTGGGTAATAAATTGAGCACGCGGCGAGGCACCGACCAACTGGCCTGTTTTGAGATCGCCAACCATATCGACAGACTGGGCTGCTGCGCATGCAGTGATGTTGCCTGCCATCAGGTTGTTCTTTTGAATTTGTTCGATACTGGAGCCTGGCATACCAGCAAAGATCAATTGAGACATCTTAGCAACACTGCCCGTCGGATTGATATCGGTCTCGCCTGCTGCTTGGATACCGACAAAGGCCATCAAAAATGCCAGAATTACCGAAACGATTGTTTGGTAGACAACCATGCCAAAGAATTCTCCCATGATGGCACAGGTAAATATGATGGAAAGAATGAGACCAAGCATCCACCACCATGCAGGCACAAGTTCATCAGGTCCGTAAGCTTCGTCATCATGGGTGGTAGGTCGTCGAACGGAGTAAGGCGTGTGCTTGCCTAGCAGCATGCGGCTAATGTGGCCGAAGGCGCGTTTGCTAACAGCAGCCATTTCCAAGATGCCGCCTTTGATGCCACGGTATAACGTGTCGTAGCGCACAAATAGCTCGGCAAAGGCGGCGAGGACTAGCATGGCAATACCTGGCCACAAAAAGAAAGAGCGCGTCGTGTCACCATGGTCGACAAATCCGTATGGCTTGACAAAGTAGCCAGTTGAAACTAAGCAGGGACCAATGATGCCATATACCAAAATAGTGGTCACCAAGAATGGGATGACAACAGAGCCAGGCGTCATGAGACCGGCGCCGTAAAAGGGGAAGTCAAATTTCAGATGCCATGCCCAGGTCGAGTCCGCAGCCGCTAGGTTTCCGTATCCTGCCGCGGTTCCGATCCAGTAGAAGATGTGTACTAAATAAGAAAGCGATAGAGAATGCCATAAGTCAGACAGCGTGAGAAATTTATCAAACTTTGACAATACTGATCTATCAAAAAAAATTCTGGGTATTTTTTCTCTATAAGGGAAAAAGAAGAGGAAGAAGAAAATAATAATGATGGCAGTAAAAGCCCAAACGCAGATATACTTACAGGTGTCAAAGAACGGCACAAAATAGCCGAGAATACCCCAACAAAACGTAAAGCAGAACCAGAACGCCATCCACTTTGCCTTTTTCATACCGCCCTCATGGCCCTCTTGGGAACCATGAAGCGAAAGGATGGTGGTGGCCGATGCACGCGGAGTCGGGAACGTCAAATCTTGTTTGACCACAAAATGCCGTCGAAGCGGGACGGCAAAAAACAAGCCGTAAAACGCCGCAGAGACAGTGAACAGCGTCAGTGCAACAATGTCCTGGCGAGGGGTAGTCATCAGGCCGAGCTTATAAAGGGCAGGGATCGAGGAGATGAATCCGCTGAACAGACCACCTGACGTAGTAGCTGCGGTTTGTGCGGTGACGTTTTCCTTGGGCCCAAAGTAGCCACCACCCCAGGCGAGCGGAAGTCGGGTCGAGAGCGGTTTGATGATAGCAAACGAAAAAATGGCACCAAAAATACCAGCGCCAAAAGTGAATCCGACCTTTAAGCCAAGGTACATGTTGGAGGCGGCTGTTATTAAAATATACACTTCGTTAACAATACGCTTCGGATATACTACAAAAGGGGAAACTCAGGGACCACCGCTGGCTGTGTAACCCCACAGAAAACAACGACAAAACACAACCAAAAAAGCGTGTTTCGTTGCAAACGACTCACCAACAAAGCATCCAAGGAACGACCCTAGGATTGCCGCACGCCATGTAAATTGCGTTTCTTCTTCTTTGGTTTCTGGTGAAGCGAAAGTCTTTTTGCTGTTCAAATCGTCGAGCTCGTTGAGGTTCAATTCTTGCTGTGCCGCGATTTCGTGCGATTTGCTTTTGGGAGGGGTATCCAGAGCACGCTTCTTCATTGTTTATTTAAAAAACGGACAAGTGAAGAAGATAACAGCAAAGGAAAATAAAAGAATAAGAGTGGGGGGTGGGGAGAGGAGTGGGGAATAAGTGAAAGAAGAAGAGAGTTTTTTCATCAAACGCACGAATGGCCAATTATCCTTTATACCTTATTTTTTCTCCTGTCTCTCACACCGTACTCAGGACGCGGCAAGAACTCCGGTGACGGTACCCTTATGTAGCAGGTGTCTCTCTTCCAGCTGAGATCAAACATATTGAAGATCTTTGTCATTAAATAAAATTTGCTGTCAAAAGAAGAGGCCGATCAGTGAATCAAAAGAAACGCAGTACTTTTGCTTCCATTGTTTCTTTCGAATGCATTGGTCTTTATCGTTTTTGTACTAGCAAGGCATTAACCAGAAATTTTTCATGATGAGTGAAATTTTGGGAATCTCAAGAAAAGCGTGAGCGCAGTAACGGTAACACAAAGAGATGAGATCTGGCTTTCAAGGGACACCACCACCATCAACAAGCCGTTTTTGGCTTTGGCTGAGAAGAGAAGTGGATAGTGATTCGGCCCTAACTTGAATCATAAGGCTTTATACTAGGATTGGCCCCAATCCGCTAACTTTGTATATTGCCTTTTGGTGTATTATATTATAGGACACGAGTGATTAGTTGCACCCGGGTTTTTCGAGTCGAGAGCTTTGCCTCCTCACTGAGACTTATATTATGCTTTGGTAACATGGCTAGATCGGTCACACTGTGCAACGTCAGTGCCTGGATAATGGTTTTTTATATGTAGGATGAGAGATTATTGCATGAGCTGCGATCTTGTTGTATTAAAAACATAATGAGGAGGAGACGCATCTTGTGATCGTTTGTACTTTAGCAATAAGGGCCCTGGTATATAATAAAAACGAAGATCATGCGTCTGCCCTTATTCTTCTTAAGCACATTCTGGTTGCAGCGTAGTAGACGTATGGATCCTATCTCTTCCTTATTGTTATCACACAAGAGGACAAAAGAAGGTGGCTCTTCCTGGTGCAAGTGTTTAGTTTTTTTGGCTACTGGGGGCGGGGGATTCGACAGGTAAAAATATATCATCCACATAGTCTGTTGCCATGGTTATAAAGCATAGCAACCAGGGGTTACCCTATGGACAATGTTCCTCTTCTGCTAAATTTCCTTTTCAAGGCGCCTTGCCAACCTGGGTGACGATGAGAAGCAGCAAGAAATCCAGGTACTTTACGAGAGCAGGAGAGCAGTCCAAGTGATCGAAATAGAGGAGCATGCGTGAGTGGAAGGAAGAACGAGGTTGCTGTGCGCGTGTGTATGTGTGCGAGAGAGAGAGAAAGAGAGAGAGAGAGAGAGGTCATCCATCTTTACTGTTTTTTATTTTACCCCTTTCAAGTGTAACACTGGCACTGTAATGTGTATGCCGCCTGTGTGTGTATGTGTGTTCTACATGATTTTTTTATGTAGTGCTTGTGTTGCTGTACCTGCTCTCTCTTCATTTTTTCACTCCCTCAAAAAACGACGATCTCCTACTTTTTCGCTTCTTTCTTTCATCTTTGCAATCGACGACTATAGCCAATGTCATTACCGAATATTCAGTAACAACAACAACAGCAACGACTACTGCGGCACCAACCCAACACACACACGGTCAAAAAGCATACCTTCCCAAGATAACAACAGCAGGCGATTCACCCACCACCCTCTCCTTTCTTTAACACACTCAATACGTTGATACCTATAAATACAAATATATATAACCTCATGATTCTACGAATACCCTTCACACGGTCGGCTTACACTGGAGGTACGACTCCACCATGGGATCAGAATGACTGGTTCCGAGCTCATGGTTATGAATTACCGCTCGATACCTACCTTTTGCTCCAGTGGTTCGCAGGCTTGATTGTTGATGTCGGATTCTTTGGATTCATGTATCACTTTATCACGGACGAACCGATCGCAGACGCCACGAATACACTTATTACCGCGTGGAATCCAGAGCAAGATTTCGTGCAGGTTGTCAAATGGCCATGGGCAGCCTGGAGCTGGCAAATATCCTTTTTTGATACGCTTTATTTTGTTTGAAACCAATTACGCTTTCAGTGCATACAGGACGTATCTTATGAATTCTTAACTCTGTTTTCTCGTTTTAATGATACTATACATCATGGTAGCGTTCAGCATAGGCGTAAAAACATTCAGCATCACCGCATCATTCATATCTACGGAGGAACCGGTTGTTGCCACGCAGCGACAAGATGTTCCACGAAGCAAAACCTATGTTCGCAAGTACGGCATACCGGTGGTTGATTCATCAACGGGAGTATGTGGTATATGTCGCATCAAAGTGTAAGGGAAAAATGCAATGTGCTTTTTGTTTCTATTAAGGAGTTTCGAAATCCTACTATATAGGATGGGTGTAACCACTAGCTCACATCTCCTTTTTCCATTTGCTATATACAGACCACGATCAACGCGTCATTGTAAGCTGTGCAACAAGTGCGTTGCAGGGATGGATCATCATTGTCGTTGGCTGAATTGTTGCATTGGTCAACGTAATTATAGGTAAAACAATAGTGAGGGTTAGTGGATGGATACTATGGTTTATGACCACTACGCAAGAATAGCTGCTGACCTTCTACTGTTTGCTCGGTATATTAGATTGTTCATGGTGTTGATCACATATACGTTCTTTGCTCTGGTTTGGTACTCGAGCGTGGCTGTATATACCTTGTGGTCAAGCACTTATCAAAAAAACCTGTTTGCCGGACAAGGTTAGAATAAAGAAAAAAAAGAGTGTTTCATATTCTTGCTTTGTGTGTGGGTAATTGTGCGAACACATGGAGAAGACACTTTGCTGGAGCAATGCACTGACCTGTTTGAGAATATTAGCTTGGGAATTGTTCCATTCAACGTATGCAATGCAGTCGGAAACTATGGAAATAGTTAATTCTAGCGTCAGCCGTTCATATTATCTGAGCATCGGCATTACAGTGATACTGGCTGGATTATCCCTGATTGGAACTATCGCAATGCTACGATTATTGTGTTTCCACATTCGACTTGGTAAGAAATGAAACTTTGGTAAAAGAAGAGGGCAATATTTACTGACAACAGCAGTAACAACTTGTAGCTTGCATGAATACGACCACTGTGGAATACATCAACCGAACGAGTCATTATCGCGCCTTGTACGACGACACAGATGACGAGGACGACTATTCTGACGACTACTATGACGATTTTTCTGAAGCATCCTCGGGGCTGGAAGACGACGACGTCGACGAAGAAGAAGAAAATGTGTGGAAACCGTCCGTAGCATCCACACCTGCGGCAGCAAACAAAGCTGCAACCATGCTAATGACAACAGGAGGAGGGCAATACATTGTGCGCAGCTTGCGATTACTGCGCAAAGTGGGACGGCCATGGCGACGATTGTTACGACGTTATTTACCGGGCTATAACCGCTATCATCAACTACACCAACGACGACGTCGAAATTATTCGCACGGCACAAGCTTGTTATCGCGTGGATTATCGCTGATATCTTGTCGAGACACCGCTCGAACAAAACGCAGGAGGCCACGACGACGGACTCGGCCATTGGCCACAAACGTGCGACATCACAACGTCCATATGGAAGAGATATTGGCGACCCAAACGATACGTCCTATTATGACGCTAGATACTGCTGCTGACGAAGAAGGACCGGATTATAACGACAATATGGGCTTGGACATGACGATACTGGATGAAAAGTTCACAATGCCGTCGCCGTCACCGTCATCGCCAGCATCACCTATGAGTAAGCAACGATACGTCAAGAGTAACAAAGCAGCACGGATATTGGATATTACGGACGAGGAAGCAGTTCGCTATCAACAGTCGCATCAGGATCAGCGAATACAACAAGAACATTATCCGGAAGAGGGGCATTTGGAAAAGACCGATGATATTGTTTAATACGTTAATAATAATAAAGAGAAGAGACGAGCATTTTGGTAATACAACCATCATCGTTATCATCATCATCGTCGTCGTCATGATCATTTTGTGCCGTGGTATGCGGCGCGTCCTTTTCGTCAAAAAGGCATACCTTTATACGATAAAAAAAGCGCGCCAGCATGGCCATGCCTTATTCTTTTTCCGTTCACGTTGGATAGACAGACGGACAGATTGCACACAGAACCTTTAAGCTCAACGTACAGACAGCGTCAACTCATGTTGCGGTATTTGTAACACATCATACAAAAAGTGTCGCGTTCCAGATAATATATAAAGCGGATGCCCAAACAATTTTTTTTCCTTTCTTTCTTCCCTTTTCTTTCTTTTTCTTCTGCTTGCTGCGCAAAGCAACCTGCTACGTTTTTTCTCTTCTTTCTTTTCTTCTTTCTCACCCTCGTACTATGTTGATCTCGTCTTTTACGATTGATCTGGATGAACCATGTTTTACACTGTCTGATAAACCCGTAGCAATCAGTGGAATACTACGTGCTCGATGTGCCGAGAATCTGAGTTGCGTCCACAGCCAATTGGAAATGTTTGGCTGTGCGCACGTGGGGTCGATGAGAAGGTCGGGAGCAAAAAACACCAGCGAGCACGACGACGACGACAACGACGACGACGCGGTTGTGTTCAAAGATCAGCATACAGTGGGCAAATGGGCGTACGAAGACGACGAGGATAGCTACGTTGCGCCCTTTACGTTTCATATACCTGGCTCTTTGCCACCCAGCTTATCTGTTGTAAACAAAACAGTGTCGATCGAATACAGCATTACCGCTACACTACCCACGTATGGCATCCGCACGACTCGCTCCGTCCAACTGTTCCGTTCTTGCGACTACCGTCAGCTACAACAGCCATCAACCCGAGTCTATTGGGGCACTACAAGATCAAAACGCTGGCGATACGAGGTCGAGATCCCACGCATCATCCCGATTTTCAATCATCACCAACAACAACAAGAGTTTGTACTGAGCATCCGACTACGTTCGTCTTTCGAGGCGTTGAATCGGTCAAAAGTGAAATCATGTCTGCTCACATGTCAGTTGCTCGAATCAGTTGAAACCAAACATCATCCAAAGGGGTACACTCTAAACCTTTTTTTCCTACTGTATTTGATGCCCTTTCTTGGTGTTCCCTCCAAACTAGCTGTAGTGATACATCCCCACTTATAACACAAAGTATTGTATAATAGATGGACCGAGCCACGTATGATATCAACTCGCGTACTTATGTCGCCGGCGCAAACATGGATACGACCCTGCCGATTACCCATAACGTTCCCCTCGGAGCATGCTTACCAACCGCGTCCGAGCGTCACGACCGAGCTCATCAAAATCCGACATACGCTTTGTGTGACGCTTGCCTTCAACGGTGGTGTGCAGGGACACGAAGACAGCGACAAGCTACAATTTGAATTTCCTGTAAACCTGGTGCATACGCTGGACTCCAATCCTACTTTATGCCGCCAACAACTGACGACTCGTTCCTCCTCTTCCTCCTCTGCCTTTTACTATTATACCGACAGCAGTAGCGATGATTGTGAGAGCAGGGATAGTGGTGTATATCTGACTTGCTGATCTTGTCAACCCGTGTAGACAAAAAACAACAACAACATATCATCATTGTTGCTGCTGCTATCGTCATCAACACACACAAAGCTTCATGAACCGTTTTATATCCGAGCCTTAGATGTGTCATGCTCTATTCATACATTGTATATAGAAATCTAACATATCCTTTCTCACTTCCTTATCCCCCTTCAAAAAACCTACATCCTTACTGTACAAAACCCATAATATGTATGCATTATCATTCACTCTGCCCATCTTTCTCTCTATACGCAGCAATCACACTCCACCCCCTTTATTGCTCGTTTTCTCATCATAGTACTATTAATAATATACGACACCCTTTCTCTCTTTCGTATTCCTTGAGTATATTGATTGTTTTTGTTTTATTTGTCCTTCCTCCTTTTCATTAGCAGAAATCCACACGGGTAACCGAAAGTGGTATTCTATTTGTCTGTCACGCGGCTATACCTCAAACGTCTTTCATCATCTTCGGGTATATTCTCGTACACAGATAACATAGAGCACTATAATAATACTACTTTATGCATGTGTGTGTGATAAACGCTTTTCTATGTATCAACCTCTGTATTAGTAGTAGCATGCCAACATCAAAACAGGCATAAACACAGCAAATAGAAGTTAGTATCGCCGCCGGTGGTATGGTTTTATATCTAGCCGCTAGCAACCAGTCGGTATCTTACGTAGGTATATAGGTACATACCGCTTCTTGACAACAGCATATCTCGGTGGTGTTCCGGGAATCAAGCCGATTATCCCGAAGTCATTTTCTTTTCTTCTGGTATAAACGGAAAAAAGAAGACAGAGGTAACATGCGTGTTGCAACCCGCCGGATTTCTAATCTTGCCGCCACACAGACCGAAACATCTCTCTCTTTTTTTGTTTATGTTTTAAAACTTTGAGTTGTTACAGGAACCAATTCAAAAGGTGATACTTTTGACTATAACGCGAACAAAGCCATGCGCCACGGTCCGAAAATGTACTAAACCCTACTTTATATATGATATTCGTTTTCGTCCTAAAATAAACAACATGCTGTTACCTCAACAATGTATATGTATGGACTTTCTACTACCGTGAGAAGTCGCTACATTATACCTAGCAGGATTGACAACAACAAAATCTGAAGTTTTCTGTTTAGAAAGCGCTTATTTAAACACCCATGCAGCTTTTTTGTTTATCATGTTATTTATTCAACAATTGGCCTTGCCCTACGAAACTGGCGCTGATATGTGTGAGGAGGAGATGGAGGTGGAAGATATGTATCAAATTGGATCCGACGAGTGTCACGGCTTTACTGGTGGTGTGCAATCACTTGTATTAATGACCAAGAGAAAAGATATACCACAGGTACCTAGTGAACCTTATTTGTTTTCTGTAGTCTTTTTTTACTAACTAATGGTCGATAATACAATAGGCATATTCCACATCCATGGCAACGGATCTTTCAACCTTACTTCGACTGTCACCGTAGCCACTTAAAATGCCATAGTAAAAAAAGGTCCGGGGAAAGACCTCGCAAAGAAATTCAGCAAGAAACCATTGCTGCAAAAAGTATCGTCACTTAAGGTTGTTGAACCTTCAGCTGCTTTCGATATCTAACCTTGAATTTTAAAACCCGTGGGGGCTCATCGAATGTACCGAGGTCCAGAAATAATCCAACTTATCGACATGATCCCAAGCATCAACTTGGACGCTGCAGAAGCTGGACGCGACCTCCTAATCCCTGAGCGAACCGCACAGCGATACTGGAAACGGTTTGCTGATGGTGAACCGTATCTCCCGAGTATAATGGGCAAATCTCCCGGTCCCCCACCAACATTGACACCCGAACATACCGCATTTCTCCAGACATATTAAGATACCAAGTCAGCTCTGAAAGAGGCACATCAATTCCTTTCTAATTGATCGGTACATAAATGCTTGTCACAAGTGTGGGTTGATTCAGTCATGGTTGCCTTTTGCATATTACTTTTCAATAATTCGTTTGCATCTCTTTTTTTCTTTCTTTGCGAGTAAGGAAGACTGAACTAGCTTTTGCTCTCTATGTTGCTATTGCCAGGATGACTTTAGTTATATAATCTAGACATCCTGAATGCTGTTGTTTATTCGTTACCGCATCTGCAGGGTATTACAATGCTATCCAATCCATTGAGCGGAGTTGGGATCCAGGAAGCTTACTAGGGTGATGTTTATATCTTGGTTGACAGCACACAGTAGCACTCCAGCGTCTTGTATCAGGCTTGCCTTTTCTCTGGCGTTTTGAGCTTGCTATCGTATTGTTGTTCGTTTGGTAAGCATCAAGCTTAAGACACTGGGTTCATTTACTGAACAACTGCTCATGAGTTTGTTACATATAGAGTTTAAACAGACAAAGTACTGTAGTTAGAATTTGCCCAGAAAATATGAGGAACACTTTCCGGGAATCGCTATATTTCAAGATGTTCTTAATCCCGTATATATCCTAGCATGTGGAAGATGATAATGTTCCCGCTTACCATAAATATTGACCTTTGTCAGTAAACTTGACTCCAATAAGTACTCTGCGTAGTATAACTCTCAAAGCGGTTCGAGTATAGTTGCAGCAGCACGTTGGCCATGAAATCCAAATACCGGGCATTAAAAATCCACTGCCCGACATGAACAGGAACGCGCGTATGCGCATACATACAGCATACAGACTGCTTTTTTTTGGTCATAAAGGGAGGAGGCGACGATGGTCTTTCTATTCAACAACGGAAAAAGAATATTCTCACTTCATTTTTTTCTCTCTCTTCTGTCACAGAGACTATATCATATAGAGTGCGAGGTGATCCCTTTTGTGACGAAAAGAGGTACACAAGCATTTCTGATATATAAGGAAAGCATAGGGTAACCAAAAAAAATTAGTCTGTGCTTTCGCTCAGTTTGAAAGGGCACCAGACTCGCTGCCGACCAGATCCACATCGTGCTGCCTTTCCATCAATCCTGGATCTAGTAAGTGTATATGTAAACATTTCAAATCGATGCTTGACTATACAGATATCACAACAATCCAACCTGGAAAACTGATTAATTAAACATGCTGCCAATATTGTTTATCAGCTCATTATAAATAAAAGTACAAGCCAGACTGCAAATATCACCGCAATGGTACTCAATTATTAAAAATATGTTGTATGGCATACGAAGATCATCTGTCCGAGATAATCCTGAACACCCCACGACTTCAATCTTTTTACTAGATCCTTCAATGATACGAAAAGCATTGATGCCTGCATTGGTGAGACTATAGATCCGTGAAACACGCAATAGCACCGAGCTTTCGACTTGTTCAAAATGCTCAAGGACAGCACCAGTAACACCTTTCACGGCTGTCAGTTCCAGATTCAGTATTTTGGTTTCCTCAAGTCGTTGTGCCCACACAATCCATCCTGCCTCTGTGAGAAAGTCGTCGACACTATTACTGTACGGTGATGTGCGGGTTCAAGCTTAATCTCCTGACTAGTGGGTGCTGTGATGGTTCGCACAACTGCATTAGACCTTGGTTGTCGATGGGTATGTTCGTGATACGCATTTTTTCAAGCTGTTGCAAACGTCGAAGCGGAGTAAGATCGCAAAGAGGATTCTCGCTGAACATGTGAAGGAAATTTCGCAAGGAAAGTATACGGAGCCGTTGCAGCGTACCGATGGTTGCGATAATGCTGTTCAGATACTGCGTTATTCCAGCGCGATTTCCAACTTCCAAGATCTCATTTTGTTGCTGCATGAGCAAAATCTGGGACCAATCTTCGCTTGACATACCAGTGATGTCCGTCAACCCCAAACTTGTCAGCTGTGTGAATTGGTTGCGTGCCAAGACATCCCAGCAATGAATATCAGAAAGACCACAGGCGACTATACGTAAATGTTCTAGTATCGGCTGCGATTTTACTACTATCGGCATGATCCTCTCGTGTCCCTTGCCGTTGAATAGCAGTTCATAAGCCATACTGCCTTCCTCGCCATCATCCGATGCTTTCCTTTCAGTTACTTAATATAAGCACTCGTGCTTCTTGATAGTGAAATCCATCTGTCTGCTATGACTGGTTCGCTGCATTCCCACATAATGTAGCGTAATAGAGGGCACAGCTCATAAGCTGTATAGATGTTGGTTGGAGATACGTTGTTGAATCGTGAGTAAGGCGATAATATCAAGTACTTGATGTGGGAGCAACGCTGCAATAAGGGACGGATCCGGTATTTAAAACTGAGAACACCGTCCAGTCTTAAGAAGATAATGTTGTGTATCGGTGGCCTTTTGTGTCTGCTTCTGCCATCAACTTGTTCAAGAGTAGCGTCTGATAAGTTAGTGCGGCCATCAAACATCACTGAAAGATGCGTTAATGACGGCAAGAAGTCCAGTAGCATTGGCAGCGAGATATCGCAAGTACGAAATGAAATCGTCAGAGCAGTTAGCGTATGCGAGAAATATCTGATGAATCCTGGCAGTAACGTGCTACTGTCGAAAATAGGTTGTAATTGTTTGCTATGCACATGGTTGCTGATGTCTTATTTTTTTTATTGAAAACAAAGAAAAAGCTTTAGTATATCTTTTGCGCATAAGCAGTAGTAAGTACTACCGAATACGCGATCCTCTTAACGCAAAAAAAAAGAGTATCGTTTTACTTCACCAAGGAAGCGAATGCTGTAGCTTCGCCAAGCAAGTCGTTCCAGTACTTTATACGTGGCTTGAGATTTGATGTATACTGATTCGACTTGTTGTCCCAAACATTGAAGCATCGCGTCGCTCCTCTTGTTCCATGCATCAGGCGAGATTCCCACCAGTGTCCACAGGGCTGTCTGGTAAGTGGGGATCGCGTATAACCAGCGGCGACATACTTTCACACATTCGACACAGCCCGCTGTCCGATAAACGAGAAGATGTACTGAATGATTCGGGAGGCAAAATCGAGATCAAATCAGTCATATTACGTGTATGTGAAAGGGGACGCGCGAAAAGAAATTTGGCACGAGGCTTTTAATCGAACAAAGCCTGTATAACATAATCCGGACTCGTGAAATAATATGTCCGACAAAGGAAAAGCAAGTCGAACCAGGTAGCTCACCTGAATTTTATTTGGAAAAGGGGGACCCTGAAGATTGATCTATTGTAACCACCAGTAACTTCATTAAATCTATGCTATCATAGCGATACGCAGATACACATTAGAACAGGCTCTTTCTAAAACCATCGACTTCTCGATACGAAGGAAAAGGCTTCAATCAATACTCGGGTTTATTGTTTGCGAGCCGCAAAAGTCATATATAAGTAACGAATCGCTTGGCCTGGAAAACACAGCATCCCTGTGTGCAAGTTTTGGTAGAGCAACTATATCATATCTTTAAAGGTCCCCCTGATATCTTTGGTGAGCGATCATCACTTTCAAATAGGTAACGCATACCTTGAAAATATGTAACGAAGTAAAGTTAAATAAGAAAAGGAAGAGAGAAGTGAAGGTGTAAGGGGAGGGAAAGAGCTGTTACAAGAATCACGCTTTAAAAGCAGGCACATCGGAAAGATCAGTGCAAGCTTTTCGATCCAGGTGAAACCCAAAATGATAAGAAAATTGTGTTGTGATAAGCTACGTGCAGGAAGAGTGAGAGAGACGAACAGCTGAAAAAAAAACATTCCAATTTTTTACAGATCTGACAATTATACAGGTCTGCTGGCGTATGCTCTGGCGTTGCCTCTTATAAAATAACCGACCATATCCTCGATAACAATTTTTTTCTTGACAATTACTTTGGCAATTTAGGCGAACACAGAAGGTGAAAAAGAGTGCCAAAGCGTGATAAAGCGCGTTGTGATCGTGTTACTGAGCCACTGTCACTGTTCCCCGCTTTGTTTAGCACGGAGCTGTGAATGGATGGAGGGGGGAGTAATTAGCTTTTTGTTCGCGAAAAAAGAAAAAGGAACTTGTCGTGCACATAAAAAAAAGGCGAGGCAAAAGCGGTAAAACGTTTATGCGGAAAGTGCGAAAAAGAAAAATATATTTTTATTTTGTTTATCATTTTCTTATTTGTGTGTAATAAATAATAAAAAAAAAGTTCGTTTCAATTATCCCAACATATACCGTTGGCATCACATGCACCCGAAGGTTCACGATCGGCTGCCGGAGTATATGACCACATTCCCACTGGTATATATTGCAAATTTTCTTCAGGGCGCGGACCACTGAATCTGCCGATCATCAGAAGAATTATGACAATAGCCAGCACAAGCAATGACCCGATCATGGCACAGAGCAGTGCATCTGTACTACAGACCAAAGCTGTACCAAAACGAACTGAAGAGAAGAGAAAAAAGAAAGGCGAAATTGCTCGCTTTATATAGACATTTTTCTCGTTCGGGACTTCAAATCCCCGTGAATTCTCATTGGCCCAGATAACGGGTTGCGTATCAACTTGTGGGCTGCCTACTATGGCATAACAAAAGATACAGCACCAAAGGAAATGAAAGGAGGAGTGGTACCTGATGGTCAAGTAGACAAGCGTGCTTCGGCGGTAGTGGTACGTGTCTCTCACCATGCGGAGCTGTACCCTCCGATGGTATCGGCGCTTGTTTGTGAGTGGGGCCGTGCACGGCACCGTGTCGAGCAAAAACAAAGACACGAATGTGAATGAGCATGTAGATTCACGGAAGAAATGCTTTTCTGTGAGCAATAAAATGGCAATATAGAATTGTCCGACAAGGTAAACAACTTAACAGATTCTACGGCATCAGTTGTTCCTGATCCAGCTTTAGTAAACATTAAGAACACGATCCTCCCAGCAGCCAGTTTCTATTCTTCACCCAACAAGGTAAACAGCATGAGTATAGAGCGTAGTCCACAGACTATTCCATTTGATTAGTATCTTTTGATTGCATGTGCTGTGTGCGGGAATAGATACAACACACACTTGACTCCAACGCTGCAGTATATAAAAAAAGATCGTTATCTTTTACTGTGAAGCGTGCTTGTCTACTGTTGCTTTATAATTTTCGCCATCCGCCAACAGTTCTCTGAACTACGCCGTGTAACCTCCCTCCATCCATTCCGAATTCATACTCTATCCAAGTGTGCTGCCGCAGATAAGCTGACCGCTCATGGTAAGTATACGCTGCCGCTAGTGAAACTGACTCACCCTTCATTGATTTTCATTGCTGCTGATAAAGTTAATCGGTTCGTTTGTTTTTGTGCGGGTTCTACGTTTTTTTTAGCAGCTTTCAAGATCCATTGGGACGATCAGAAGAATAACACCATAAACGATGACTTCCTACTGTACATCTTTTGACCCTTTTGCGCGTAACTCGTTGCTCCATTGATCACCTTGTTCACCCGCCATTCCTTTGTGCACTTTGAGTACCAAGTAAATTGGCCAAATCGTTGCGTAACAATGCGCTTTCACTCTACGGAGTTTTCGTTTCATAGGAAAGCTGTTGGAACGTTCGAGGTTTGACACACGCATCACTTGTCACTATCCAAAGAAGAAAGATCTGTGTTGCGCTCTTCCTGAGCTCCTCGTTCCTAGACTACCTTTGCTTCCTGCTGACTCACGTCAGTACTGTATTAGCATCACTCATAGTGGCCTACAAAAGCACCTTGTGAGCAACTGTGGGCTTACCATGAAGAAACTCCACGGATATCGGAATTTCGCATTTCAGCGAAACAATCGCCTCCCGAAGCGCACGCATGTAAAGCCAGTGGCATGGATTACCACAAGTATGTCTTTATCGACGAAGCTGGTTTCAGTATGCACATCAAGCGTAATTTTGGTCGTTTGCGTCGAGGTGCTCCAGCTAGGGCTTTGGTTTCGAGGTCTCGTAGCGTCAACATGACGATCTTGGGTGCGATCACTGAGTGATGGTAAAAATAAAATTGTTGGCAAAATTGGTACGCGGGCAAGGCGCTATATCAAGTTCTTGGGAGTACTCATGGAAGTATTCAAGGAAGGAAGAACTTTGGTAATGGATAATGCCACCATCCATAAGACACCAGAAGTGAAGAACGCAGTGGCGAAGCAAGGATCCGATATCCTATACTTTCCTCCGTATTCCCCTTTCCTCAACCCGATCTCAAAGAATTTTTGGTCGAAGCTGAAAGCCGGTGTCAAACGCAATTGTTGACAACGGATGATAGTTGCTGCCAATAATCGTCGACTCGGCTAATCAAGTCTCTGCGCAAGATTGCCAAGGGTGGATAAGACATCCTTTTTCGTTTGTGCCTCGCTGTATTAATGGAGAAATGCTGTAGTTTCTTTATCTTATTTGTCTGTGTTTTTTAAAATAAATTCTCGAGTTGCAATGAAAAGTAATGAAAAGAACCATCATCCGTTATACTAGTATCGAGCATGAATCTTATAATTCTGCTAACATTAGTAATTACTCATTTAAAGATTCTGTATGATGTTTTGTAGGTCTACGTACGTTGCACAAACGTGTGAAGCACAATACTACTGGGCAACAGAGTGTGTCAGGATAATCATTTTTAAATGACGTGTGTACATATAATTACGTCTAGACACGCTTTAGTTTGATACGGGCGTGCTTTAAGCAGATATAAAACATGCTCTATAGCGAAATGAAGGCTAGAATGATAATGATGCTGTTGTTATGTATGGATACAGAAGCATATTTCTCGACTATATATTGATGGTTTGAAACATACAATTCAAAGTGAACATTCTACTGACTGCCGCCCAGCATGCACTACTGCTACTAATGAGCGTCGTTATAGTTGTCACATAGTGGTGTATATACTGTTCCATCATGTAAAAGTATACAGTACAGAAGACATGCTATACTTGCTTTTGCGTATTGGTCTCATCGTCAAATCTATTGCGTTGTTAATAGCCTTCGAGTTTGCAATAAAAACAGGACTTTCGTTATCAAAGCAGCAAGTAGTAGTGATCAAATCATGATACATACGTTACTGGCTAATGTTACTCCCCCCATCTGACAACGCCACTGGTACTGATATTTAGTAATGGGGTCTATGCCGATTTGAAAGTTCCTTTGAGTTGGGTGGGAAGTGGATTATATATATCTGGTAGGTTACACCACAGTCTGTCGTTTACCATGCATGCGAAGTCGGCTGGTGTTGTGTCCTTGACTTGCTTGAAAAAGCTTTTACCAATTTAGCGTCCATAACATTACTTCAACATGCCTGCTAGCAGGGTGTTTTGTTGTGTTCCTGTCCGAGTAGGCGCTCTCGCCATTGCATCTCTTCTTTGCGTAAATATTCTTTTTCGCTTTCTTGGATTTCATAACATTTAACTCTTCAAGGAAAGATTAACTCGTGAATAAATTAGGTTCTCTATTTTGCTTCGAGCATCGTCATGTTGGTCAAAAGACAAGGTATAGAGATTTTATTACAGGATCAAAAAGGTGACCTTCTTTTCCACGAACTCATATTCATATTTTATGAAAAGGTCTGAAAGACTGGGCGACAATGGTCCAGGCAGTTGATGTGCCGCTTACAGATCAAGCTTTTGATGGCGTATACGCTGCACTGGTAGCCGTATCGCTTACATATACCCTATTGTCTGCCTATGGTGTTGTAGCTATAGTATTGGTATGTTTTTAAGTATATTAACTTTGATACTGTCAGGCTGAGAATGTTATTTACTAATTTGATCTGCTTTAATACTTAGCGACGGCGCAAGTTGATTCAAATATACCATGTCACAAACTGGTTTTTCGTCCTTTTGATCATGACAGTATCTTTAGCATATTGGTTCTACTTTAAAGTCAAGCGAGACGTGTACATTAACGATTGTCAAGATTTACAGAACCAGGGCGTGACGCCAAATGGTGAAATCTATACCCCAGTAGCCGTACCTGGGAAAAATATGATTGCTGGAGGAAGTGACAAGAGCCACTGCATCAGCCTAGTACAAACACTTGTCATTGTTTCTGGTATCGTTGTTTTTCTCGGGAACTTCATCCAGGTAAGAATGAAACTGGGAAAAAGAGTGATATGATGCGATTTCTCACAAATAGATGGATTTGTTAGTTGTATTTAGCGAGCTGTATCGGAACATACGCCTCTAGTCTGAATTGGGAGTATTTGCATCAGCGATTACAAACGCAAGATATTGACGAGCTTGCTGATCGCAAGGCAAGCATCGATATTAGTGCGCGTACGAATTGATTTGTTTCGTTTTCCAAATATCTGAGAATAGTTGTAATACCGGTTACTTTTTCTTTTGAAATACGTGTGAGAGTCATAAAACGACAGCGGAGATGATGATCTATACAAATGAGATGAAAGCGGGAGGAGTAGGGATGGTTTTTTTTTTCTGATGGTGTTGAGAGGATTAAAATCAGAAATGGGAAAGATTATGTAGTAGTAAGAGTGTTTTTTCTAGTTGCCTTGAGCGGCCTTTTGAACTTCGTTTGCAAAGTCATTTTCCTTTTTCTTAATGCCTTCACCGACTTCCCAACGGACATAGCCAGCGACGGCGGCACCGTCTTGGATACCGGCATCCTGGGCAGCCTTGTTGACATGTTCAGCGATAGTAATATCCGGGTTCAAAAGGTAAGGTTGTTGATTCAAAACGGCTTCAGAAATGTATTGCTTCTGATCCGACTGGGCATTCATTTCATCTGCTGGAATATCCTCCGTGTTGAGGTAGGTAGGCTTGAAACCAACTGCCTGGCGCGCTACCTGGCGTGCAATCTTTGACAATGCAGTTGCTTGAGAATCATTCAGAGTAGATACCTTGAGTGGCTGCACAGCTGCCAAACCACCCATCTTGCCGGTAGCAGCATCACCACCGTGCACATAACTACCAGTAGCACCGTTTGCTACAGCAATGGCAGCACGACGCAGCGTGATGTTTTCGCCCAACTTGCCGATCGTTTCGACAATGATTTCGTTGACTGTCTTGCCGCTAGTGACATCGGGATCTTCTGTTTGTTGTTCTGGGTGTGGCATCAAAGGCGATTGTAATAAGCTTTCGACAGAGATTAGTTCAACGGCAGCACCAGCTGGTTCGTGCAGCAGCAAGGATGTGGCAGCAATACGCGAGGCCAAGTTTTTAAAAACGTCGTTACGCGATACGAAGTCGGTCTCACAGTTAAGCTAGTTTTCCGTAGTGACACCGTTGGCATAAGTATTGACGCAGAGACATGTGTTGAATAAGGGATATGTCATGACATACCTCAATAATAGTGCTCTTGCTTTGGGTACCCTCAGCACTGACGGAGGCAGTGCTGATAAGACCCTCTCCAGCCGTGCGACCAGCGACCTTTTGAGCCTTCTTGGTACCTGCGACTTGCGCGTCTTGTTCAAGCCAATCCAAAGCCTTTTGGTAATCGTTGCCATTCTTGACAAGAGCTTCCTTAGCTTTGGTCATAGAAACTTCTGTTTCCTGGCGCAATTGCTTCAGAAGCTTGATATCGGGCTTAATTGCAGCAGCGGCAGCATAGTGTCTGCAGAGCGAACGACGTGTTTGACATATCAATGGTGTCCAGCGGTACATTTTTCGTAATTTCTTCAAGTTTGTCCTGTCTTTTCAGGTCTCTTTAACCCCGGCTGCTTGCCTGCTTAATTGTTCCTTGGTTAGAAGACCTAATTGTGTGCTCCGATTTGGCAGCAGCCTTCTCATGTGGCTTGCGCCAAAAATTTTCTTTTTCAGACAGACGGGCAAGCTACTTGAAGTCCTTCCTCTCTTTCTCCCCTCTACATTCTAATTGGTAATTTGCACATTTTCATTTTGTTGAAATAAGACATACCTACAGTTTTCGAATGTAAAGAAGCTTACCTTTGTTGCTATTAGTAAGACATGGCCCCTGTTAACAAGACCAAGAAGAACTCCGAGAACATCAACTCGCGTCTCCAGCTCGTCACCAAGTCTGGCAAGTACACCTTGGGTTACAAGTCGACCTTGAAGACTCTTCGTCAGGGAAAGTGTAAGTATCAAAAAATTTGGGAAAGACTACTTTGGGGGACAGGAGCCCATAAAAAAGACGAAAAAATAGTAGTCGACCTAGTGTGTGCTCTCGGGCTGAGATCGTCCCCCTCCTTGTTTGCTAATCTATGTTTTTTATTTGAATCTTTCTGTATGATTAGCCAAGTTGATCATCATTGCTGGCAACTGCCCCCCTCTTCGCAAGTCTGAGCTTGAGTACTACGCCATGTTGTCTAAGACCGGTGTCCACCACTACAACGGCAGTATGTGATCGTTTTTAAAAACTTTTTCTGGATGTATGCGGCAATCAATTGGGGCTGTTACTGATATTTTCGCTACTTTCAATAGACAACATCGACCTCGGTACTGCCTGCGGTAAGCTTTTCCGCACCACCGTTCTCTCGATCACCGACGCTGGTGACTCGGATATCTTGAACACTCAATAAGTGTACGGTTAAGCATGTCTTAAACTTTTAGTAATAAAAGAGGCATTCTATGATCCTTGGATATTTATTTATACTGCCTGTAAACATGTATCTGGATGTGATAGTTTTGATGGGTGTTGGATGGAAACAGAATCATTACTCTGTGAATTAATGCATTATTTCCCAATGTGTCAACAATTCTCATGGTGGGCTGAATCAATATCTCTGCTATGTCATGTCTAGCAGCAGCAAAATATCGTTATCTTTATCCTAGCATCATAATTGTGTTAACGGTGCCACAACGGGTTGGCTGCTTCGGCCATTGTTTGTTTTCCGATCAAAAAGTTTTATATCGCTTCTTTAATAATATTTTGAATGGTACCAGAGTTTTGTCCACTTACGATCTTGAAGTTTACCAGCAGCTGACAATTGTGAAGGATACATTATCGATCCTTCTTTTCCATTTACAGCCTTTCTAACAAAATACATGCATTATCATTGACCTGATCCCTTAACTGTCAAAAACGTTGAGATGTGTAGGTGAGTATAATCGATCATGTGTTTTGATATATAGAGCCAGACATTGGGGCAAAAAGCTACTTGATATCAGATGCAAGTGGGCAGTACTTGGTGAACCTCGCGCTAAGAAAGAAAGGGTAGCGTAATAAAAAACAAGTCTTCGATTTCCAAGGAAATAGCATACATCCAATCGTTGCACCCATCATCACTAACAACAATTTTCTATACTTACACTACTAATGTGTTTCAAGTGAATAGTCTGTGATTTATAGGCGATCATTACAGTGGCAACAGCTACTACACCTGTACTAAATTCCAACTTCTATTAAATGTTTTGGATCAGAGTACATGTGTTAATCGATACGAGCAAGACTGACTTGCACTCCATCATATTTAACAGCATCAAGCAAGGAAAAGCCGGACCCTATAACACTCGCTTTCTTAAGAAGCTGTAAAGTTGAGCGCCCAATTTGAAGAGGATATGAAATTTACGTTACAAAATAGCACATAGTGCATACGCACTTTTTGCTAGTTTGGAAATGCAATAGGTGACCCAGTAAGGGTGACTCATATACAAGGATTTTATGCGAAAGATACTTTACGGCGCTCACTAAAACGTTGAGCTATACATATCTCAGCTCGTAAGGCACATTGTATGTAACATGCAGGTGTCATCTCAAGATCACCAAGCACACTCACTCGATCACAAAAAAAAGGAACAAAAAAGCATGCAGATACATATGGTCTTTTAAAGAAACATCTTTATTTCAGCACTAGCTAAAGTATGGTCGAACTCTTCCCTAGCGCAGGTATTAACCTGATCAGGTTCTGAGGGTAATAATCTCAGCCCAAGATAAACTCGAGCACCCCTAGGTTCGACCACTATAATAGCAAAAAACATTCCCAACCAAATCAAAGATAGATTTGTATCGGGAACCCGGTAAACAGCTTGTTAGTATATCCCAGTAAATTTACGCACACACACGTTACACACCGCTGGCACACAGAGCCAAAAGTATGGTACATGGACATTTTCCGCTATTCAGCAAGTCTTGAAGAGCTCCTACATACAACTTACGTGTGTTAAGCCTTAACAGAGATGACATCGGGAGCGGGGCCTTGAGGATGGCTGCTACGACAACCACAGCTGACTACGCCAGTATCTACAGTTGCGGGTTCGACACCAGGAGTTGATTCAGGCAACAAGGGCCACGACAAGAAGTCGTTGGTCTGGTTTTGCTCAAAAGTTTCATCGACGATACCCAAACGCTTGCAGTAGTTGGTTACCTTGTTCCAGTCACGCTGCACGTTCTTGAAATCGCGCGAGAAGTAACGGAACGAGCGCTGGAAGATCTTGCGGTTGACAATGCTGTCCATGTGGGGCTTCACTTCAACAAAGAGTTGGTAAGCCTTGACAGGATCCTCAAACATAAAGTCAGCAGCGCGCTTGATGGCCTTCATGAAAGCCTTGACCTTTTCAGGGTTATTGTTGATGAAGGTTTCGTTGCCTATGAAGAGGATCTATGATATACAATAAACAGTCTGAGTACGAGTGCTATGATTGCTTGTAAGAAACAGGTGCAAGGTATGTAGTTCTTATTTTTTACCGAGCAGAAGCAGCAACATCCCAAGTGAGCAAGCTCATCAATGCGAAGCATGGCCACATCATCAGCAGGACGGCCTTGTGCAACGGACCATTCTTCCAGTTCGACCATTTGAACGTTTTCAAGACCAATACCAGCATCGATTTCGCCACGGATGATGGCACCGGTGACGTTCATACCAACACGGACAGCAGTGTAGTCCTCGGGGGTCATACCATATTGACGCGTCAATTCGTCCAACTGGATCTTGCCAAACTCGCCAACGTAGCCAATGCGCTTACCGCGCAAGCTTTGGAAATCGTTGGTGATGCCGCTCTTGGAGCGCAAATAGACCACGCCAGTGAAGGGCTCGTCCAAAAGAGTACCGATGGACTTGACGGGAAAACCGCGTGCCTTGGCAGCAATGGTATGGATCATGGCCTTCAAAGCGAGGTCGGATTTACCACTGCCAACAATTTCGGTGACATCAGATGGGTTATTGGGCTCCAGGATGGCTACCTTGATACCTTCTTCAACAAAGTAGTTGAGCTTGTCGGCAAGGTACAAGGGAAGATGGTAGGGAATAGCGTGCCTTTATAAAGTAAAGAATAGTGATGATAATGAGCAAGAAGGAATGTGTGGAAATCGACGCGTCAAAGAGCGACGAAAACTTAACACTTCTACAAACTCTTACCAGTTGGTAACAACGGTGATCTTATCGGTAGACATCTTAAGTGAAAGAAACAAAGAATTGAAAGAGGAAGGCCGGTTCCCAGCCTTTATATAAACGAATGTTGGGTATCCCCATGAGAAAAAAAAGTGTGGGTACCCGTATCAGAGATGATCTTTTATGCTAGGGATAAACATAAGGCCGCTCAAAGTAGAGGAAGCGAAGCCTTTTAGGGTAAATAAGAAGGGCCATGAATGAGTCACTGGACGAGATGATGCAGGTCCTTTATTACCCGATCCCTTCCGTTAAAACAGCGCACACTATTTCACCAGGTGCTGATATAGGCATATAGCCGATTGTCAACCGAGCTTAACGATTTTAGCTTGAGGAGAAGAACACGGAGGCGTAAAAGGTGAGAGAAGAGCAAAAAAAGGAAAATGATTGTGTACAACATTCAACAGCAGCAGAAAGGATGGAAGCATTGAAATAGTTACCAATTATTCCGATCGCGATCTAGAGGGACGCTTAGCGAAGGTTTGTCAAAAAACCTCCCCCACACTCTCTTTCTAAAGTTGCAATCACATATCTATATGAGCTACCCAACTGAAAGATTCAAACGGTAGCTCGTATGTCATCATTAAAAAGTCAGTGATATGCGTGTCGCATGTTCAAGACGCATGCATGCTCGACATTCTGCCGGGTTAGCTTATCATACTGCATGGATCCTACATACTTAGAGGAAGTAGCAGCATATTTAAACATCAATGCTGATTCTCGTATACAGATATGATACGTAATGGTACTGATACATTCTAAACCTCCATTGTATATATTCTCTGTCATTGAAAAGAGACCCTTTCTATGCTATAAATCATGCCACACCATCATGTCTTGAAATGCTTTACACGCAGCTTTCTCGGTGTCGAAGTGACCAGATTTCATCGACATATTTAACGAATAGTAAGCAAAACCGAAACAGAGTTAAGATTGATACGGTCCGTTTTGCAGTCTGAGCGATGACTGTCATATCAAAGACTAAATTCACGGAGGCGCCTTCCGACAGCTGCTTGCGTTAAAAATGTCAAGCAACACGGACTTTATTAAAAAGCTATAGGTAGATACTAGTACTATGCATATCATGCTATCTTGCAGCAACAGAGTGCTTAATTAAGCGATGTATTGCACGGGCTGATACGCTTTATGATTGTTTCTTGATTTAATTCCAACTACGTATGGATGAGTCATATACCACTTTATTGTCTAATGATACGCTTCTTTGTTATGTACATACTCATCGGGAAGCTAATCTAAAAGGTACCAAAATGTATCATGGTGGTTGTCAGCTCGACTAGCCTGGATCTCTGCGCTGTTGTTATACACCATGGGGTGCTAAGTCGTAAGGGTCAGCAATTGACGGATATCGTCATGCATAGTAATTTATAAGAAACTGTCTCTACTGATCAGATGGTTGATACAACAAAGGGCTTATATGCATATCTCTAAGCAATTATCTATATCAGCAATGAGTGTATATATACGACGCGCTGATAATGTATCAAAACGCCATAACGAAACGTGTGTTGTGGAGAAAGAATAAATTTATATATGGCTGTATATATATAAGCGTACAGTTTTCTATTATTAGGTCACTCTGGTATATCAAATCCGTACATTTAAGTATATAAAAATAAAATCCAAAAGGTGGAATCATACGGGATAAGGAGAAAATTCGACGATGATCATATGTGAAAAGGAAAGAAGGGTAAAGAAGAAGAGATAGAGAAAGGCTCAAGGTGTTGACTACTGATACTGCTACAAACAAGCTCCATGTTCAACATGGCGGCTGCTCACAACATATTCGAGTTGAGATAGTTACAGCTTCAAACTGAGCTCGTGGTCGATTTCACCAAGTCGCGACTTGAGTGCTTCTACGCTTTGTAGCTTGTCCTCGAGCGTTTGCATTTCCTTATCTAATGACTGTTGTTGCTGCTGTCCGCCAATCTGCTCTAACTCCCATTGGCCATGGTTACCGGTGAGTCGTAAGAGATATTGGTGGTATTTGAATAATGCTGGTCGATGAGAGATCGTCAGAAGCGCTAATAGTAGAAAATGTATTAAGAAAAGGTTAATATGCCAAATTTCACGGATAGGTGTATAGGGATGCGGCGAGGACTTTGTACTGAAAACACTTACTGATGCCCATATCCTTGGCGTGTGCGTACATAAGACCTTCAACGTCGGCGGATACAGCACTTGTACATTCATCCAAAACGGCATATTTAGGATGATGATAGAACAAGCGTGCCATACCGACCTGTTATCATATTAAGGGATCAACTGTATGAGTTTCTTCTTTCTTTTCGTTTACATCTGTCCCTTTTTTCTTTCCTACTTACTCTTTGCTTTTCTCCACCCGAGAAAACATCCTTCCATTCCTTCTTGGTTTCCCAGCCACCTTCACGATCGGGAATGTAAGCTAAGCGCACAACGTCCAAAATTTTCATGAGCTCTTCATCCGTTCGTCCGTCCTTTTTCATGTCTTCATGAGTGTGGGGGTAGATGATTCTATTATATATAGTAAAAGGCAATAATAGACGAAAGTCGTTTAAAACATGGTTCAGATCAATACACTCGTTGAAATGCCGTGTACTTACTGGTCTCGAAGAGTGCCTATGCTCAAGTAGGGTCTTTGTGGGATGTAGAAAATATTCTCATCACTAGGTCGTGAAAGCGTGCCCTCTGCGAGAGAAATCAGAATAGGATAATGACGATGATTAGTTTCGAGGTTTAGTGCATCTCATTCTAACATAAAATTACGTACCAAATGTTGGCCAGAGGGTGGCAATGACACGTGCGACAGCTGTTTTGCCCACACCATTTGGCCCGGTGACCAACATGTGCTCACCAGGGCGGATATGAACGTTCAGATTCTCCACTAAAAGTTCGCCTTGGCGATCTTTACCGGGAGCAGGCGTTACGATCGGTACGTTTTCAAATTTGATGCCGTCCTCACCAAGCTTGATTTTGCCCTGGATGTTGGTAAGTGCGAATCGCACAGCTTCATTGGGACCGTCAAACTCGTTTGCATGCAATGAGTGGAGAACTGACAGCAAAGTATAAACACGGGTAGTGTAGCCTGCTAATTCAGCCAGTTCCTTGTACGAATACATCATGCGACCACCTGCATCTGCAAGTGACATCATCAATCTAGAAAAATGTACCGTCCATGAGTCTCCGCTTTGTATAGAGGCCAGCTTCGTAGCGCATTTGACCGTTCGTCTGTTGCTTACCGTTTGTTTGTAATGAACCCGCGAGTGCGCGATCCTACTTTAGCGTTTTCATCCATGTCCTTGGTGAGCTTGCCAGGCAAGTCGCCCACCAAATGGGGAGCAAAAACTGGGATAGCACAGAGAACGAGGCCGAAAGCACTCCATGCATACTTGATCAAAAAGTCTTCAAACATGTTGTAATTGATGCGGATCTTGTAAATTGAATTGATGTGTCTGACAAGGCGTTGATATGCTTTATCCAAAATTGAGTGTTCCAGTTCGCCGCCATTGTAAAACGCAATTTCTTCTGCATTTGTAATCAGTCGGGTATGAGCTGCACGGAAATCACCCTCAAGCTTTGCTTCGACGGCTGCCAGTTTGCCAAAGGAAGGTGTCACGGCTCTCAGAAGTCTGGCCGTTACGATGTAGTTCACACCAAGGCCGATCGTACCAGCCAAGCCGATCGACTTCATCAATTGATAGTTGAAAATCAACATGTCCAGTACTGGTTTGGCAAGATTTGAATACAATGATGCCAATGTGTCGCAGAATTTCGCAATATCGGTCGTGATAAATCTATTCCGGCATGATGAGAGAGCAGTTGTTCGGTCGATTAATTCCCATCATTCATGCTCAAAGATACAATCTTCAATCACTTACTGATCAGCACCCTGAATTCGCCCATCCAAATTGATGGACTTGTAAAATGTCTTGTCTTCGTTCAGGTACAAATCATGGGCATAACGTGTCAAACGTGTACGGAATCCGATGGCAAGTTTTGATTGGAGATATCGGATCTGTCGTCGTAAATAAACAGTGAGGTGTAAGTTCCACTCTTCTCTCCTTCAGTCGTCCTCTGCGAATATCTTCTAATTCTAAACGTACCATACTGTTTGTATATGTTGCTGGGACAGCAATTGCAAACCAATACATCAAGCCTGTAAGGAAACGCTTTCCACGACCGCTGACCTGCAGAAGAGGGATGTATATGCATAATCAGCTATGGAAGAACACCCGACAGCAGGGGGGTGCACATTATCTCAATCTGCCATGTAATGTACATACCAAGTCTCTGACAATACGGCCATCGATTCTTGCGACCACCACACTCAAATATGTACGCAGAATGAGGAAAATGGAATGCAGGATAAGCAAAAATACTTCTTTCGTATGGAAATTAGGAAAGAGAATCTTTGCAATGGCACGCAATTGTCGATAGAATTCGTCATTGACACCGACTTTTTTGGCAACGTCTACCACGGGGAATGATGGCTTGTGTTGTTTGAATGTAGACTCTTTGGTTTCTCTGAAAAGCGTGCGTTTGGTGCTATTGAGTAGATCGGCAGCCGACATCTTCGTTGACGATCGCTGCGAGGTTCGATATGCCAGGGCAGCGGTCGCGGCGGCTAGAGAAGAGTATATGAGAAGGTTGTTTTTGGATGGGAGCCACGGCCGGTGGTCGAGCGGCTGAGAAAAGAGTGGCATGGTAGGGTAGAGAGGCAGAGGCCTGCTGAAAGGATTTATTAGGACAGAGAGGCAGAGAAAAGAAAGAAAGAAGAAAGAAAAAAAGGCAGAGATTAAGAAGAGGTGCACAAAAAATGTGGAGAAAAAAATCACATGCACTTTCAAAGAAAAGAATTTCACATGGTTGGTTATACAGAGCATACATCACCTACGTAACCGACGTAACCGTAATGTCAATCTCAGCAGGCAAACAAACACAAATCATACATATGCTTGCATCATCACTTGGGCCACTATAAATGCACGCGTGCGCTTGGACCTGGTAGCAGATTTTTCTTCTCTCTTTATCTTTCTGTTCCGGGCTTCCCAAATATTATAAGTAACAACTGTTACATAATCTTTATTTTACAGTACGGAATCTTTTGCTGTCTCTACGTCCGTGGCAGAGTTCCCTTTGATGTTCTTTGCTTTGCTTCACATTCCAAATAATACAAACATCTTGTTATCAGCAGTGTGTTTTAGAGATCGAAAATGCTTGTACGTCTCCTTATATAAGTACAATGAAAGGACAAGCAACGATAGCCAGCTCACGGACGCCAGAAATGTCAGAACTGTCGAGACAATAGAGCCGCCTTCTGAGAACAGAGCCAATAGTAGCACGACACCTGCACTTCCACTTTGTATGACGGAAAGTTTAGTTAGTACGACTGATACTTCAAGTTCTATTCTATCGCAACCGCTGTAATAAAAGAAAAGTTGCTGTTGGTACTTACGTTCCTGGAACGCCAACAATTTTGTAAGCAGTGTATATGATATGGATCGAATTAAATGTAAAATAACGCACTAGCAACAACAACAACAGGGATGGGATATATGGTAAGTTCCGTAACAAGGTTTTGGTGAAATTATAATAAGAATGTATGTAGTCATATAACTTACTGTAGTGCATGGCATCATTTGTCATATATGCATTACTTGCAGGTCGCTGCCACAGGAAATAGCTGGTAATAGCGCACATTATTCCTTCAATAGCTGCAAGACCCAAGGAGAGCTGTACGCTGTTATTGAAGAGTAACGGTGGTCGATAAAACGCCAAAGAAAGACAAGCTGAAAAGTTGATCAGGAGCGTGATGCAGAAGCCAAGCCATTCACAGTAAACCCATCGAACCATGGATCGGCATTCCAAAGGCATTGTTTTAAAAGTAGTTGTTGTAGCTTGATGGTCATTTAGCGATTCAATATCGTGTTGTTGTTCCTGATCCAGTAGTCCGTCGTCCTTTTCATAATATACACGTTCGTCGTCGTCGTCTGCTTGCTCGAGGGATAGGGTCGACTCGCTGGTTGAATCAAAGTAGTCATGATAATCATAAGGACCGTTTGTTGTTTTCTCCTGGAATGGATCATGACTAAAGTCCATTATTTGATAGTAAGATGCGCCGGAAGTGTCGATCGGATAATGGATAATACTATCATCGTCGTCGTCGTCTGCCATTTGGTGAGCTTGGAGCTTCGTTGCTATTGCAGGATTCTGATATGTGATATTGAGAGGATCATCTGCGATAGGATGTTCGAAATGATAATAGGATGTCATCTTTATATATTACACACGCGTATGCGCACGTCCTGCACTTTTGAAAAGAGAAAAAAAAAGAAAAGAGGAGGTTGTGGCAAAAAGTCCATGGACGGAAACGACATATTTTTATATGAAAGTGCGAGTGAATTTTACTCCTGGTACCATCTCCACTCGCTAAACCCCTTTTTCCTCCACCGACTCCTGGACTTTTTGATCCTTGCGTTTATGAGCCGTAGCAGCAGTTAATTAAAAGGAGCGGCATTACTAGCAGTGGTAAGTAGCAAGTAAGCAAAGTTAATAGAGTCAGGGGTGATAAACCAGCATGGATAGCGAGAAAGCCACCATCGTCTTCACCAACAATTCTCTTTGGAGATTCCATGAATGAATATACCGGCCTCAAATCTGCAGATGCGCCTGCATGGATGTTTTGCTGATGCATCGTACACGTATTACAACTTTATGGCTTTTCTTTCCGTCCGCGCTCGTCCAAATCATTGACCCCTGATATCTATTATGAACAAAACCATACGTCTATATTTTAAAAAGAGAGGATGGCGGCCGTTGCGAATAAAGAAAAGACCTACTACAACACCTCATAATTTCTTTGTCAATATCTACAATGTAGTAAGAAAGCACGTTATAACATAATTAGATGTAATATTCGAATCAATAAACATACCGCATGCCAAAGAAGTGTATTCATTTTCCTTTTATTATTTTCGCTCACAGCGATCCAGAAAATCGACTGGATCTGCACCATACTAAAGCGACAATATCTATAAGAAGGGACAACTGAGGGTCTTCATGGACGCATTTAAAAAACTCCGGTGGCAACGATGACGGCGGCAGCGAATCGCAACAATTGCAACGTCAAAGTTACTTTTTCGTCTTGTCTTTAAGGGGCTCCGTTGACTTTTCCCTCAGGTGCTACTGCAGACGCGAACCTACTTTATCGTCACCCATTGGCAGAAAACCAATAGCTATATCGCTGATGGAAGCATTGTGTAACATGGGATGGACAGACACTGATGGATTAGCATAGCAATAGGGTGTTTCTCACTGAAGCTTAGCATCAAGTGAATGGAAGTTTCTTGCTAGATCTGTTTACATTCTGCTTTGCGTCAACAAAACACACATCATGTGGTATTGTATAACATGGAGAAAGAAAGTCACCGTAGACGATAGCATCATCAGGAAAACCATCAAGGCTTCTACTATCAAGTGATATGGATTGACAGTACATATACGTGGAAACAAAAAAAAATGTTAAGCACTATTGATGCAAGTGGTGACACCTCACTGTAATTTCTCAAAGCATGGCGCGCATATAAAAACAGTTTCGACACTGAAAAACGACCAAGAAAGTAATGAAGCAACAGAAGAGCCTCCCTCCCTCAGTACAGTAGTTGGCTTTGACTGGCACAAATGTGGCATCAAGCAACCAACGGTTCAAAGAAGACGTCACGAGTCATTTCAGCTACCATGACAATCCATTACCAATGAAGCATTTATGGGATATCTTTTTTTTTGCTATCTTCTTTTGTACCTTAACTTTTTTGGGTTGATTTGCATGAGAACACTAATATTTTATTACATGTGTATTCAGTTAGTGCACTGTGAGATCAGCGCGATATCATACTCTTAAGTTCTTCAAACAACTGCTGCTGTACCATCTTTTTTGTGGTAATCAATGGTGACCGATTACATGACATAAGACCGTAGTTGTGCCTTGCCATTACTATATGACTATATAAACCTATTGTAAGAATATAACCGATTTTCCCATTTAGATGACTAAGATATATATTGTTCGAATGTAGAATAGATATGCACAAGATACAAATAATTAGATACCACAAACAAAAAACACCTGCATATTTTATTTATATTTTGGTGGTATATCTGATTCCAGATGGTCAATATTATTCATTTTTTATGATAGTAGCCGTAGCAATTCTCCAAAACAGTAGTGCCCCCCATTTCATAATAATATAGATATTATATTCCGGTAAATAGTATTTTGTTTTGCCTTCACAGCCTCGTATTTCTTTTTCAATACGCGGTGGGAGGTTGTTGAAGAACCAGTGAGAATCCGATAATGCTGATTTTTGAAGAACAGCATCTTCAAACTGCCGCAAAATGGAAACTGTTTAGTATGTCAATAGAAAATAGCACATTGCGCTCTGTTATGTTGCTCGTCGTGCACCACTTTACGAAATTATACAAAGCAGCTGTTGTTAGCTCTTTCCGTCAATGCAGTAAAGTAAATAAAGGCGTGTTACAGGCGTGCTTATGGAGAAGTTCTTACTCGAATTGTGACGCTCAAATCAGTCAAACGTTTGAGCGACATAAATATACAAGCTTTGAACAAATGCATTAAGATGAGTGGGACGAATAGAAGAGGAAAGCTTGCGGAAAAGAGAAAGATCATGAAAGAAGGTTACCTAGCGTCACAGGCACCACATCGTTTATCTATGGTCAATTAAGAGATAGGAAAAAGAAAGGAGGAAAGATAAATTACGCTTGTTTCTTTCTTTTTTAAGGACTCTAAAGGTTATGTCGTCTCGAAAGGCTGTGATTCTCATTTACTGTCAGCCATAATGCTGCGGCATGGGCCTGTTCTTCAATATCAGGTATATGTCTATGAGTAAGTTGCACAATTGTAACATGACAGGGCTCACTGTTTGGATCCATTTGACAAAAGTTTTCATCTACATTATTGCCGTAGCATTGTCTTATGAAATCGGGCACTGGTTCATTGGAAAGTTCCGTCTACATAATAGTCAGTGCTACTGAACAATGAAACAGTTGTTTTATAAATCAATAGAGATATAGAAGAGAAACAGTTAATAGCTACTGCTGTGCTCGAGATCATCTCGCTGAGGAGCAAGCTTGTAGCTTTTGCTATATTTCACTGTACGGCTTTTCTTTAATGGACTTGGCGCTAGCCAGCTGCTGAACTCTGTGACCGCATGGCATGTTTTGGTAGAAAGCATTATTAAATCAACAGGTTTGAGCCTACTATGCGCCTATATCGAGCAGTAGTACATAGCTATACAGTAAAGCTCCCTATGCTATGATTTGTGCGTACAGTTCTGAAAAATAAAAGCTATCATTAAGATGGTAAAGTAAAATTCGCTATGTGTAGAGGAATCTCGAATGGCAGCAGTAATAGCACACAGTGTACAACCTGTCTCTCTAACTAGCGCAATACCACCATCAGGCTATTCTCCGCCTTCTGAAAAGAGAGCGCTGCTAATGAAAAGTATACAGCCGGTTCCTATGACAGAGTGTAGCCTGCCATTCAAGTCTGTGAAGCTAACGTAACTTTTAGAAAAGCACCACATTCTGCTATAAGCACTTTGTAAAAGCAACAAGGACCAATGATACAGTAGCAATCGTATAGAGCTCCGAGATTTACTAAACAAATATAGTTTAGTGCTACAATGGTAACACATCTTGATTGTTACGAACGAGCCAACGTGAACCCGGCTTTCGGAACATCAATGTAGAAGCTGCAGAACTTACAGAATTCAAGTAAGAAAAGACTTGCATTGTTTTTTATTCCAAAATGATATTTACTAAATGTGGTGATTGTGTGCTTGTATATAAAATATATATAGCCCTTTACAAAGGACAACATGGAGGCAAGTGTTTAAAAATTTTTATACATGGAACTAACAAAAAGGGAAGAAATTGTGAAAGAAAAGTGAAGAAGTGTATAGGGATAGGTAAGGGAGGGTTATGCGTGTTTTTGATATTGTATATAAAAGTAAATGGTTTAGAGGCTTTTTTATGCGGTAGCGCCCATTTGAGTGATCTGGTCTGGTGTATCAATGTTGTCCAAGAAGTGAGTATGTACGCCTTCATTCTTGGCATTGTGGTAGTGACGAAGAAGGGTATCAACGTCATCCAAAGACAATGGTCGGACATCGGCCAACTCCTTGATCTTTTGCGTAACCACCTTGGCGTCCTCATCCTTGAGATCCGTCAATTGCAGCTGCTCGATTCGGTTCTTAACCGCATTCCAACCCGTCAAACGATGACCAATGCTGACATATCGTGACATACCAAAGTCCTCTGGCTTCAAGATTTCGTATGTTGATGGGTTGTTCAAAATAGCCTTGGCGTGAATACCTGCCTTGTGGGTGAAGGCACAGTAACCAGTGATGTAGTTGTTGAAAGGAACGGTGACCTAAAAAAGGGAACACCAATTAAAATCCCATCAAAGCGACACATAATTTCCTTTCCGTCCATTTGAACAAAACGTTACCTCGACAGCATCGGCAACAATGTTTTCAACATCGCGAATCTTGGTCAAGTTGTACTTGTTCTTGACAAACTCCTTATCAGCAGCATACATACGGGCGAGCAAACCGCCGAGAGGCGTGATGCCATTTCTCTCACCAATACCAAGGACCGAGGTATCAATGTGGGTAGCACCGGCTTCCAAAGCAGCATAAGCGTTGGCAATAGCACAACCAGTGTCGTTATGGAAATGGCACTCAATATCACAGCTGACAACACTTCGCAGGGTGCGGACCAATTCGTAGACTTGGCGGGGGTTGGCACAACCGACAGTGTCGGCAATACCGACACGGTTGACGCCGATCTTGTCAACAGCCTTGTAGATGCTCAGCAGATCAACAAGATCTGAACGGAAAGAGTCTTCAGTGGAGAAACGGACTTCCAAACCCTGGCTCTTGATGTAGCTGATGACTTCAATGGCCTTGTTGGTGATATATTCCATGTCCTTGCCGTGCGAGAATTCACGCAAGTAGCTCGATGTGCCGATCACAACGTCCAAACCATCAACACCGGTATCAATTGCAAGCTTGGCGTCGTCCATGTGGCAACGAACGTGCGTCAAGATCTTGGCCTTCAAACCCAGACTAGAGATGGCCTTGCAGTCGTTACGTGATTGCTCAGATGCAGCGGGCGAGGTGAGTTCCAAGTAGTCCACTCCGATCTCATCAAGCGACTTTGCGATTTCAATCTTCTTTTCCGTGTCAAAGAAGGCGTTGGCGAACTGTTCACCCTCTATATATCGACATCATCATCCAGTATGTTAGTATTGCATAACATATGCATGAATTGCTGGAGTTATACTCCTATGAATGTGTGTTTGTAAATATATACCTCTCAAAGTGGATTCAATGATCTTGAAGTTTGAGATATTGGACATGGGATCGGGGTATTTCGGCATATATGGCGACACGATGGGTTCGCGGGTACGGTTTTGATCCTTGGCTTGGTTGTTTACAGTTCCGTTTTGTTGTGACATGGTGTTTTTCTTGTTAAGCAGGAGGGTGCGTCAGTGCAAGTGGAGATAAAAAAAACAGAGAGGAAATGTGTGTGTGAGAGTGGGAGAGAAGAGAAAGAAGGTTATGAAAGGTTGGTCTCAAATATAAGCGACGTTTTTGAACGCGATGGAAACCCGCCCACACGATTATCTCAGAAATCTAGATGAATAGTCACAAAAAAAGAGAAACCTGCAAGAATGGCAAGACCGGAGTTGATCAAGAGCTGAGTCAGCCCCGCTCGGTTTGACGTCGTGAGTCGCCATGAAATCTACCAAGTATAAACACCCTGCGCGGGGGACAAAGGTAGGACGGAGAATACACTCGTTATGGGAAAGTTATGGAAACCATTATGTAGAGTGGGGTTTTAAATAAATGTATTCAATTATTATTATGCTGTGCGATTAAAGCCAACAGAAAGAAAGAGAGAAAGAGAGAGACAAGGTTGATGGTTTGTGAGCGAGTAAGATCGGGTGTGCGAATGCTATTCATTTCAATACAAAGTGGGGTAATTTGCTGCTGCTGCTGCTGCTGCTGCTGCTTGATGTTCTATAGAAAACAGAGGTGTGATTGCTAATCTTTGTTTACCACTCAATACATTTAGCACCGAGGGAAAGTGCCGTTGTTGACTTGGATGTTGAGCGGCACAGTCAGCACTGACTGTTCAGGACCAGGCGCAGTCTGATTCAAAGTGAGAGTGGAATAAGTCGGTGTAACAACCAACGAAAAGCTATAGTCGCTTGTGCGGTAACGCGTGAAGAAGTGGCAGTTGGGTGTCTTCCATGTCTGCTGTGTGTACTGCTTATCGGACACACCTGCAGGTGCAGGAGTAGCGTCCACGGAGCTTATGGCGTTGAACTTTAAGACGTTGCTATCATTGCCGTTCTGAATCCACTGGAAATCAACAGAGAACGAGTTGGGATAATAGGCGTCCGTGATGCCGTCTGGTTAGAGAAACATTGCAAAAAAAATTAGTTGCTTTGAGAACGGTTTCACTTTATTTGTTACCAGGTTTCGGTTTCCATGGAAACGGAAAAAAAAGTACATTTTAAAAAAACCCAAGAAACTTACTAGCTTGAGCACCCAAGATTGTGTAAATGAACGGATTGTCAGTGTTGCTAGGAATCTGTTGGCTACCAGTGGGTTGATCGATTCTGATAATGTCGGCGGCAAATGTGAGACCGACGGCGCAAAAAAGAGCAATGAGCGTTGCTAGTAGGCGGGCCTGGAGATGGTGATGGGCCATGATGATGGAAGGGATAAATGAGCGAGAGAGAGGTTTTTCTTGGTTAGAAGGGGAGGGAGGAGCGAGGAGGGGTGACGATGGAGAGGCTTATTTTGAGAACACTGCCACAGAAGAAAAAAAGAATATGCCCTGAGGCTAAAAATAGCCTATTTGTGTTACTCTTGAGCACAATCCTGGCTGCTAAACATATTAGGTCGCCATCGCCCTGGATGGTTACAATTTGGCAAAGGTGGTTCAATAACCAGTAATGCTTTCTCATCTAGCCCACGCAGCTGCAAGATGGATGAGCAGGGCTGAACTTTTAAAGTAAAATGCAGAAATTCGTTGCGTTGTTCTTTTTTTTAAGTTCATAAATTCCAACTTTTTTTTTGTTAATGCATCTAATACTACTTTTTTACACAACCCTACTGCTAACTTATTGTTGCATCTCAGCCATTTCCTGTATAAACAAAGGGTTAGCCTGGGAGTTGATTTCATCAGTAATTTTCTTCAAAAACATTACCTGAGCCTGCTCGGCACTCATTCCACCTTGCTGACCCTTGTTCTTCGAGAGACCGGATACGATATCGTCGACACGCAGTAACAGGCATGCAGACTACAAAGGTGGTTCATTATTCATTAGATATCATAGACTTGAATGCAAAACAAAGCTTGAAGGGAAGAAAAAATTCCTGGCTTACCTCGATGGCGGTCTTGATGGTTTGGACCTTGACTGCACTAGGTTCCCAAATACCGTAGTCATTCATGTCAACGACCTTGCCAGATTCACCATCGATACCGAAGGTGTGCTCGCCATTTGCATGCTTGGCGCGTAGCTGTGTCAAGATCTTAATAGCATTGCCACCACAGTTTTGGACAAGCGTCCGGGGAATAACCTCCATGGCCTCTGCCACAGAGCGGTAAGGCCACTGTTCAACACCTTCCAACAACTTGGCTTTTTCTTCCAACTTGACGGATACTGCCATCTCAGTAGCACCACCACCAGGAGCTAACTTGGCATTGAAGAAGACGTTGCGAGCAACGCACATGGCATCCTGCAAATTACGCTCAACTTCGGCAATGATATCCTTGCTAGGACCGCGCAAAATGATAGAGCAGGCCTTGGGATCCTCGCACTTGGTCAAGAAAGTAAAGTATTCGTCACCGATCTTTTCAATGTTAAAGAGACCGCACTTGGTGCCCACATCCGACTCCCGAAGATCATCGACGCGATTGACAATAGTAGCACCGACAGCACGTGCAATACGGTTGTTGTCAGTCTTGCGCACACGACGGATGGCAGTGATGTTTGCTTTGACAAAGTAGTGCTGGGCCAAGTCTATACAAAAACGGGTTTGTTGCCGTGTAAGAAAAACAGTGTCTTTTTTCAACTGATGTTTCCTTTTGCTCAATTCGTAGTGAATATACCTGAAACACCCTTCTCAGTGAGCACCATATCAGGCTTGAGCTCAATGATCTTGTCGCACATGGTCTTGATTTGCTCTTCTTCGATCTGCAATATTCTGTTCCAGTCGGCTTCCTTGGAAATTTCAATGTTGGTTTGAGATTCACCCTTCTTGTACTCAAGAGGGCAATCGAGCAAGATGATACGTGGGTTTTCGATGCGTCGACGCATCTTGGGATGAGTGACGTCCTTGTTGAGAATAACGCCATCCAACACTCGGGATTCTTCAATTTCACCACCGGGAATCTTTTTTTTTCCGCCATTGCGTCATTTAGTATATACTGCTCATAAACAAATGCAACTTTACCTCCTTTCTGTATTTATCAATCCCTCCATCATTACCTTTTCGACACGGGCATATCGCTTGATATCAACTTCACGACGGCCATTTTCACCTTCCTTAGCAACAGTTCGGACAGAGTCTAATGCAAGCTTGCACATCAATTCACTCCACGTGCTGACGAACTTTGTACCAATTGATGATTTGATGAGCTTCAACATTTCTTCGGTGTTGTTGACATCGACAGGTGTAGAGATTTCCTCGACAATTTGCAATGCGTCTTCGAGAGCCTTCTTAAATGCGCTGATGATAATGATAGGATGAATGTTGTTTTGAATGTGAGGCAATGCCTGTGCAAGAACTTCACCAGCTATAAAAATATATATAGCATTAGTAGGTGCACCTTCTTTTTTTTATACATTTGAAGAGAGTTACAGTCCAGTTCATTTTTGTGTCTTGTATTTACCAAGGATAATAACACTCGTAGTGCCATCACCAACTTCCTCATCTTGTGTCCGGGAAAGTTCAATCATACTTTTGGCAGCAGGGTGATCTACTTCGATCTCACGAAGAATGGAATTACCATCGTTCGTCAAAAGAATACCACCCATAGGATCGAGCAACATCTTGAGCATGGACCGTGGACCGAGCGATGTGCGGATAACATCAGCAACAGTCTACATTAATGAACACAGAATCGTAAAAAAAGAACAGTTTTTGATTTGTTCAATAAAAAGTTGGTAATCCTTCTGACGTGTAAAGAATCATCCTGTTCCGCCCATCACCCATCGTATTATAAAAGCAGTGAAAAGAAATCAAAGCGAGTGGTCTCTCTTTTCGCAAATCAAAGATGACAGTTTTTGCCTACCTTTGCTGCAGTAATGTTGGAGAGCTGAGCCTTACGACCCTGCTCTCGTTCCATGTTGGTGTCTATAAATTGGTGCTCCGATTAATACATGTACCTTGTAGAGAAAGCATATCTAAATATTTAAAAGTACAACATACTCATAACAAGGACGGGTGCTTGCATGTTTGGTATCAAGTTTTTTAAAGAAAAGAACGATGGAGTTCGAGATGTCAAGTTTCGTCCCCAGGTCTGCGCTGCCAACGCGTGTTCATATTTTTTCGACTGGATTCAGGTCCCGCTGCACGTTTGTGGTTTGACATTTTTGAGAGTGACACACGCGAAGTAATCGGATCGAAAGCAACCTTTTCCTGCTACATTCTTGTAGTACTTCAGACAGTACATTATCACTACTTTAAGACGTTCTTGCACTTATGATCTTTAGGAAATGCTAGTGTATAGCTGATATTGAGTTTATATCTATGGGGTTGCTCTTCTACCTCTTACCGAAAAAAAAAACCTACTAAGCAGGGTTACGCAGATGATATCTAAATGCAACAATACATTAGATAAGTAGCCCGATGGACTCGAAAAGCTTGGTATACAGCTCGGAACAGTATATTACTGGCTATAAACTTAGTATATGTATATCAGACACTTTATGATTAGCGGACAAATAGCACAATCAACGAGCTTCCAATGTTCAGTTTTAGCTGAGGGTTATTAGGATTGTATCTCGATACCCTACTCTGAGAAATTATTTAATAATCTTGCGGTTATATGAGTAGTTGCATTGATTAAGAGCCTAAGTTTAATAGTTGGAAAATCCATTAGAACCGGTGATTTTAAATATATGGAGGTGTTCAAATGTCTTTGCACTCAACCGTATTTTAAAACTGCAGATGTAAATTCACTAGTCTAAGACAACTAGAATATACACTCATTGCGCAATACAACTTGTTCCTTAATAAATGAACAAACAAAAATCTAAGAGTCGTGTTTTGATCTGGAACATTCACTCTCTTGCGGATCTTCCCCGCCATTACTATTGTCAGGGTATATTCCATTCTAAGCAACATCGAACATTTTGGTTTCCAATACGGTGTTCAACAGGACATACAATAGAGCGCTAAATGGTGCTCGCCATCCACTTTACTAAGGTTCTCTAACCCGCGTTCATATCGATGATGCGTGTCCGACATGGCCTTCCGGTAAAGGAACAGCAAGCGAAGCCATATAGTATCATCGAAAAGTTGCTACTATGATGTTACCCGGCGGATGACCTTGAGACATTGAAGAACTGATTGTGGCAGCTACCTGTAGTTAATGCTACCTCTGAATATGTAAAAATTTCTCTGTCAAGCTTTGAGGTTTCGAAGAAGAGGAAAAACAGCCGAAAGTTTCGAGAACGCAACTGTTAATAATGTATAAGATTCCTTTTTGCTCGTTCCTTTGTCGGTAGCTTTCCTTTTGTCATACTATTACGTTATGCAAGGTAAGTTTGGTAACATCAATTCAAAGCAGTTCCGTACAAATACCTTGCTTGAAAGGTGGTTTCTTGGCGGATGTCCATACTCAAGGTTTTGCACTCAGTTGCTTACTGATAATAATTAAACAATCCGATTAACTGCGGATTGTGTACGTTTAGCTGCGTGGCTACTGCGCCAACTTCGGCCTTGACACCTATTATGTCAAACAAACACAGTATGTATGACTAATAATGCGTGCTGATTCATGCAACTTGGATTTATTAACCACTATAAAAGCGAGTATGATCTCTACTTCCAGAATCAGCTCAGTGCCCTGAAACACAACCAACTTTTTCTTCTCTCCCGCTCTTTTTGCTTTACACTCTCTCATTATGCCAGCGAATAGGATATTGGTTAGTTTCCTGTTCTCGCCTTCATATTTAAATCATTTACTCATTACTCGCGCACCAATTTCTATACATACAGTTTGTTGGCTTGGGTAATTATACTCATCCTAATACGCGACACAATGCGGGCATGATGATTCTAGATCATCTTGCCAACCGTCTTCTACTGAAATGGATCCCACATAAACCTTGGAAGGGTCACATTGCACAGACAAAGTTGTTACTTCCTTTCGATCGTCAAGAAGGGGCCGATTACACTGAGGTGGAGTTGACCTTGTTGAAATCACGGCTTCCAATGAACGTTTCCGGCCCCTCCGTCTCTAAAGCAGGTAATATTTAATGAAAAGGGCCCGCTAAACAAAAGAAGAATTGAGCTTTGTATTGATGCTTCACGTATATGCAATCCCAATAGCCCGCGATCTCTCCATACCTGAAACGAGCATATACATATTTCAAGACGATCTACAGCGCGATCTCGGCAAAGTGTCGTTAAAAGCATCGGGTTCAGCCAACGGCCACAACGGCATAAAGTCAGTTGTTCAGCATTTGCGAACAGATACCTTTTGGCGAGTACGACTAGGTGTAGGTCGACCCGAGTCTCGCGAAGTGGATGATGTGTCAGACTTTGTATTGTCACAGTTTACACCTATCGAGATTAAGATGCTCGAAAGCAAAACATATCCGATTTTGGAAGTTGGTCCTGGTTTGGGATTGGAAACGCTAATTCTCCGGAATAAATTATGGAGCGAGCCCAAGCAAAAGAAGAAGAAGAAAACCAATGACAGGAAAGAGAAAGTGGTGGTCGATGAGCCAAAGGCAGTAGCTGAAAAGGAATCAGAGTCAACAGCAGGGACTGCATCTGTAGATTTGAGCAAACAGCATTCGACGATAAGGTCTGCTGAAGCTGCTACAGTAGCATAGATGGAAAAGCCCATTTAAACATTTACACATTACTCATTATATATACATTACACATACATTTAGGATATAGAACTCATAATAAATCATGTACAGTTACTCTTATTTGTTTACAATGCATTGTTTAAAGCTTTCTACAAGTGCTTCTCGCTTTAAATTTTTGCCAATGAACACTAGCTTGTTCGTCCGGTCTTCTCCTTCATGCCATGCTCGATCTTGTTGTCCATCAAAGATCTATTATCATCCAATAGACGTATGATCATTAGGGAGAAAGACGATTGTTTGTTGTCCAAGAACTTAAAACTGCTAGCTTACCATATGTACACCCTGAAAGACATATCGGTCTTCTTCTCCTTCCACATTAAGAATACCTTTCGTGCGATAAATGTTGGGGCCTAACGATGCTAATACACTCTGTATCCAACGATTGAGATGATCAAAATCAAGCTCGCCTTTTTCACTGATGCCGACAGATGTGACAAGCTCGTCATGACGCTTCTAATGAGTGATACGCAAGTTCCGCAACAAATTTAGTCAAGTAACCTAGAATTTAACATATCTTCCACTTTTTTACTTACATGCTCGTGATCATGGCCATGTCCTTCTTTTCCTTCTTCTTCTGCCTCACGCAAAAATGCAGGTTTTCGTTCAAGTACGCGGTCAAGATCAAATCCACCGATATTGATGATCTTGTCGAGATCCACATGTCCATACTCGCAAGGGATGATTTGTACATCATTGATTTCCTTTATCCGGTCAATGATCTTGTCCCGGTCTGACCGTTGAACAAGGTCGATCTTGTTAAGTAACAAAACGTCGGCAAATGCGATTTGTTGATATGCTTCAGCTCGTTGGTCGGTATCTTTCGTCAAGTGCATTTCTGCATGTTTGGCATCGACCATGGTGACAATTGCATCCATTTTAAACGCTTCCTGCACCTTTTCATCCACAAAGAAGGTCTGGACTACCGGACCTGGATCGGCCATACCAGTAGTTTCAATTAACACCATATCCAAAGGCTTTTTGGCTTCGATCAGCTCATGAAGGATCTTTACTAGATCGCCTCGCACCTATTATATAGTGAATGAGAGAAAAAAAGAGTCGGCTAGTATGTCAGGTGTGCTTTTGTTAGCGATGCTAATCATGGCAACCTACCTTGCAACAAAGGCTATTACAGTTAAGGTACCGGACATAATATCAGTAAAAAAAACGCATAAATCATTTTGTCCCCTCTGTCATGCTCCTCTTTAAATTTTTAAGCTTTGCTTGTACCATCCGTTCTGCGTCTCGTATATTTCTTGTCCAGCATCGACAACAACGAGTTTATCGTCAATGGCTACTTCCCCAAACTCGTTTTCTATCACGGCAATCTTTTTGCCGTGTTGGGCTTTGAGTATATAGTTCAAAAGTGTGGTCTAGTATATCAACAAAGTGTAAAATGACTCTCGTTAATGAGCTGTTACAAGATTTCGTTGATTAAGGAGAAAGGTCTAATTACCTTGCCACTACCCAAGAAGCCGGTTAATACAGTGACAGGGATACGATCGTTGCTCATGATTTAAACAAACTTCAAGAGAAAGAAAAGAAAAAAAAAGCGCAAAAATGACACGGAGACTTTTCAGGCACTGCTTCCTTCCTCTTTTGTAGGAAATGTTCCGCCAATCATCGGCTGGTACAACGGAACAACCTTGTAAACCAATGTCAAAGCCCGCGAGGGATGGTGTTCCGGTGATCATGCACTTCTGTACCTCGTTTGTTTAATACATTCTTCGATTCGTGTAGCAGTCCTATTGATGCCAGCTACTAACTTCACAATTAGAACAAGATTGGAGGCGCAATCTCACTAGTCGACAACTAGTGCATCCAGTGAAGCATGACCGTGTAAGAAGGGAGCTGGTGGTCATTTGATGGGAAACACTTTTTGTGGGATTATCGTGGAGAAGTTGTGTTAGACATTTCTTTTCCAATGCGCAGGAGTATACACTTCGCTGTCAGGTGGATAGAACTCACACTATATGCTCAAGCTTGAAAACTTTGGTTAGGGATTAAATCATCAGCAAAATGATACTTTGAAACCATGATATCCTAATACAAAAGTACGTTACACACATGCAGTACCGAAGAATAGCGGTAAATATTCGATGCTCACATAATATTTTACAATGGGTAGATGTAAAAATACTGGAGAAGACACTTTCTTGCAATCAACTTTCCGCAAATAACGAGTAGGTACACGTTAATTTTCCTGTAACGCACACGGATGGTCGATATTTACCCGATAGAACGCTTCGCGGATCAGTAAATAACCTAAAATCTACCAATCAATGCTTCCTTAGAGTATCGGAACTCGGGCGGTCGTTTCTGTTCCCGTTGCTATCATCATAGTGTGGTAAGACAGAGGAGAAAAAATCCCATGCTTTATAATAAAGCGCTGCTTTATTTTTCTTCTTTCTAGCTATCACTAATACTTGTTTTTACCTCAATGTGCCAATTCTGTGGTGTTGATCCAGCTTTTGCTGCCTACTTTGACGATCCAGCAGCTGATAGTAGCAACAACAATGAAGCTCAACAACAGGAACAGCAAGTCGATATCACCAGTAGCGGCGACGCACCCGCGCCAAACTTTTTCCGTTTGAAACCAACCAACAAGCGATATCAAGCAGGTGGAAGAATTACCACGCAGCAACTCACAACATTCGGTTCGTCTCTGTCATCCAAGGCGCGCGTCATTATGGGCCATCACGGACAAGCTTATAACGATGCACTGCGACGTTGGTCCAAATGCGCCGTGAAGCGCGCACTGGCGGTTGTCATGGTTGCCGATGCCGAAGACGTCCGCAAAACGGTCAGTGTTTTACGCGTGGTCAATAAGCTCTGTATTTCTGGAAGGATATGTAGTATGAAAAAAGAAATTTACAAGCATCAGCGTATGCATATAGATAATCATGACAGAAAGTCACGGCCTTCCCTTCGTCGTCAAATGTGGTGGCCACTCCCCAGGTGGCGCGTCAAGTATCGAGAACGGCATTGTGATTGATTTGAGCTTGCTGAACGACGTGTTTATCAATGCGGATGAGAAACATGTGGTAGCTGGAGGAGGCGCGCTGGCCAGCCACGTAATCAAGGCAGCAGCTGAATATGGCCTTGCATGTGGTAAGTTGAAATGTGGATTATCTGTTAGGGTGATTAACATTGTGCAAGGAAAATGCCGAGGCAATTGGCCGGGTAACTAGGCTAAAAGGAGAAACTGATATATGCATCAACTCGGTTTTCATAGTAACCGGGTCGACTAGCCATGTAGGCATTGGTGGATTGATGTTGCACGGTGGCTACGGATACCTGACAGGCGAATTCGGGTAAGGAGAAGATAAACTGCTGTATTGCTTATGTTAGAGTGACTTACAAAGGAAATTTGCTAGTTTGGCTGTAGATAATATAGTCGCAGCTGAAGTTGTTACTGCCAAAGGCCAGATTGTGTGGGCCAGTAAGGATGAAAACCCAGATTTGTTCTGGTGCATCCGTGGTGCAGGCAATAAGTTTGGCGTAGTAACAAAGGTTAGAGAAGTAAAGAAGAAACAGTCAGCGTTTCATCTTCATTTAAAGTATACTCATCACGCCAAATAGTTCGTCATCCAAGCGCATCCTATTGCAAAGACGGTTTGGGGCGGTGCCCTCACCTACAACGGCAGCCAGGTGCAGGAAGTACTTGAGGCACTCAATGCATGGTTTGCCAAAGGCAATGTCAAAGGTGCTGCTGCACTTGCACTAGGCAAAGGTGGAGATGGCAAGGCGGGTATGACGGTACTTCCATTTTACAACGGTTCAGAAGAGGACGCAGAAGCAAACTTTGAACCACTGTTAAAGCTAAAGCCTGCTTCACGAGACACATTCTCCATGCCATATTGGAAGATCAATACCTTGAGCGATGAGCCAACTTTATACGCTGCCAACCCTATTCGTTTCGCCTCAGCTAATATCAAACCTCCCCTTGATGTTGATCATATCCGTGGCGCACTCGAACGATTGGATAAATTATATACTGACGAACCCGCGGCCGATGGCACCGGGTCGTTGATCCTGATGGTGCAGCCGGATGGTATTATGAAGCACAAGCGAACGGATATGGCGTTCAGCTGGCGAGACGATCACTTTGATGTAGGCGTCGCGGCGGCCTTTACGGACCCTAGCCTCGAGGACAAGATGGTTGAATGGGCACGTGACTATGCACAGTACCTGTCCTCGCGTGGTGATAGCTATCGCTTGTATGCTAATCATTCCGATTTCAGTGGACCCAGCGCCCGTGAATTTGGCATCAATTACATGGAGCTAAACAAACTCAAGCAGAAATGGGACCCCGATAATCGTTTTGCAAAGCTGTAGATGAATGTACTTAGAAAATAGGATACTTCCAGTTATATATTAGTTCTTGTTTGTTCACTATGTAATAAATACAGGATTTTTGAAGAAACATAAAATGCGATGTAGAAAGAAGTGGAAGGAGGGCGTATATTATACTGCGTAAGAAAAAACAGGAACGCATCAAAAGTTATTGGGCATCAATACTCTGAGTCTTTTTCTGTTGATCTGGAAGGTGTATAGATTTGCCATAAGCAGCTACAGAAAACTTTTTATGTGCATGGGTGATATATAATGCATTGTTTCTATATACATAATTGTCCAAAAATTAAACCTGGGATTTCGCCAATGATAGGAAAACTGCTATTCTAGATAAATACGAGGCATCGCACCGCCAACAAATGTATTATTGTGTATCATATATGATAGTACGTGCAATATGTACAGTATCGTTCAATTCAAACATTTGAGCTGATGTATTATGATTTAATGACAATGAAAATTATGTATCGTATAGGGATATTTTACAAGGTTGTTTAAATACAGGTATGAGAAGCGTTCATGTATAAAGAAAGGAATAGAATGGAGGTTCCAAGTGCTTGAGCACTATACTGCAATGCTGCAAATTCTATGTTTCTTTCTCCAATCCCAGTGTCGTGGGTTAAAACTGACCGGGGCACTATTTGATCCATTCTACTCTTGATGGTAAATTGCCATAGCCTGTTGTTGCTGAAGAGCATATTGTTGTTGCGGATTGCTATGCTGCATTACGTTAAAATAAGATTGTTGCTGCTGCTGCTGTTGTTGTTGTTGAACCTGGTCTTGTTGCATCGGAGTAGATCCACTCATGTCTCTTGTTGCGGGAGTCGGCCCATAGTTGCAGCTACTTGGCGTATATGGGCTATGGGGACTGCATACACTTGCAGCCTCGTCGTCGGACATGAATGTGCTAGGCGAAGGGCTTGGCGGAAGAGGGGTGTTGATGGCGGCCTCGAACATTGATACAGAGGGGGAAATAGGAGATTCTTGGTCTTGATGCTGATGGTGTTGTTGAGGCAAAGAGTGGATTTGAAGGCCTAACGCACTGGATTGTCTTGAAAGACTGTTTTGATGTGTCTGTATAGGAGCTGGGCTGGGTGGTCTACTATGATGCTGCTGTTGGGGACGTTGGTTTTCGTCGAGATAAAAGTTTTGCAATTGCTGAGCAGTGGCGTCCATTTCAGGCGAAGTAATGTATATGGAAGGGGGTCGCTGCTCGGGATCTGGCTTCATATCACCAAATCCATTCGATGCGGCTACGTCAGTCGACATGGACACTTGCATACATATTTGTTATAAGATGCGAGTAAGTGTATGAGCTTAACATAAAGAGAGGAGGGGAAATACAAGTATTCGTCACATCTTGATCCATGATAACGCTCTCTATATATGCTTACATTGAGCACCCTGCTGCTGGGTCATGTAGTCCATCACAGTTTTCAATACTTGCTGTTGCAGACTTTGCTTCCGTCGTGTCTCAGCGAGCTCTCGTAGGACTTGGGAGAAGTTCTCTTGCAAATGGGCTATCTGTTGCATCATGGATGCCTGTGATGACTGCATCATCTGAACTCGAGTGTGCAAGTCATTGTTGTCTCGTCGAACTGCATCAGGTTCGATCGATTTGCGCTTTATTTCGTCCAATAGATCAGGCCGGCCCTTCATGAACTTGCAGTGGGAAAATTCCCAAATTTGGTTCTCGGCCATTGTGCGGTGCCCTCGTGGTGATTTGTTCACCTTATGAAAACCGTACCTAAACAACAATATGCTAAATTAGCGAGCTTTTCATATCAATCGCAATCAACCATCACTATCAACATTTACACATACTCTCTCGTTCCCTCTCATCAGCATATCCAGGAGTTTATATTACATGTATCCTTATAAAGAAGCTAGTTATACTCACATGTTAAGTTGCCGAACGAAACTCGAAAAGTTGTTATGCTTGAAATGCTTTGGCAGAACGTCTCTCGAGAACTCCATGATATTGCACACAACAAATGATGTCCCTGTGAAATTCCACGCAATGAGGTGTTGATATTGCTTATCCACCACCATGCTATATCAGTTAAACCGTATGTAACAAAGCTACAATGCATTAGCATACAAGGTTACCGGATCATCCATCCCTTCGCCACGCTCCCTTTATTGTTACTTGCTTGTATAGTTTATGAACAAATGTGTTGTTGCTATTATTTCCATTGCCGGCGCCACCACTGTTGCCTCCGCTTTCAGCAGAAGCCGAGCTTTTACTCGTGTGCTGATCAGTGCTGGTGGTCTGCGTAGGTATGGGTGGTTGTAACGTCGTCATTTGTTGCTGAGTATAAGTTGGGTTGCTATGCAACTGCAGTTCTCGGACTGGAGAGTCACTGGGTGATTCAAAAGGCGAATGCAACGGCGATGCTGCAGGTGAGCTGAACGATGAGCACGAAGAGATTGACCCGTCGTTAAACATGGAATAAGAAGACGATGACGAAGAGAATCGGCCGTTATCCATTTAACAATATGCAGCAGAAAAGAAAAAAAAGAGTGAAGAAATAGTAGTAGAAGCAGAGGAAAGAAAGAGCGCGAGAGAAGAAGAGAGAGAGAGTGTGGTAATAAACGCTGCTTTGACACTCGCAATACAAAAACAGACCTACACGCAGATTATACACTCAAAAATTGAATATCTATATTTATATCAAAGCGTATAAAGAAGACAACCCCAAGCTGAATGTTGTAATGTTTATATGTTTGTTTGAAGGCGTTCTATTATTGAAGAAAGGGATGCAGGGTGATCAAGAACACGGAGCATCCCTCTTTTGTCCAAAGAGCAAAACTGAGTTTGCCCGAGCAGTTTGCATTTTGCCTCTTTCAAATCTCTGTGTCTATCTGGCGATGTTTTCGCCTTCTCTTTCTTTTAATCGTCAACAGGATAGACAGATGATAAGTGATGGATCCCATCATCAGCGGCAAGGTACCCCTTCTTCTTACAGCCCCTAATGATTAAATTTGCCGAGAACTTGGGCGCAGGTGGGCGGACGAGCTGCTCTCACCCTCTCTTTCACTTCTCGACTTTTGGTAAACTATAGCATCATCATCATCAGCCGCTTGCCAGTACATAATGCGCACATGCTCGGCTGAAGTAGGTCACACGATGCATCCCTTATTTAGCATCGGGTTCTCGATCACTTTAGCTTAGCAAAAAGCGCGCCAAGGCTTGAACTTTCTGCTCATAAATCTGCACCATAAGAGTGTGGAGCATAAGCAACACTCTGCAGTGCTGATAGCCATTGTGGCTCATATTGAAATAAATGCCCTAATAAGACTATGTAGGGTTACCAAAAACACGCTAAAAGTGCACGCACACAACATACGCGCACCATTATCTTTCGCCGATGACGATCAGATCCAACGAGTGTGTATCCGCTAATCGACTTTGCAACAGTCTTGTATGTCTTTATGTATGTAACTTTATGTAGTGTAGTAAGTAAAATGCACGTAATAAGGTAAAAGTTACCAAGATTTTACCTGTTCACTACACAGTGTATGTTTGCGTGTTTTAACACATTACTAACTCATGCTAAGCTAATATAAAAAAGTATTGCTACATATTATACAGCTAGATCATCTGATTAGCAAGGAGCGTCGTATAATGCTTTTTAATTTCCTCAGGAACCAACTTTTTATAATAGTAGTATTTGATCTCTACTACATTTTGTTATTGCTTTTTCTAGTTGCTATAATGTAGTAGTGCTAGTACGAATCTAGTGTCCTTAACATGACGTCCATGGCCCCCGGCCCTGCTCCATTGTCTTTTCGAGGTAGGTATAAAATAATATATGCTACACATCACACAACTGTCCTCTCAAAAGAAAAAAAAGGCAGCTTAATTTGTTTTAAGTTGGCCCTTGGCAGGTCTCAAATAACATAAAGGTCCGACCCATCTGATTTCATAGCGAGGTGCCTTGCCGTTCATGACTTGATGAACCCATTCGCAATAGACCACAAAGTAGTAGACGCCGAGACCTTTTTATACCAAAAGAAGTTAGTATGCCAAAGTCAGTACTTTCCTTCCATCATCGTGCTTTCTCTCACTTGTTCCAATATGCCACCAGCCGTGCAACTAGTAAAGAAAACCGCCCAAAGAAAACCAACCCGTTAATTGATTTGGTGATACAAGATACATGTCTCATATTTTTTAGGGCGTACACTTTACCTCGCTAATAGCACCGAGGGGTAAGCCCACCGTTGATCTCCAGCCACGCAAGGTAGTGCAGAATTGGTTGTCAATGTTCCAAACTACAAAAGCTCCTCCGAAGCATGATGCGGCAATCCACAAAAGTCGGACCATCCATAACTTTTCATAGCCCTGGTATGCTGCAGGGAGCTTGTGACTAACATAAACCGAGCGAATGACAACAGTGCCAACTAGCAGACCATAGCATACTTGATGGTAGACTGGATTGTTGATGATGATGTAGGAATAGGTTACGAATACAGAATAGCCAACCAAGAACAAGGGCAACCAGATACCATACCGCCTCTGTGGATGGATTTCAAAGCTGAACAAACAAGCTTTTGTAAGTTACACCACAATCCTTTTTGATCCATGTACGCAGCATGATCTGTTGTCAAGACCAACACTAAATCACACCCTTTTACTACGCGCTAGATACTTACATTGCCCAGACCATGACGGATGCTGCATAGATCACTGTAGTAATTATGCACCATCAGTTCAAACTCGCACACATGCACGCATTACAACATCCATTCATTATATCACCGGTTTCAAACTGTTGCGTATTATGTACTTACTTGGAAGCTCGTCGAGCAGTTGCATTTCGTATTGAAGTGTCATGTGAAAAAACCAACTATATGGACGAAATTAGCGGGGAAAGTTAGAACCAAATCAAGGGAGATATTATCATAATAAATACGCACGAGCCCACTCCAACAAACAAAACTGCCAAGTGTGCGATAACGAACGACTTGCTAAAGTTGTTGGTGATCGTGTTATAAATTCCAAAGAGAGCCAGGAACCCTTTGAATATACACCCGCGAAATGCCTTAATATTCAACTATTACGCGATTACAGAGCACGGTTCATCACCCCATTCCTCCCTTTCGTTCTTCCTTACCAAAAACCAAGTTGGTGGTTGTCTGGTTTTCCCATTTATAAGAATCATTTAGTTATAAGTGTATCAGCTTTAGTTTAGTTGTCGTCAAAGAAGAAAATTGTTAAGCAAACAAGAAAATTGGGAGACCTACGTTAAAAAACTCGGCAAGGTAAGGCGATATGACATAGTTTTCCTTCATAAGACACCAACAGCCAAATGATTTAGCCAAGTGAACGCGCGATTGACATTGCTGCTGTTGACATGGACTTGTTGGCGACGGCATGTCTGATCAATTTACTTACTTCGCACCAATCGATCGTTGACGTTCTGTAATAACAATAAAGGCCGGTAGCAATAGTTTTTTTTAACAACGCGACGTATGATAAGTTTAGTTATTAAGAATAAGTTTAGTTATTAAGAATAATACAAGTAAAAGAATACTTACGGTTTACCCCAATAGTAAAAGTCTTCTTCTAGCATAGTGTTCATAATAGTAGCAACAGTTATGACAGTAGAAGTCGTCGCACTTTGACTAGTAACTTTTTCTTTCGTTGCTGAATATATAGCGCTTTGAAGTAACACGAGCAGATCGGGACAATAATTGTTCCGCTAACGTTTAAAACAAATAAGCGGCAAAAGGGCCGCCACGCAGGTGTACAAACACCGCTTGAACCGACGTGTAACTCTTTGACTTGCTTCTAACTTTCAGCTGATGAAGTATGTAGAGCGAACAGCAAAGAATATGAGTACGTAAAATGTATGTTTTTGTATTATCTTACTATAATCATCGTTTTATAGAGTGCTGATGGCTCCATATGGTCAATTACATTCTTTTGCTATCCAAGTTTGATTTAGTGCAACATCATCATAAGAATAAGATGCGCCGCCATTGTAGTATGAGCAACCGAATCCTTCACATGTTTATTAGGACTACCGATAGGGGCTTTTCCTCCATTCTGTACGATTGTAAAGAGATGCTCTTCCTATCCTGTATTATAACAGCAGAGGAAACGGCAAACATCGACGAGCAGCAGAGTGAACGATAAGGGCTGCTATGATGTATTAAGAATATGTAGGCGACCACTAAGCGTTACTATATGGCTCCAGCTACTTTATAAAATTGATTAGAACAGAGAAGCTTTTGATTTGTGCAGACGATGACAATGGATATGTTAGCAACAAATTAACTTTAAAAGCGTAGTATTGCTATGACGGTAGAATATATACACATTTGTCACAATGATATACAGTTTTCCGTCGCCATTGTTTGAGAACTACAAGAGCACTGCAATGATGCAATCTTTTGATTACTTCTCAACGTTAGATTTTGTCTGATACATACCACACACACAATGCAGTCATTGCTATTTTGTTTTTACGATTAGAAGATGATGTGGGCCGGAGAAATATAGCGACGACTATAAGCTCATAGAAATCCATGCCAACAATGAATATTCCAACTACTGAACATATAAGAAGAGATCCACCAAGTACACTTGGCCCTAGCAGAGAAAAATCTATAGATAGTAGCAGATCGTTGTTGCAAGATTTATGGGAACATTTACGCATATTTTCGTGCGACATAGATGTGCAGGGATGTTTCTAAATGTTACTCACAGCAGCGTCCATCAAGTAGCATTTACGATTAAGCGTATGTATAATAAGTTCCACACACACGCAGGTACGTATATAAACGGTCTAATCCATGAAGAAACAAATCGGCTTATGCGTTTCTTATAGTGATACTATTTAAATCTTTCAAAGTATTATAGGTTAGAGAAGTGTATTAATAGGCCGCTCCTCTCTCAGGTGACTGCGCAAAAGTATGTGTCTAAAAGGAAAAAAAAAAGACTCAGACCTATTTCTTTGAATCCCGATCTTTTGCTTTTCATCCATCTCTGACCACCTTTTTTTCTCCTTTTGCCATCGCAGCAACGTGCTTATTGTATGTACACATCGATCTATTTTATTAGTTTCTGGGTGGAGGGATAAAAGGACTTAAGAAATGAAAAGGGATGGGCTGACTTGATCAGCGATTTTTCCAACTTACAAAGCAGATATCGTGGGGGTTATGTTGAGTTGATCGGAGTAGTGCTCGAAAAAAAAAAAGAAAGGAAAAGATGGATCAAGAGAGAGAAAAAAATATGATAACAGGACCAACTCTATTTATTTACGCAAATTGTATTCTTTATTTTATATCCTAGAAATGGCAGATATTGAAAACATCAACGTAGACTCGATCATCGAGCGACTTCTCGAAGGTATTAAAAAAACAAGGAGAGAAATTTCATACCAGTTTTTTTCTCTAAAGAAAAATCAGAAAACTAGCTCCTCCTCTTTGCATTTTCTCTTCTTTCCGTTAAATGCCATCCAGTAACACGAATTATTAAAACGCATTCTTCCATTCTTAGTGCGAGGCAGCAGACCTGGTAAGCAGGTCCAATTGAGCGAAAACGAAATCAAATTTCTTTGCAGCCGAGCTCGCGAGATCTTCATGTCGCAACCTATCCTTTTGGACTTGGAAGCACCCATTAAAATTTGCGGTGAGTAGAGGGTTTCTCGATATTTGGTGTGAGAAAGCATGGAATAAAGGGTTTAATTAATCGTTTATGTGAGTTTGAGTGTCAGTCGGATAGGTTCTCACATTACTTTTCTAATAATCTCATTAGGTGATATCCATGGTCAATACTACGATCTGCTAAGACTCTTTGAATATGGTGGATTCCCACCCGAGTCAAACTATCTATTCATGGGAGATTATGTGGACCGAGGGAAGCAATCACTCGAGACCATTTGTCTGTTGTTGGCTTACAAGATCAAATACCCAGGTAAATAATTGGTAATCGAAAAGCGGGTATTTTTTCAAGGTAAGAAGTTCCGTGCTAACTCCATGATGTTAAGAAAATTTCATGATCTTGAGAGGCAACCACGAATGCGCAAGCATTAACAGAATCTATGGTTTCTATGACGAATGTAAGAAACGAGAGGGCTGGATCAAATTGAACAAGTTGGATGGTTCTGAAAAGAAGATGAGTTTTTAATTGTTACTTCGAATTTCTTAGGCAAGCGACGATACAACATCAAGCTGTGGAAGACATTTACCGATTGCTTCAATTGCTTACCGATCGCTGCCATCATTGACGAAAAGATCTTTTGTATGCACGGTGGTCTTTCGCCCGATTTGCAAAGCATGGAACAGATTCGTCGTGTGATGCGGCCGACCGATGTCCCCGACACAGGTAAAAAAAGTCGAAAGGATATTTGCGCGAACGAATAGAAAGAGGATGAAGGAAGGAGGCGTATCGAGGGAAAAAAAACGAGGAGTAATAGGGTAAGAAGTACTGATCAGGGTTTCTGTGCATGATAAATAATTAGGTCTGCTGTGCGACTTATTGTGGTCGGATCCTGATAAAGATATTAACGGATGGAGTGAAAACGATCGTGGTGTCAGCTTTACATTTGGCTCGGATATTGTTTCAAAGTTCTTACAAAAGCATGATTTGGACTTAATTTGTCGTGCTCACCAGGTGGTTGAGGATGGCTATGAGTTCTTTGCAAAGAGACAATTGGTCACGCTGTTCTCAGCACCTAACTATTGCGGTGAATTCGATAACGCCGGTGCAATGATGAGCGTCGATGAAACGTTGATGTGCTCGTTCCAGGTATGAATTCTCACATATTCAAACTGAAGCAGAAAGGGGCGGTCAGGCTGATATGGATGGCATACACTTTTGTAGATCTTGAAGCCTGCAGAGAAAAAGGCCAAGTACGCATATGCTGGAGGTGCAGCAGGTGGCGGTGGACGGCCAAATGCCCAAAGAGGAAAGAAGAAGAACACGCCATGATAAACTCGAAAAAAAGAACGCATCAACTCACTCACCACAAGTCAAGCGGAGGAAGGATCAGAGGAAGAACTAATTAGTAACTTATACATAATCAAGCAACCACGTCAACACAAATATTTTCCAGTTCTTTCACATCCTAAAACGAAAAACAAAAAACTCGACATTCGAAAGTATTTATACAACCATTGTTTATATTAACTGTAAACAACGTTTATGTTGATGTTGGTGCTAATACTATTACTCGGAAATGCTTAGCGTGCTCTGACTGATTATCTATCTCCGACATGATCCTAGGTTGCTATGACGATTCTTCTCCACTTACAACTGGCATAGTTTGAATCATGCTTGTAGAGTATGCATATGGTACTCTAAGTGAACCTCGATTCATTTACTTGTGTTTCTATCTTTAAAATGATGATCTTTCTATCTCTACTTTCAAGATAATGCTGCAATGTTTTCAAACCTTTAAATCAAAAGTCTGATGTCGTTATGGCTGTTGGCATCACGAGAAGGTTGCTGTCCCATGTCCACACCTTTAACATACGTTTATATCATATTGAAAGCCTATCATTGTCCAGGACTGACGTTATCGCGGTTGGATTACAGCTATACTGATTAAGTTGGCGCATGTATGCGAAGCAATCTTTTGTCGCTTGAGACAGGTGAACAACGTCATCGGTGATACGCTAATATTTTAAAATGATGTTTCTGAGCTAAGCGGTCTAATCATAGGATCGTAGGATCTGCACGCTAAGGGAAACAGAAGTATGATGGATCATGCCGCGCTGATATGTACAGGTCAGCGAATGGAAAAAATCGCTATGGAAATATATGTCCCAGAAAACATTTATTGCGGATGTAGAGGATTCGCCTTGTTTTTTACTCAGGACGTCAAGAGCGGAAAGCAATGACAGAAAAGGTTAAGATGATGGAGAGCCTGTCATATCATATCACTTGATTACTGGGAGTTTATAAGTAACAGCACATTGGATAAAGTCCACATCCACGACATTTTGAGTTCCAGCAATCATAGATGGCACATTGCGAGGGACCGCCGGCATCAAAAGACCAAGAACACACCAGATGTTGTTCAGTCCTTGGCTTTAGCACCTTCAATTTTAAAGAAATGGATGTATAAAAGAGAAGGAGAGAACTCGGATCAATCTTTGCTTGGAGCTCATACCTGAAGGATACTCTATAATTAAATTCTCAATACCAGCTGATGGTTACTGACTCTCAGTGTTGATAAAGGCTATTAAATACAGTAGCCAAAACCGTTGTTTGTATTGCTCTCCTCCTCCTTGTCGGCAGGAACATCGGGACTACAATTATGCTTTCTTGTGGAAGAATACACTGTTGGTCATTGTAGAGATCTCCACCGTCACTCTCATTAGCACGCTGGCGGTACTCGGTTCCACTGCCCAAAGCTACTGATTCATTCATTTTCGTTCCGCTTTCTTGCAGGAACGAAAATAGAATGCATCTTATCGTAATGTTGGCCTCTCAATTACAAGGCGTTCAAGGTGTCTTTAAATCCTATCTATTCCATCGATCGAGCCCAGAATTCTCCTAATATTTAACTTGTCGTGTATTGGTATTATTCTTTCTGTGCAAAATGGATTATATTAGCAGCTGTAGTACTATACCTGTGCGCTGATTTTCGATGGTGGTTATACTTGAAAAAGGTCCGTGATCGCCTTATTCATCCGCATGTTCTTTGATTGCTGTTCGACAACCGTCGTCATGCTTATGTCTTTCTTTTTTTGGAGTGCTGAGCTATAAGTTGCTGCTGTCAATGATCAGATTAATACGGCGGCCGTACTTGTTGACGGTTTTCTTCGTGCTTGTAATCGCGTATTTTATTTTAATGCAATTAGCTGTGGTGCGTGGCAAATGTGTTTAACGATTTTAAGTAACACATTAGTTTAAAATCGCTGCTCAAATAAAACATGAGCACTATCATATCAATGATAGCTTGCTCACTTACTCTTAAAATTCCAACAGGCAAAATTTCAGGAACCTGAGCAAATTTCCTGTGTTGGCTTCGCAATTGGGAGGGAACCAAAATTAGTTTGTTTTGCTGATGATTTCAAAGTCATCCTTACTGTCATATTCTCTTAAAATTAAAAAGCATGCTTTTACCACCTTAATTCGTATACCTCTTATTACCTTTATGATGGCATCAAACAGGCCTGTGCCTTGTTCTGACATACTAACCAACAGATTTACTGTGCACAGTCTGAGACTGACCACCACAGCTGCTGCTCGTTGAGGTAATTAGAAAGTTGTTTGGCTGATTATCGAATGAGGCAGTAAACTATTCTGGATAGCGCAAGCCTGCAATTATAGATATAGTACATACCTGTATCTCTTTTCTCTTCTATAGTATATCGATTGCACATACGTACTTTAAAGCCTTTCATCGATGACTTTTGCCGAGACCACTACTTTTGATCAGCCATTCCGCTGCCATCACGTCCAAGTGCTCGCTCGGTATGCTTAGTTGATATGAGTTACTTGATTCCGGGAAGTTTTTACCTGCTTAACTGACATTTTCTTCCTATGTCCAGCTGTAGTTCACGTGTTCATAGGTTGCTTGTTAGTATTATTTAACATTTTTACGACATTAGCGATGCGTACAGCAGTAGTGGCAGCTTAAAATACGTAGTCGTCGTCTCGCATTCGTTTTGCGTCTACAAGTGGAATACAATATTAACTGTAAATCGAATTAGACTTTCGCTATTGTACGATAGTCCTTCGATGACTGAATTGCTCTATACCTTCAACCTCATAACTGGTGACAGCGGCGTCAGCGGCGTCTTGCTGAGGAGCAGATCTGAGTCTCTTAAGATTATGGGAAGTTTGACTATAGGAACCTCACGCAACGTTGCCTAGTTCTTAGAGACCTTGGTATCCCGCACCAATATTCGAATCAGAATAGATATTTGTCGAGAAATAGTGTACTTCATCTCTGCTTAAAACGCAGTAATGTACTTTCTCAAACATACGATGGGCTGTGTGGTGAACCACATTAATACACTGCTTAAGATATCAACAATAAGATATTCGGTTAAACATTATAGCACACACGTATGAACACTACGGCATTCCGGCTAAACACTATTGAATAAAGTCTCTTACTCAGATGATCCACCTTACGTGAACAGGACAATGAACCTATCAACAGGTACCTCGGCCATTACATCAGCTAACGCCGGTTTCAAAGATGTGCCCGATTAACATAGCGACTTCAATAGAAGTTCTGATACGTCCTTGATCCATCCTCTATCACATAGTTTATCCATCAGTCGGATGAATTGATATCGCCGTCTTAATAGCTAGAATTTAAAAGAGCTTTATCTTTTGTTGGAATAAAACATCATCTCAAAGATACTTGATCTTGTCCCTTATTATCTTTATTGAAGCTCTATCATCACAGGCTGCAACACGCTCTCAATGATTGTTCGTTCGCACGGGACCGGCGAGGCAGTCATCTTGAATAGCAATAGCTGGGTACGGCAAGTGCGTTGATTAGTCTTTTTCTACCTGAGCGATATTCCATTCGCATCGATGATTTTTTCCCTAAGCTGTGCAAGAGTGCGAATGTGTACATTTTACCCAAAGTTTATCAGAGTACTATTTTTTGTCTTTCTACAACATATAGCATCGACGAGTAGATAATAGGCTCAAGCTTGCAATGGTCTGTTCTTTGTTGGCCCTCTATGAGCTTGCATACTTTTTCGCCAATCGTATTCAGGACACTACTTGCACTATTCCTGATTATTCTACTTACAACTAGCCCGTGATACCAAGTTGCTTGGCTGTCAGCTTGAATGTGCTGATTCAGCAGGACGCAGGACCACTCAAAACCTTGTAGACAATGGTCTAAGAGACTGGCAGATGCTTGTTCTATCTTATGAATTCAGCAAAATCCTAAAGTGGGGATTGCTTCAAATAACCATTCAGAGTTTTGAGGGAAGGTAGCTTCGACTACAGTAAATAGGCCGATACTGAACGCAGTGCCCGCAAAGCTAACAAGCCATTAAGACCTTGTTACAAATTTCGAGGATCATGCAAAATATTTTCTTCATCGAGATTGTTGTTTGAAGCATTTACTGACAATGGAAACTTTGTTCTGATTGTTTTGAGGGACTCAATACGTATCTGACAGCCTGGTAGCGTATGTTGTGCACCTGATGTCGGGTAGTCAGTAAAAATGATTTCTGTCTCAGTTGACGTTTCAACGAAAAGCCACGTATTGACTGACGGCTGCTGTGCATTCTTCAGAGTGACTTGATGGTTTTTCTCTTGTAGTTTTCTATGTAAAAGTAAAGTATAACAGACTACGTAGTAGAGCATGAGAGTCGCTTGATAGAGATTACTGACACACTGCAATTATATTATAATAATAACAAATTATAATATAATGAAAAAGCGGAAGCTACTTTACCATTCTGAATGATAGCATTAGTAAACTAATTCCATATTACTGTAGTTGTGCAAGTGAGAAACAATCAAATGTTATATGAGGGAGCATCTTTTTCCGTGCTAAGATACAGACATGAACTTTCTGACGAATACCGTGTTTCTTGACAAAGTCTGCGTTTGAAACGCTCTAGGGGTTGGTCTCAAAAAGGAACCCGTGCCATTGCTATGATACCAGGCGTACAATATTCTGGGTGCTATCTCCACCTCAGGTTCGATCACAGTTGGTATAAGGAAACCAAGACCTACTAAGAAGATGGCGGTATATAAGTTCAGGAGCTGTAACAGGTCATTACATTAGTTTTTTAAAAATAGCTCTAGATGAAATGAATAGACATCCACATATGAAAGGTCACTAATATACGGTAGTCATGGATAATGCACCCATTCACAAACATGAAAACAGAAAGAAGTATATTGAGTATAGAGGATATAAATGTAGTGTGTATCTTCCTACTTTTTCTCCTGAGCTGAACCCCTAAACCTAATTGAGCACTTTTGGGCAGTTGTAAAAG